GCCAACGCGCTGGAGTGCGCTATTTCAAAAATAGCGCGCATAACCAAACATGAAAGCACAAATTAATCTAACGCGCTATTCCAAAAATCGCGTCACGTAAAACGCGAGGCGACTGTATATACACATTTGTGTATTTGATTGAAAAAGAAAGTGGATAGGTTGAGATATATTAAAGACAATGATCATCTGTCTGGAACACATCAGAGGGAAAGTCCAACGAAGTTATGGAGCAATGTAGTGAATTCAAGGGCAGCGGCTGGCTGAACGGTTGCACATGGCATGGTCGTGACAGGTGAATTGACCATGGATAAAGATGACGATGAACACGTTGCAACTTGAGCCTGTACATGTTCAGTGTTGAAATCTCAACAGTTTTGTGGGTTTTTTAAAAATCAATGTAATATCCAAAGCGACCATGGATGTATTCAGATTATTTTTCCGCCATAAATGTCCAAATGATAAGCCACTTTGTTGAGCTATCATTTGTGGCCAGGTCGCTTTTGAGAAATAAGTTCATATCCGAGTGGGTTTTGTCTGGTAAGGTGGGGGATGGTTTCGTGTTGTATTTGTTTGTGTTTCGGTGACTTTTTTTCCTTTCTTGTACTTTGCACTATTATCGTGTCGTTGTACTGTTTGTTGTTGTAACGTTGTTACCCGCCCCGACTGGTCATCTGTGAAAAGGAGCTTTATAGCTGATCGCAATCCTCCTGCAGTACAAACAAATATTCAGATTCTGATGTATCTCGAAACTCAAAGTGATCATTCACGTATTATGTCGGTATCACATTCCCCACACAGAAGATGTTTCTCATACGTAATATATAGTCCAGAGTGTAAACTTCTTCGCGGAACTGTAATTAAAGAAGAAATTAATTATTACTCTGCTGGCAATAGATTCCCACCACGTGCTAGCCGCATGTGTAAGGTGGTGTCCACACAGAGATGTCCCTGGCGTGTTCTGTCCTGCTGTGTGCATTGCTGCAGATGACATTTCGCCATCATGTGCTGTTCATTTAAGACTCGGAACACGACGAATAATGATTCCTATAATTATTCAAAAGCGCTATTGAGGTTTATTTTTGTTGCATCAGCCTTAAGGTGACAATGACCGAACGGGTATCCTGCTCACCGCTTGTCACAGAGGTGAGGGCGTTTTAACGAAAACGATACATGTACCGTCAGCTTCACACTGGATATTAAACATCCTGTGGCATGAACACAAAAGAAGGCCACGTGTGCCGGCGTCATGGTTTGAAATGTTATCAATTACTCGCAATGTACTTCATTGCGAAAACAAAGAGTGACAATATCTTCCTACTGACAGACTAATAACCACTTACCGGCCAAGTGCTCCATTCACCTTTTGGCAACAGAGGGACAGTTGCAAGCACGGGATGTCCCGAGACTAAAACTACAGATGGGCATTGAAATAGTTGAGATGTGATGGAAGGTTGTTGTTGATTGTTGAGGTATCTATGCAATTGCTCCTATAAATGCAAATTATCATAGTTTTAAAGAAGCCACATACTCAATAGCGACTCAGTAGAACGCCTGTGGGTCGATGGATGAAAGTTGTATGGTACTATTTTCCAACTGAGTGTCTGTATCTGTTATGTCCAATTTTTGTTCCAACGAAAAAAACCCCTCAATTGATGGGGTGTTAAAACAGCTGTTTAGACCATCCATAATTTATACTCATTGCCTTTTATATATATAACATAAATAGCTATAAAATACTGTTGGATGAAGCTGTGGTTAGACCGCTTCACTCACAGTCAGAAGCTCATAAGTTCAAATCCCAGCTGGGGGTTGACTCAGTCCAAAATTTATCCAGATGATAAAATTACGTTTTAAAACCCCTCAATATTTGTGGGGACACGTTCCTGCAGAACGGCGTGAATATTAAATCAGAGATCATGAATATTCAAAGAGTTAGGGGACACAACCATAAACTTTATGTACAGTAAGTCCTCGCTTAACGCATGTTCACGATGGATTTTCGCTGTAATGCAGTTCTTCCATGAGAGAACACTTTGCACAGCATGGAATGCGCCTGTTATGACGCGGGATGCACGCCATTATGATGCGGAAGGCACACCATTATAACGTGGAACGCACCCTGTTATGACGCCAAACACACGCCGTTATGACGCGGAACGCACCCTGTTATGACGCGGAACGCACCCTGTTATGACGCGGAACGCACCCTGTTATGACGCGGAACGCACCCTGTTATGACGCGGAACGCACCCTGTTATGACGCGGAACGCATATATTGATCACGTAGTTTCTGAGCGGTCAACGACGAACTACTTTCTTGAGCTGCGCGACTGAGCAATATGATGTAGTACACGGAATGATACGGTAACACGGTGGCGTACTACTTGTCCTGCAGTCTCACTGTGTGTGCGTAGTAACACTTCTTAGCTCGCCAAACTTCATCATTAATGGGGAAACAGTTTTCGCTTCACGCGTTTTTCGCTTAACCTTTCAGGAACGCATTTACCACGTTAAATGAGGACTTGCTGTACATATATCAATGAATGCATATATCGTTATATATAGCATTACTAATGGACATAGACATATTTTAAAAGTGCAAATAACAGTGGAAAAACAAAGCAATATATTGTGTAGTACGTAATACAGAAAACTGTAAAGGAGAAAACAAATCGCGTGTGACACATAGAGAAAGAGGTGTCGCTTGTCAGGCAATTCTGGCATTCTCATGATCCGCTCCCACACCTCACTACCCTCCCGCACCTCCGATTAGTACGGTTGGCTACGTATGGCGTGAAAGAAGTTCAATGTACATACAAACCGCACCTCCGATTAGCACGGTTTGCTACGTACGGCGCGAAATAGTCGAGAAAGTACAGTGCTTAATTTTAGGTAATGCATTTGAGGTGATATTTCCACTGCTGCCTCTGGGCTACCAGAAAAAAGAGTGCTCATTAGCATACATTAACATACTTACTAATTAACAGATGTTACTTTAAAATGCAAAATATTAGTTTTACACTATAATGAGCTAAATTACAGACTTAGGGCGCACTTATAAATGACCAGGTCAGGGTCTTATACAATTTAATGTGACAACATGTTCATCGCAGTTTCACTAACGAAACAACGTTTCACTGGTGATTACAACAGCTTCATCAGGCGATTTGCTCGAATTGTGAAGAAGTCTCCCTGTCACCAGTTCGATGTCTCGGCACGGCAATTGAAACAATGGGGCAGATTGTGGGTAATCCGACTTCTTCCAAGACCCCAGTCCAGTGTGGAAGAGGAGGTCAAAATGTCATCTAGAGTCTAGAGGGCCTCTTAAGCGCGCCCACAACGTGAAGTCCCTTCTGCCAGTAGTGGCATTGAGCAAGAAAATACAGGGCTGTTACTTTACCTCTTGCCTTTATATTGTTAATCAATGCAGCACGCCCTAACAGTCCCCACTTTGTTACACATATTAACATATATGATGCTGTATAAAGCAGTGTTTAATCCGGGGAAAAAAGAAATGCGTTCAATGGAAACAAATAAGTCAACAAATCATTTCGGGGTCTGTATAAACATTGGCAGCGTTTTAGTTTTAATTAAATACACCAGCTGTGAAACGCAAACGTAATTAATGGATATCTGTAGACCATTCTATGCACATCTGCTGCTATGATTTAAAAAAGCGAACGCAATTTATAACAATCTAATGTACTGTATATGTGTTCGTCGAGGAGAATGTGTAATGTTATTCATGAATATAAAAGGCGGCCAAATGTTGATTATTATTTTTTAAAGAAGACGAATAACATAGCGCCCTCTTTCAAACCATCGTTTCCCAATGCCACGTCAGTCACGCGAGTTTGTGTGGCCATACTTGACCACGCAGATCAGTACGGGTTGTTAAAGGGGGAAGGGGCAATGAACAGGTCATGTATCACGCCACTGATGTCAGTCGCAACTGGGAATCGAACTCGGGGAGCTTGGGTTCATAGGGCACCGCACGAACCATTACGTCGCCACCACCTACAATGCAAAATAAATACCTTTCATAATTCTGGACAAAATACTCGATACTACACACAATAAACCAACTAAAATACAATCTATTAACAATGTATAACATTAAATTTACAATATATAAGGAAACAATAAGGAAAAAACGTAAAGCACATTATGCAAAATAACACCATACAGAACACCCAATATGATCTGCAACAAATAAATCACAGACAGTACAAACACGAAACACACATTTACACAACACACCACATTACAAAAACGAATACTTCATTATGAACAAAAAAACCCTATTACGTGTACAAAACAGAACTGCTGAGATGTCTGCCCTCTTTTCATTGCTGCTGTGTGGATTTCTTCAAACTTTGCCAGTCACATGCAGTTTTCTATGTGTGTGGCAAGAGGAGAGAGGCTAAAACAAGGCATGCTTCCCACACTCTAGACGGGTTTGGTTTGAGCGATTTTGTGTACATGCGGCGAACGTATTTCTACTCAAACTTCGCTATATGCGGCTATGGCAGTCGGACGTTGGACAGCATTGCAAATGCAATGTGTGTGCATGGTATGTGGTACTCAGCAAGCGGCTGTCTCCACATGCGGTGCATTTTGGGTTGGGTGACTCTACGGTCCATGCTACGCCATTTGGCTTTGTGCGCACTTTTTTTTTAAACGCATCTACTACCGTACAAAGCTGTGTCCTTCCCTGAAAGGCCTGCAGGCCACTGGCGGGCACCTGGTGGCCTTAAATGCGGGCCCTAAAGTGCGGCCCCCGACAATACAAAAACGTGAAAGCACCTCTCACGACGCTGTCAAACCTCAATGGTTTCAAATGCGTGTCGGCCCTCACGCTGATGATGTCTTATCGGCGAACGTGGGCCTCCCCCCCCCCCCCCCCCTAAAAACGAGTGATAAACACTGGCACAGAGCGAGGTAAACCTGTGCCGATTGGCACTGCTTGTCTTTGCCCGATTGGTTGTCGCTTGGCCAAGGTTTGTTCGTCGGACGACCAAGAAGGGCTGCGTCTCCGATCTACATCAGCGTCGAAGAGAACGGCCAGGGCCCTTTCCCGCAATTGTTAGACACCGTGAGTATGTTTTTTTTTCTTCTTCATGTTATTCATTATCATTCCAAGAAGAAACAAGGGCCCCATGTCACTATTTACAGTATTTCAATGTACCTGCATTCATTGCACGTGCGTCGTTTTAACATATTGACCGGAATGTGGCGATGGCCAACTGGCGTCTCCCGAGTCGCATGCGGCTCGATCGAAGGGGCATAAAGTAGACTGCGCTATCTCAGTAGTAGCAAAGAATAATGAATGTCTCCCATGCTGTGCAAAAACTGTCTATGTATACACACCAAGGCCGTAATTATGATATATATTGGGGGGACGCATCCCACCCAATAATCAAATATGCTCAAAATGTCCCCCCCCCCAAAATATTGCTATAAAAATATTTTTTAAAAATAATTACGATGCTATGTAAATAAAAACAACAATTTGCTGAATATTGGCCACAATATATGGACTTGTCTTCATAAAACAATGCATAGATTTCTGTTTATATGATTGTGGTTATGGTTGTACTTTATGAATCCCTAATCTCTGCCATTACATACAATGAAACAAGAAAAGGTAAAAAAAGAAAAGCAATGTAATACAATAACACTATTAGACATTATTGTCAAAAATAAAAAGTTCATCACATGTGTTAGTGAATATTTTTTTTAGGCAGGAAATGAGTTTTCAAATTTAGATTTTTTTTCTGGGGGGGGACCCCAGACCCCCTGGAAGATTTGGTCCCCCTCAATGTTGACTATGGCTACGGCCTTGATACACACTTATATATGTATACACTTGCCTCTTTGCAGAACTCATGGGAACGTTTTGGCTCTTGGTCTGTTACAGGCTGGCCGCCCCAGCCGTAATGTTTAATGTTGATGGAACTTACTTGCACTTATGAACGGTTTAAACATTATTTGTCCGAGCTAACTTTCACGACAGGGCGTTTATTTTCTATAATATTGATTTATTTCTTTCGAAGTATTTTTTTATTTCTTCAGTAATAGTTGTTTTTTTGCTCCGATTTCAATTTGCTTCATTGCAATACTTTATTCCATTGTTTTGTGTCATTATGGTGACCCAGGTTAGTCTTGCAAATGAGACTACTCTGGTCTCTTGAGTCGTCAACCGATCAAAAATCATGAACTTACTTCACCCAGGAAAGAATCAACAAATGTTATTTCACTCGAGGTCTTGGTGGGGATGTTCTGTCTAATCCACTTTGAGTGCTTATGAAGCCAACATCTCGGAGATACTCGTTTGGTGTCCGGATATTTTCGCTCTGATGTTCCTAAGCCACTAGGCTATTTCTGCGACTTTATATCAGGGCTGGGCTGGCAGTAAAAATAGGATAAGCTAAGCAACCAAACCAATGTCAATTATATAATTAGACCTCCTTTGCCAGTACCAAAATGTAATAATAGGGTTTTTCCCCTTTTGGTGCTCGACCAGATGACGCCTTTTGCGTCATCTGGTCGAGCACCAATTGGGTCGAGGCTCAAAAGAAAGCCGTCCCTTGGTGTGGACCAAACAGTTTCAAGGACAATGCATAAATTATTATAGTATGTTTTTTTGTTTGCATTTTGACTGCAGGTATTGTGGTTAATGCCGACATGAATCCTCGTAAAAAAAGGTTTCAGTTTTGTTGCCAGAAAAGAGGGGAAAACCCCTATTATTACAATGTCAATTAAACTCAGTTCAGATGCACACACACATATATGCAAACGCTCTCCATAAACCAGGGTGGAGGGAAAAGCCACTTGTCCATGGCTCGTGCCATTCTCAGCTTCCTAAAAAGTGGTACTTAATTTTGTCTACCCCATCGAGACATCAATATTTAAGGAGGAAGAGAAAGGTGGCCAGGTCTACTGTACTCGGCTGTGAGCATCGTGGTCAAATCGAGTGATGTTTTTGGCCTCGCAAAGTCACCAGCGGAAACTGGTATATCTGGCGAGGCCTCTCTCTGTCCATGTAAAGAACGGCGAATGCTCTTTTTCAGTTACCGGCAGACGGTGACGAATTGTTCTTCACACTGACGGGGCAAGGGGCTGACCAGCCACCTGAGGGACTCTTCATCATCGAAGAGTTTGTGCCCGAGCTGAGCATCACAGCCGCCCTAGATAGGGAGGAGCACTCCGAGTTCAAGGTGGGCGACCCCCGCGTCGCTCCGACTCGCACCGATGCCACGGAAGTCACCACATTCGCAGTTTATCCAAATGTCAGAATCCCACTCCGCATCGTGACAAGATCTAGATGAAGAAACGTCAGTAGATTTCTTGTAATTGTTTTTTTTATGGTGTTATGATAATTGTTTGGTTTCTTTTCAACGGACGTTACTATGTTAAAGTCATTGTCCCACATGGTGAAATAGTTCCTTAAGCCAAAACACAATTCAGCCCCACCAGAGATGTTAAATATTTAAGAATAAAAGTTTATGTATATGGCTAATAAAAGTGGATTTTATGATGACAACCTTTTTAAACAAGGTTATCAATGTGGACATAGGTACAACCCAAGTTTTGTACCAACAAAGTACAATATTCAGTCTGGACAAATGGAATAAAACATGCATTGGAGAGTGCTCATTTCCCGTGGCAGTTCCACATTTCTGTGATTAAAAACAATGCATTTCTGGTCTCCCGAACGTTTTACAAAGGATTGCAGCCTGACCAGGTGCTGCTCATTTTACCAAACGCTGCCCGAGAACAACTCAGCTCATCCATCATTAAACGACGCCTTCGTACAGATAAGAATAACCGTACTAACTTGGGTGCACTTACTTTTCTGAAACAGCTCACATGCAGCCAGGCCGCGGACAGTGGTGCAGAACTTGAACCAATTATTGTCATCATCAAAGTGGTCGATCAGAATGACAACAGTCCTGAGTTTTCTCAAGCGACATTCAGCAAGGAGATGTCAGAAGCCTCCCCCATGGGTAAGACACCGGATAAACCGCTATCATAATACATGTTACAGCGGCGGTCAATTTGGCAATGTACTGGAATGTTGGGATGATCAATTCATGGCATTGCAGTTGAAACAATGGTGCAAGATAATCCCTACACCTCTGTCCAGCCAGCAGTATAAATGGGAGCACCACTATTCATCGATCAGCAGGTTTCATTTGGTGGGTACCGGAATGGATAACTTCTTCCAAGACATCTGACTAGCGTGGAAGATTTGATAAAAAAAAAATACCCTCTTATGCAGGGCTCTCAAGAGCTCCAACTAGAGTTACCTCTGGTAGAGACCCATCCGCCAGCAGTGGTGTGAGAAAGCAATTGCACAGCTGCTGCTCCTTGTATTGGAATAATACTAAGTAAACGCACCTCCGATTAGCACGGTCGGATATGTACGGTGCAAAATAAATTGCACATACATACAAGGGAGTGCACATCACCATAAAAAACATGGTCATAGTGATGTGCATGGACATAGCCTCAAAGCATCTAAAACGTTTATAGAACTTGAGTGTAACTTTAGTGGCCCAACCGGGGTTTAACATCGAACATGTTCAGAGGCGCAAACTAGTGGTGAATGTTAAGTCTGGTTTCGTGGAGGCGTTGCCATCTTGCTTTTATCAATGCCCGATGCTGTGCATTTTTGTTTAGATATTTAGCAGCTATACTTTATATCTTACCAGCGGGAAGTACCCGGTGTTGCCCGCCCGAAAAATATATTTCAAAACTTCTCTTCAAAACCTTACATATACATACACAGATACTAAGCTATTGTGAAAGCCCGGTGGGCCGTTTGTCCATTTCTCCACCAACAAAATTATAAGAAGCTTGCACAAGTCCAAAAAGATATAGGAAGTGTGGGGGGGGGGTGGTAAATAGTTGATCTAAAAGGTTTCCGAAAATTGTCGACCCCCCTCAAAAAATATCTTTACCCCCGCGTAGGTATATATACCTACACACCCTACATACAACAGAGTAAGTAGTATCTATTGACTCTGTAGTGGTATCTACAGACTGTACAGTAGTATCTACTGAGCCAGTAGTAGCTACTGACTGTTTAGTATTATTTACTGACTGTAGCAGTAACGAATGACCGTAGTAGTATTTACTGGCCCTACAGAAGTATTTACCGACTGTATAGTAGTAACTACTAATTTTATAGTAGTATCTACTCACTCTATAGTAGTATCTACTGACTCGAGTAGCTACTGACCGTAGTAGTATCTACTGACAACATAGTAGTAACTACTGACTGTAGCAGTATTGACTGACTGTAGTGGATTTCGTTTTAAAGCTTTCGTGACTGCAGGGATTCATATTCTTGGTTCTTTCGGTAAAGTCACGTAGAAGGGAAATAATAATGTCTTTGTTTTATATTTTTATTTTCATTATTTCATTATTTCCCTTCTACGTGACTTTACCGAAAGAACCAAGAATATGACTGCAGTGGTATATACTGACTGTTTTAGTATCTACTAACTCTATATAGCAGTATCTACCAACTCGATAGCAGTATCTACTATCACTACAGCAGTGCATACCGACTCTTGTGGTACCTGCTTTAACTACAGCAGTGCATACTGATTGTGGTGGTACCTGCTATGACTACAGCAGGGCATACCGACTTTGGTGGTACCTGCTTTCACTACAGCAGTGCATATTGACTGTGGTGGTACCCTGCTATGACTACAGAAGTGCATACTGATTGTGGTGGTACCTGCTTTCACTACAGCAGTGCATACTGACTGTGGTGGTATCCTGCAATGACTACAGCAGTGCACACTGACTGTGGTGGGACCTGCTTTAACCACAGCAGTCCCTACTGACTGTGGTGATACCTGCTATCACCACAGCAGTGCATACCGACTGTGGTGGTACCTGCTTTCACTGCAGCATTGCATACCCACTGTGGTGGTTCCTGTTATCACTACAGTAGTGCATAGTGTGGTGGTACCTGCTATGATTACAGCAGTGCATACTGACTGATAGTACCTGCTATCACTACAGTAGTACATGCTGACTCTATAGCAGTATATCCCGACTGCATAGCACAAAGTTCTCACCTGACAGAATGCCGTGGTGAGGCCTAGTCCCGTGCAGAGCCCCCGGCCTCGCCTAGATTGCCCAGCCGGCTGAGGCTGGGGGCTGGGCTGCTACCACTAGGCCACCATCCCCCCACCCGCACTACAATAATACTATCTAAGCGCTTTAATATTAGTATGTACTGAGCCTATAGTAGCAAGTGCACACATTGGGGTGCGGGGGGGGAGGAGAGAAAAAGACATGACACTTTGATGAATTTACCTCAGCGTTGCGTGTATTTTTTTTGTATTTTGAACGCGAATGAGAAATCCCCCCCCACCCTCCAGCGATGGCGTGTGTGTGATGCCAGGGGCAACTCCTGTCAGCGTTTCGCGCATGCGCTAATTGCGTGCTTTGTCCTGCGCCGGGCGGCAAAAGTAAATAAATAAATAAAAGTTAAATCGCTAAAACGCTATTTTAACTACTTTAACATTTACGGATGGGAAAACGGAATAGCCTATGCCCACCGCGGGGCTTAGGGCATCCTGCCTGGCAAAATAAATTCGATGTGAACCCCACGGTTTGAGAGCCAAATCCCTCGCAACCGCGCGTACGCAGACAGACGGACGGACAGCCATACAGACAGACGAAAAATGACTTTTATATATAAGACAATGCAATTTCCAGTAACTGTAGAGAGCATCTACATGTAACCACATTTCGAGACCTGTATAACATAACATAGTAGGGTAAAACGCACAACAGGAAAACCAGCAGATAATGGGCTTTTCTTACGAGCACACTCCTATTATTATTTTTCTTCTGCTTTAGTTAAAATCCGTTCTGGCAATATACACAGCGCTTCGTAATGACTTGGTGTAGTGCTCCATAGTGCATAACATTTGTTTAACTCAGCCTGAAATTAAGCAATATATGCTGATTATAAGGGATTTGAAGGGTACAGAGAAAACAACTCTCGCAAAAAAACGACCCCATTTTGGGGAGGTAGCAAAGTATACATTGACGTGTCTGTGTTTTGTGTTAACAGGAACAAGCGTTTGGACAATTTCTGCTTCTGATAAAGATGACCCAAGCACTCCAAATGCTCAGATCGCTTATAAGATTATCTCTGAAACGAGTGCTTTTTCAATTGAGGAACAATCTGGCATAATCACCGTCAGTGAGTCAGGGCTGGACAGAGAGGTGAGTGGTTGGTTAATTCACAAATTGTACCTATGCTTTCACAATTATTTTGCTAACTCATTACCCATGTTCACGTATTCTCAGCTTGGAGAGCTGAATGGAGTTCAAAATAACTCACAAATATCCACCTCGTGAAAGAACCAACGCAGAAGATTCCTGGGTTTGATCTTCCACCAAGCTCATGGTCCACCCTAAACGGCATCTGCAAAGAACCATGGCAGATGCGGATACCTGATGGACAAATGAAAAATTCAAAACTCTCCAGTAGTGTGCGACTGTGGTCATCCAGTACAGACAGTACAACGTATAACGACGCAATGCCCAATCCACAAATACCAAGGAGAAATTACAGTGATACACTTCACTACTTCTGGCGCGGTTCTCTGACTTGACCACCTGAATGTCAAATTGTAGTTGCTGCTGTGCATCTACATCAGCCATACGAAAGAAGGAGACTTATTCTCATTCTGGGGCAGGTATAGGAGAGGTCTGGCTGCTGATACAAACCTATTTTTTATTTTCCCATGTAAGGCCCACTGAGCTACATAGCTCATTTTCAGAAGTGACCTAGCCACAAATGATAGCTCAACAAACATGTGGAAATGTATAGCAGTCAAATACTCCAAACGTATGTTTCTAAACGTGGAGGGACAAATCCACGCAATCAAAGGGAGAACATGCAAACTCCAAATATACAGGCGTTAGGGTCGGGATGGAACCCACGACCTCCTGAATACCAGGTGAGGTAGTTAACATCTCGTCACCGTGGAGGCACAAAAGTACAATTGTACAATTGTTCGATGCCAAAATCAGTCTAAAGTTGCTCATGCTTGATTGAGTTTGGGATGGTGTGAATCTCCATTGGGCTTTCCGAACAGGTTGTGTTCATTTCACATTCCTACGGTGAGTTTCATTCTAGTCATATAACTGTTGCTTTTCCAAATGGAGTGGAACTCACCTGGTGATACAGATTGTTATGACTTCAGGCAACCGATGGGATAACTTGACCTTGCCCAGGACAATCTAATGATGAGGAGTCTTGATGCTTTGCAAACTGAGCTGTCCCATAAGGGACAGGATTTTCATATGAAGATTCAACTGAATATTTAAAATGTTAGTTTTAAAATGAGTCTCGCTTGTTAGTATTATTTAAACGTGGTGCCCATTGCCTTTATAGTGATACGCTCGTTTCAGCTTAATACACTGTCATGGCTATTCCTCCCCAGTTTCACTGCAGTGCAAAATTCTGCGTCCCCTGTACATCCGCTGCCGTGGTGTTAATTTAACGGTTGACGGTTAAATTCAACCTCCTGGTGTGGCAAATCAAACAATGAGCCGGTTTCTTAAACCCGCACCACCTCTGTGCGCCCAGCAATATAATTTGGTGACGAGTCAGTCTGCCGGCAGGCCGTGTGCGACGGGGTTAAAGCGTGTGTACACCCACCTGGTCGAAATGCCTGATCAGCGCGGAAGCATAGGCCAAATACCCTCGAGGAGGTGCTCCCCCTCGCGGTGGCGTGCGCAAGCGATTGTGAGGCTGCACCTTTGACCACACCTGCAATATTCACTGTGCCGTGCATGAGTCCAGGCGATGGCTTCACACAGCCTGGAGGTTGTGGCTGCGGATCTCAATGGCGCCGGTGGAGGGCTCTCTGCTACCGCCACCCTCGTCATCACAGTGACGGATGCCAATGACCATCCACCTAGGTTCACCAGCACCCAGGTGAGGTGCACACTGGGACAGCATCGGAGAGTGAATGTACGCAATTGGGTGACTTCAAGGCCAATTCTAGCTATGGTTAAAACCTGCCGGATTATGTAAAGTGTCTGTCTTTCTGTGATTGCTCAATATAAACCGCTAATTGTCTTTTAAAATATTTTATTTCAAATTACAAACTACTAAAGGTGCAGGAAATTGCTTTCGCTGGGTGTTGCAAATTGCTTACAGTAACATTTTGTACACAAGCTCCCATTGCTTGATTTATTTGACCCTCATTGAAAAATTATTGCGTGCTGTTTTTGCACATTGTGTTATATTCACCTTGTACAAAATTAGTTTCCCATTTTAAGCACATTCATTATATTCTACTTTTGTAGCTAATGTATTCTCCCGGGTATGTGGCTAAGAGACACTGGATTTGCCTCGAACAGATAATTAATTTATTTCCATTGTTTCTAGCTTTGTTATATATAAATGTTTCATATCCTGTGAGAATGTTTGGTGGGAACAGAGGCTAATTATTTAAAATGTCTTGGAATTATAAATACATTACTCGGTGCCCTGGATGGGTATTTCATTGAATGTTAATATTATGCATGTTTACCCAGTTGCATGACTACCAAATTTTAACAGTCAGATATGATGACTGCTTTGTATTCTATTTCAGTAATTTACAGGTAATTTTCTAATTTAGTAAATATTGGACTATGATGCAGGCTTAATGCCTACGCTTGTGAATTACATATATGATCTTTAACAGAACATGTTTTCATGGTTATTACATCCACAGTGATGAACAGGGCGGCATCCTGATTCGAACCATGAATCTCTGCCAGAAATAATGATGCAATGATGATCATCTTATGGATAACCTCTGATCGTGATCTTGGCTCAGTAGTTGCGCGGTTTGCTAATTGTTGCAGAGGATTGCGGTTCGAGCCCGTCGCTGCCCTGATTAATACTGCGTGTGTGTTAACCGTGAAAATACGTGCCGTCTGCGTCACAGTGGGACGTTAACGTTCCCATGATGTCGTTTGAAAAAAAAGTCAAAGCATCGTAAGCCGGCGTCGTGATCCATATTTTCCCAATTTTACGATTTACTCGCAACTTACTTAATCGGGAAGGAAGGAGTCTTCAGACTCAATGAGGCTTTCCTCGGTAAACAAGCATAGCAATAACAATAATAATGATGACGATCAATATCATCCTCGTGTTGCAGGCATCGGCAACGGTGGGGACGAACAAAGTTGGCACGGAGGTGCTGCGTCTGTCCGTGGACGATGCGGATGAGAAGGGCACGGCGAACTGGCGCACCATCTACCGCACCGAGAGCGGGGACCCGGGGGTCCACTTCAGCATCCAAACAGATGCCGTATCCAACCAGGCCATCATCACCATTGCCAAGGCATGCGGGTTCAGCACCTCGTGCCATTGACATTCACTCTCTGACATTGTCCCCTCCCCTCCCCGCTGGGTACCCACGTGATAAACACGCGGAACAATCGACAGCAGCCGTCTTATGGACAATATCCTGGCTTCCCACCGTACAAACGTGGAATTTTTCACCTTATGGCTCGTAGCCACCAAACGGGCACGGAGAAGCTTTGAATTGGCGTTGGCTTGACACTGTAGAAGGATGCACGAAGGGCTGACTTAGTGGCTGGTTTAATAGTGCAGCTGAAATGCATACTGCGATATGCTCCACAGAAAGGCTGACTACTGAGAATATTTGGTGACTCAGAGGTCATAGCACTGTGCCGGTACCGTTGAGATTCTGGGTTTTAATCCAGACCGCCGCTTATGATTAAACTCAGTCGTCAAGTGTAGTGAGTTGATGGTGGCAGCCTGGTGACCAATGACTCCACAAAATAAAACCATCACATTACATTGGTTCTGCACTAACTGATATAAAATATATATACAAAATATCAGTTTGACTAGTGCGATGAACACTACTCTCAGTGGCAGGGCTGGCAGGAAGATGCTCGTACAAGGTCACCAGCTGACAAAAATGTGTAAATAACTTTAACCTCATGATGCCCTTCATGATGAAAATGTGACATTCATTGGCAATGGCAGCTGTTAGGCATATTTCTGATACTGTTCTGCTTATTAATTAGATTATACATGTTTACAAATGGAATTTTTCCTCTGACTGCTCTGCGTACACATCTGGAATTTGTTGTGTTCTGTTGTATTGTATTTGCTTAAACCCATCACTCTCTTGAAAAAGACTATGTTCGATTACACTTATTCATATTTTAGACAGTTTTATCAATTTTTTTCAGTTTGCACCAACATTATTTGCGGTTCTCTTACACCTGCTTATTTTAAACCAGGTCCTCCTTGTAAAAGAGATGTGCAACTGTCCGGGTTAAATAACGACTATTAGTATTATCCAGTCTTGCCCTGCATTGACTCTAATCATATGTTAAAACTGCTCAGGTGAGGATATGGCCATTATCTTATCCAGCCAGGTTGCTGAGCAGTAGAGCGAGCAGCTTGGATTCCGAAGGTTGTGAATTGAAATTCTGATTGGGGATTCACCCAGCCCATCATCATTCCAAGGTCGATAAACTTAGTACCACTTTTATGCAGGGGAAATAGAGTGGTTGTCACAGACTCACCCCTGCCATAGAAATGTGGAATATACAACACTGGCTTGGGGCTGTAAATGGAAGTTCATTACCGCCCGAATAATATTTGAGCAGGAAATCGCTTTGACTATCATCGGCTTAATTATTTACTCGAGTATCACTCGTCCTGTCTATGACCATGCAAATTAAACCTACCCTCAGTATAACTAAACGCACGCAAGCATAACTCCATTAGACAGCTGTTAGCTCTTAATACGCAATGCACACATTTGTAATTGATTTCAATTACAATTAGCAACGATGCAGACTCAACAGCTGACACCACACGGGTCACATTTCCCAACACGACACAAAGCCCTCATCCTGCACAGAAAACGATGACTCTGCAACTGGAGTTTCACGCCAATATAAGTTCCTTTGGCTTCGGTTGATAATGGTCCATGCTTATTCCGTGTGCTACCTTGTGCAGGAGTTTGAGGAGGACGGAACGTACCAGCTAACCTTGGCTGCGGAGAATGAGGCAGAACTGGTGGTGGCTCGCTCCGAGGAACAAACCTGCACAGTCACTATCGCCGTTTCCATCGGCCTCAAACCTGCAGAGCCCCAACAGTCAGTGACACCAATTCCCATCAGTCAGTGACACCAATTCCCAACAGTCAGTGACACCAATTCACAACAGTCAGTGACACCAATTCCCAACAGTCAGTGACACCAATTCCCAACAGTCAGTGACACCAATTCACAACAGTCAGTGACACCAATTCACAACAGTCAGTGACACCAATTCCCAGCACCTCCACAGCGTGAGACAGACATAACAGAAGGGCCAGTCTGCCGAACGTCATGTGCGAAGGTGTACGTAAAAGATTTTGGCATTAGCCACAATTCCATGAAAGCCTGATACGTACTTTATACTGTACTGTTGTAAATATTGATGGTTGCGACTTCAAATCCCAGTTAGGGCTCGACTCAATCATCAATGCCTTCAGGATCAATAAATGAGCATCACTTTGTAGCAAAGCAGCAGTGATTGTCCCTTGGATAAACTCACCACCAACATGGACATTTTAAATTGTTTTAACTTTTGGCCATTGCTTGTTTAAAAAAAAAGCTTTATTTAGTCAAACGCATGTATTTTTTATTTTACAGTTCAGAGGAATTATGTGCCAGTTAAAATGTTATGCTCTGTTATGATACAAGGTGACACGTTAGCTGTAATATTCACAATAACACGTGGGCTGTGCAGCCACTTGAACAGCCAATCTAAAAACACACAGACCTTGTCTAAAACTAATATGTTTCGCCACATTTTGATGTAAGACTGTGACAAGGGTTAATGTGTGTTCTGTGTGTGTAGGAGGAGCGTCATGCATGTCAGCATTGAGGAAAATGACGGTGGCCCATTTCCCAAATCCATCATCACCGTAAGTCAAGTGTGGCATTTGGGGGGCGAATACCCATGGCAGTATGCTCTCCAAAATAGTAGCACTGCCTGAAAGAGGACCGATTATATAATAGCAAACTTTCAGCCAAAAATGTCCCTTCTTCAGATTGCAAACCGCCATTGCCAATGCTGTATACTTTTTTTCTCATCTGCAGAGCAGCGTTGTTGAATGCGTTGTGTTTTTTTGTTATTTTCGCTTGTGCTCCATTGCCAACGCGGTTTCGCACAAAAACAATGGGTTATCATCCCAAATATTAGTCAAGAACTCAAATTAAAGAGAAAATAGGACAGGGCACGGACAAATTAACACAAGCATGCAAGTTACATTGCTGACGAAGATGGTGATTTATGATCTCCCATCACAGTCAATTGGTTCGTTAAACACCGTGCACTTAAGAACGTATGTAACCAAAGTGAGGCACCCTCATCAGCTTTCTTTGTGCCAACACTACTGCTTTGGATTTTTTTCCTTCAGCAATTTGGGAAAAAAATACCTTACACGACATGCACTTTTTTATATATAATTTTGAAAATAGTATCTCTATTATCGAGCTCAAGTACCATCCTATTTACCCGAAAGATGGGTTTTGACATCAGAATAACACATGCCAATGTGGCTATTGTGTTACATTATATGATATGGGGGAGGGGGCATGTAAATTTAATTCCTCGTGAGTTTCCGCACATGCACATGAATACAAAGAGCAACCGGAATACAGGTGCCCTATTAGGGTGATGTGCATATTTATTTGAAATGAAATAAAAAGGTAAAAGCGGAGTCCTTCAATGTCCGATGCTGTCGAAAGGGCCTCCACTACAGGCAGGTCTCTAGAGAGCCCCTCCATGCGTAGGGGGTATGAGGCCTACTCTTCCACCTCCGTCCAGACGTTTTCGAAGAGGTGGAAGTACATTACTCATCTTGCGAATGTGGGCAAGTGGGTGCATGAGTGAGTGAGCGATTGGGCACGTGGCCGAGTGGGTCAGTGGGCCAGTGGCCCCGTGGTCAAGTTGGCAAGTGGGTCAGTGGGCTAGTGGTCAAGTGGGCCAGTGGGTCAGTGAGCCAGTGGGCCCGTGGTTAAGTGGCCGAGTGGGTCAGTGGGCTAGTGGTCAAGTGGGCCAGTGGGTCAGTGAGCCAGTGAGCCCGTGGTTAAGTGGCCGAGTGGGTCAGTGGGCTAGTGGTCAAGTGGGCCAGTGGTTAAGTGGCCGAGTGGGTCAGTGGGCTAGTGGTCAAGTGGGCCAGTGGGTCAGTGAGCCAGTGGGCCCGTGGTTAAGTGGCCGAGTGGGTCAGTGGGCTAGTGGTCAAGTGGGCCAGTGGGTCAGTGAGCCAGTGGGCCCGAGGTTAAGTGGCCGAGTGGGTCAGTGGGCTAGTGGTCAAGTGGGCCAGTGCGTCAGTGGGCCCGTGGTTAAGTAACCGAGTGGGTCAGTGGGCTAGTGGTCAAGTGGGCCCGTGGGTCAGTGGGCCCGTGGTTAAGTGACCGAGTGGGTTAGTGGGTCGGTGGGCCTGTGGTGAAGTGGGCGAGTGGGATTCCTTTCGCCACTGGGCAGGTGCCTGGAGAGGAGCACGAGCTGTTATTCTCATTGACGGGCACTGGGGCCGACGCACCACCCGAAGGTCTCTTTGTGGTGGAGGAACTCACCGGGGAAATCAGTGTCACTGGCTCCATTGATCGTGAAGAACACCCCACATTTGAGGTGCGTATCGACGGAAAAGACCAATAGAACATCACACACACACAGCTATACGTGATAAATATCCCTCGTTTAGCCTTACAGGACTGTAGGGACATGTGCTTTTAGCATGATCAGGAACGTCGTATTGGCTAGCGTAATGTGCTAAAATCCTGGCAACCTTGGTTTGTTTCCTGGCCATGCTGCACGATTAGGGATTAATTTTACGTCAAGTTGCCCTGAGCTTCTCTTGGGTAGATTTAGCCTTAAACGATTACCTGGCGTGGTGTGCAAACATAAACACTCAGCAGAAAATGACAGCTGGGCTTTGTTAGCCGCACCTCATGTTCTTCCGTCGACATTAATAGGTGCTCGCTAAAAGCACTTGACCCAGAGAGGCGCACATGCACACACGTATTACATAACATTGTCTGACTGCTGGCATGGAGAGTTAAATCTCACTGGGACCAACCTGCTCTGACATCCATTGCCTTTTTTTTCTCCGTGATTGTCTTGTGTATGGAATGTGGAATTTCCCGTACTGGCTCAGGGCTGCCAATGGAGATTAGCATCTCCCCAAAACTGTACAGATATAATAAACCGGGTAGACGTAAACTCCGCAGTTGGTGAGGGATTTCTGTACTTTCGCAAACATGGAGAGACTTTTGACTCTATACGTATGCAAGATGTTATTGGCAACTGTGTCGCATTTGTGTTTTCTTTGCTAAGCTTAAAGGTATCGAGCAGCCCAGGAAAATGACAGCACAGAACTACTTTAGTGCTGACTACCACCCATTTCTGATAATCTGAAATAGAAATAGGTGGTACTCCATTGTCTCCAAACAGTGGTTTACCACGTGCCAGTCATCCAAGCAAAATATGTTATTACTAAGTGGAATCATATGAATAATTATACATATATGCAACCAAATTATTAATAAAACGAAGTAGTTGATATATTAGTCATATTCATTAATGACCGAGGTGTGATCAAACATTTAGATTTTTAACAATTGTCGTTGTGCCCGCTTGTCTGTCACACGTGGGCACGCTTGTAACGCGAGCACTCTCCCCGTGAGCCGCGCATCTCCAGATCGTCTGCAGCCGATTCAAGGGCGACAACACCCTCTGGGGAGAAGCAGTCACGGTCATAATCACAGTCATCGACAAGAACGACAATAGCCCAGAGATTTTCGAGACCACTTTCAGAGTGGAGCTCTCGGAAGCGGCCACCGCTGGTAATACAACCAAAGAGCACTTGAAATGCCAATTATATAACCAGCAGTGGTATCCATGACATTTCATATAATTGGAGAAAGTTCATGGCAAGACATTAAACGTAAAATAAGTGCGGTATGGTTTAAACGCTCTGATGTGCACGTCTGTCTTATTTTACAAATATATATTTAGGAAGGATATTTGTGGAAATAAATCACAACATTTTTTTTTAGTTTTACCGATTGGTTGGAGGTTGTCTCAATACTCTACAATATAATAATACTTATACTAATATTAAGCTTGCATGGTATTTATTATATGTATGGGTCTTCACCACGCGCATATTGCTCTGTCAGCCCGTTCGGGAAACATTAAAAACACATTTTTATTATTTTTACCAACGCACCATATTGTAATCGGGTCAAAGTGTAAACCGCACGCGGTAAACATTAAACTTTACCATTATTTTAATTACAACAATTACGGAGCACCCATCTCATTATATAAGGACAACAGCAAATTGTATGATGCAAGTAGCACGCGCCTATTCAAGCGTTAATCATACACCTCCGATGATTTCCCTAGGCACAGCTGTTGTGACGGTGTCCGCCTCGGACAAAGATGACCCGGAAACACCCAACGCCCAGATACGATACAAGCTTCTCACCGAGATGTCCATGTTTTCCTTGGAGGAGACCTCTGGGGAGATCACCGTCAGCCAGTCGACCCTCGATCGAGAGGTTGGCTCCCTGTGGCGCGGTGCGATATGCGTAGCCCGTGAGCCATGAGCAATCGAATTTAGGTTATTTACGAGACATTACTTTTGTTCACTTTGCGAAAATGTACAGTGAGGGAAAAAAGTATTTGATCCCCTGCTGATTTTGTACGTTTGCCCACTGACAAAGAAATTATCAGTCTATTATTTTAATTGTAGGTTTATTTGAACAGTGAGAGACAGAATAACAACAACAAAATCCAGAAAAACGCATGTCAAAAATGTTATGAATTGATTTGCATTTTAATGAGGGTAATAAGTATTTGACCCCTCTGCAAAACATGACTTAGTACTTGGTGGCAAAACCCTTGTTGGCAATCACAGAGGTCAGACGTTTCTTGTAGTTGGCCACCAGGTTTGCACACATCTCAGGAGGGATTTTGTCCCACTACTCTTTGCAGATCTTCTCCAAGTCATTAAGGTTTTGAGGCTGACGTTTGGCAACTCGAAGCTTCAGCTCTCTCCACAGATTTTCTATGGGATTAAGGTCTGGAGACTGGCTAGGCCACTCCATGACCTTAATGTGCTTCTTCTTGAGCCACTCCTTTGTTGCCTTGGCCGTGTGTTTTGGGTCATTGTCATGCTGGAATACCCATTCACGACCCATTTTTAATGCCCTGGCTGAGGGAAGGAGGTTCTCACCCAAGATTTGACGGTACATGGCCCCGTCCATTGTCCCTTTGATGCGGTGAAGTTGTCCTGTCCCCTTAGGAGAAAAACACCCCCAAAGCATAATGTTTCCACCTCCGTGTTTGACGGTGGGGCTGGTGTTCTTGGGGTCATAGGCAGCATTCCTCCTCCTCCAAACACAGCGAGTTGAGTTGATGCCAAAGAGCTCCATTTTGGTCTCATCTTACCACAACACTTTCACCCAGTTGTCCTCTGAATCATTCAGATGTTTATTGGCAAACTTCAGACGGGCATGTATATGTGCTTTCTTGAGCAGGGGGACCTTGCGGGCACTGCAGGATTTCAGTCCTTCACGGTGTAGTGTGTTACCAATTGTTTTATTGGTGACTATGGTCCCAGATGCCTTGAGAACATTGACAAGATCCTCCCGTGTAGTTCTGGGCTCATTCCTCACCGTTCTCATGATCATTGCAACTCCACGAGGTGAGATATTGCATGGAGCCCCAGGCCGAGGGAGATTGACAGTTCTTTTGTGTTTCTTCCATTTGCGAATAATCGGACCAACTGTTGTCACCTTCTCACCAAGCTGCTTGGCAATGGTCTTGTAGCCCATTCCAGCCTTGTGTAGGTCTACAATCTTGTCCCTGACATCCTTGGAGAGCTCTGGTCTTGACCATGGTGGAGAGTTTGGAATCTGATTGATTGCTTCTGTGGACAGGTGTCTTTTATACAGGTAACAAGCTGAGATTAGGAGCACTCCCTTTAAGAGTGCTCCTAATCTCAGCTCGTTACCTGTATAAAAGATACCTGGGAGCCAGAAATATTTCTGATTGAGAGGGGGTCAAATACTTATTTCCCTCATTAAAATGCAAATCAATTTATAACATTTTTGACATGCGTTTTTCTGGATGTTTTTGTTGTTATTCTGTCTCTCACTGTTCAAATAAACCTACCATTAAAATTATAGACTGATCATTTTTTTGTCAGTGGGCAAACGTACAAAATCAGCAGGGGATCAAATACTTTTTCCCTCACTGTACAAATACAAAAAGTTTTCATAAAAAAGAGTTTTATTTGTTTACGTATATTTTATGAATAACGTGGCTTTTCATCAAAGGTGTTTCCACTTCTCTTCCTTATAGCTCAGTGTAAAGGTGCAGTCTTTGCAATCTTTTGTTCACGCCCCTGCTGGCAGAAGGTCCTTCACTCGATGGAGCTCAAGAGAGCCCCCCTCGAGAGTTTTTTTGGCCGACTCTTGCACGCTGGCCAAATGTGTCAGAGGAGTGGGAGTAGCCACACTTTACACCACCATACGAGACATGCCAACCAACGAACTGGTGCACTAACCATTTATACTGCTGGATGAACAGATGTGGGATGGAATTTAGGAACTTGCCACGTTATTATTAATGCAAACACCACAGGAGGTGTATTTAGAGCAACATGCTCTTGCCTAGATGCAGTAAAATAAGAGCATTCACTTAGTCCAAACAATTCAGTTGTTGTACGTTTAAACGTGGTGATTACAATAAAAAAAATATGAACCGATTTTGACAGAACTCTGTGCAAAAACAATAACGTCCGGAAACACAGCAGATTTTGTGAGAACTGCTTTTTGTGTTTAGATGTCCTTCCCCGCACCTCGGAGTAGCATGCTTGGTTACGTACGATGCGGCAGAAGTTCAACGTTGCAACCTTCTGGATTGGAAGTCCAGCGAGCTAACCATTACACGACAGCAGCATAGTTAATCCATTCACGTGTGTTAAGCTACAGTTCCTTACATTGATTACGTGAATAGAAGAAGTACAATATTAAATTACGGTGACAATTTAAGAACAATGTTGTGCTTCTGCGTGTGTTTTGCAGGACACAGCTGAATACACTCTGGAAGTGGAGGCGAGAGACTGTAATGGGCACAGTAATGGATTATTCGCCCAGGCAACTGTGCACATCACCATTGCAGACGTCAATGACAACGCGCCCACTTTTACACAGGAAGAAGTGAGTGTTTATGCAGTTATTGGACTCACTCCCAAATAAATCTGGCACGGCAGAGGTGTAATTTCGTTACCTCTTGCCACTTTCGGGTGTGAATGCAGTTACCTAGTAGGCAGAGCACTGCGCTATGAACCCGTGAACCTGAATTATATTTCAGACCACAGCTAACATCAGTAGTGAGTGATACCTACGCCGGTCCTGAGTGCTTCCTTCACCAACTCGCATTGACTGATGTGGTGAAGTACGGTCAAATGACCCATATGGCTGACAGAATGGAGGTCTTCATCCACCAGTGGATTGGGCAAGGGCTGTACGTGATTAATTAACGTGTTACTTCTACTCTTACACCTCACCACCATCCTTATTATTAACACTTTTACTCTGAAGATAAAGTCTATGGGCAAGAAATTTGACTTTTTGTACCACCTCCAAGGAAGCCGCAATTTGATTTGCAGAAATTGAAATACATAACGTAATAACCTACTCATTTGAAATGCTTTTCACATTGTTGATATCTTTGTTTTTGCTGGAGGAAGAAATAACTGCCAGTTTTTTTTTTTATGTGGCCCATGGATGATGTAAATACGGATCAAGACAATGGCTCTGTATAGCAAAGGAAATAGTGTTTCATCGGTACTCAAACAGCACTCAACAGTGATGCATCAATTACTTGCCTTACATTCTCCTGATATATATTAATTTTCAGGTTGTTTATACAGCCTTGCAGTTAGTGGCTTTAAAATAGCTTAAGATGTTGGACGTGATGACCTCTATTGTGTGTGGACAAGAGGTCACTGGAATACATATCAGAGGTAGCTCTGCAATGTCTGCTTCAATGGGCTGTTCTCTAACACGAAGGGTTGGACTGCTCTGCAAGAGATCCGAAGTCTTTGTCTTGTAATATGGTGTTGATAGCGTTGTTGGGATAAAATGTAGTGGGACATGATGACAGAAAATGTAAAAAGAATGCAAAAATATGTTACTATGGGTTCTCTACAAAGCTTTTGTCTCATCGCAACTCATCTCCACCTCAACCTATAAATAAAATAATTGTTTACTCCAGATCCAAGTCACTGTTAACAAGGGCAGCAGAGACATCACCGTTGCCACCATCGCAGTGGAAGACAGAGATGAGAAGCTCACGGAAAACTGGCGCGCCGTCTACAAAATCAGTGGCGACACGGAGGAAATATTTTCCATTTCCACCGATCCCAACACCAATGAAGGAGTCTTAAGACTTGCCAAGGTCAGTCTATATAATTCAGAAGTATCTAGGCTGTGCTATGACAATGTCATAATAAATTCTATTTCGTGAAATTTTTCCAAGTACAAACAAGATTTTGAATCATGAACACATATTGTTATGTTAATTATATATGGGTAATTTTTATAACCTGTGCCTGTGTTTAGTATTTGTACATATGTGGGTGTACATTTTACGCGTAATGCGAACATGCTACATTATAAATCCAATGATTATTCACTCAAACCACGTGAATTACATCTTAAAAATCCAATAGGCAATCCGACTGAGGAATGCAAATCGAAGGTGAACTCAAACCAAAATGTGGAGACAAATGCCATGATTACTTTTATAAACAGAGGACATTGGCCAAAAGCATGTGCAGGCAGGAGGCAGAGTTGTGCCTGGCCGAGGTTTATGTAGACTAACAGACTGGGCAATTTCAGAAAACCGTCAAAACACTCCACATTCATCATTGTGTCCACTCTGAGAAATTATTTCTTTCAGATTTAAATATATGCACCTGCATGTCCTTCATGCATGCCAGTTGTTGGTGTCTTTGTGCCAGGGAATTAGCACGCACAATAGAGCACATAAATGAATTGAAGATATATATACTGCGATAACCTTTTGCCAACCAGGCAATTTTCAGAGTGTGCACTGTAAAAAAATATATAATGGGGGAAAAAAGGGTTGCACGCTTGGCATTTACCGTCAGCAAATGTACATGAATAGGGAGTTGTGCATAAAAAATCATTACAGCATGCATTCTAAGAAGTCGAAATCATGAATTATATGGATTTAAACGTGAGCGAGTGAAACAATAATTACAAAAATCCGAGAAGAACGAGCAAATTATAGCATTTTATGAAGCCATCAGTTTATATTTCCACCAAACAAATATATTGAGTTACCACATTCGGAATATGCTGCCTGAATTTAAGACTATTTGGCAAAGCGGAACATGCGGCGAGTTTTTACCGCAAAGGCAATTTTCATGTACTTGAGCGTTCGATTTCCACCATTTACTGCGGGCACTGTCAATATTAGGCATCTGCTTTAGAGTAGATGTTTTGAGACTGCATACACGTGAGAGGGAGTCCACACGACAAATAGGAGCGATGCTATTCACGTTCGCACCACGTGCACCACGACACATGGACATGACTCGAGCACACCCCCCCCCGCCACACCCCCCCCCCCTCCCCGATGTACCTTCTCTCTCTCCAAATTCTCAGGAACTTTCCAGAAGTTCCTCGAAGCCGCTCCTTCTTTCCCTGCCAAATATCCCCCATTCTGGTTTCCTACAATCCCCCATCGCCCTTTTTCTCTGATTGGATAACCACCGCCTTTCTCTATTCAGTCATCTTGGCTGTGGTCCCGTTATCCCCCAAATGCCCTCTGCGTGTCCCGGTACAATCCTCACAACGTGTAGACCCCAAAATGGTTAAAATTGGTGAGACCCCTTCGGAAAACATATATTTCGAGGTTATGTAAGAAAATGAGGGAGAAATCCAAGAGAGGAATAATCCCAAGAGGCGGAGGAAGAAACCCAATAAGCTGAGGCAAAGACATTTTTAGTTGCCACGCCGCTGGCAAGGGCGAGTCGACTTGTGGAGAATAGGGGGGGGGGCGGGGTGGCTTGTAAATGCATTAACGTATCAGCAATAGGAGGCTAATGTAAACCGATTAGTGAACACCCCCATAGCGAATGAAATAGTCTAAATTACTTAAAGCGAATTCCAATTTCTCACAGACATGAAGTTAATATCACGGGTTGCGTTCCGAGCTGACGTTTCTGGAAAACAAAACGCGTGACTAAATGTCACGACGTGTACACACATCATATGGTTGTAAGTTTACATTCATTTAACTAATGATGAATACAAATAATTTGACTTTAAAAAACACACACCAGAGGTGTTTGAAGAGCTTACTGATCGAGACCTCTTGAGCAGTGGTGTAGTCACAGTATGCAGACGAAGGGGCAGGACAACTTGTCCCTCCATCTGATGATGAAGCTAAAGCCACAGGAATGTTTCACCAGCGGAAGCTGCCTCTCTTGTGGGAGTCATAGAGGGCATCTTATCTACCTCAACAAACAGACTTTTATATATATTTTAAAAAAATTCAAATCTGTAGACCCAGCAATTGTTTGGAAAAGGGAGCAATCCCACAATGTATTGTGGTGTAATTTTCAAAATGTGCCCGTGGCAAGGAGTTTAACCAAACTTTGACGGAAAATTAACCTGATATATTTTTTAAAAAGTTCTCATTTAAGTGTTTTCATATTTAACATGAAAGACAAATACAATAACAATATTATGTTTATTTAATTTTCTGCCATGACTCTAAAATTATAAATGCTCAAAGTGCAGCCCCGCAATTCCTTTCTCATGCCCACTGCTGACGAACTGTTAAGAATGTGTACTTGCCAACACGGCTAAACAATGCAGGCAGGACTTGGAAAAGCTGCGTGGATTTTTATTTTTGCAGGAGATATACACTGACATGGAGCTGCAGGTGTTGGTGGAGAATGAGGTGCCCTTGGTGGCAGGGGTGGAGGAGACTAGCGTGGCAGGGAGGACATGTCGAGTGCTTGTCTCCATGCTGGGTGAAGTTGGGAGGATCCAGTTCGTGCCCCCAGTTACCAAGGTGCACATTCAGGAGACCGTCCTGGCTGGGCAAATCCTCGCTGTGCTATCAGCACAGGACACGGAGAACAACTCAAACGAGAATATGAGGTATTTTTTTCAGCATTAACTTTTCACATGAGTATAATACTAATTGCTTACATGTATAGGGTCATTCATGTAAATTATAATTTTAAAATGCTGTAGAATTTTACAACGCACAGTTTTTCGCACGGAGACATGGGAAACCACAGACAAGTGGGGAGACAGAGAGCTGGTGAAAACTGATTGCCTGAGCTCTGTAGTCCTATCGTGATATGTTTGGCCAACTCCATGAATGAGTGTTTATAAAATGTACAATACTCTCATTTATGAGATCATGTGTTGCTGTCTAACCAAGCAAGGCGAGTTAAAAAATGAATCAAAACATTCAGATGAAACATCATGGGACCTCCTTTGCCAGTACACCTTTTGGTGTCCTCTGGTCTAACATCGTTTGAGACGAGGCTAAAAAGAAAGCTGTCTCTGGTGTGGACCAATCAGTTTCAAGGACAATGCCACATATATTATCAGAGTATGTGTTTTGTTTGCATTCTGACCACAAGTATTGTGGTTAATGGAGACATGATTCCTTTTTAAAGGTTTCAGTTTGGTGTTTTAACTTTAACACCAGTTTTGTTGCTAGCAAAAAGGGCAAAAACCTATTCCCATTCAAATGATAATTCCCAAACAATTGTAAAAAAATATATACATATTTGCCTAGTTTTGATTCTCGGGCTAACATTTCCTTTTTCACAAGCAGTGAACTTCTCTTTGTAGAGTGTTAAGCCACACTCTATGGTGTCGAATAAGTAAAGATAATTGAAGCGATTACATGGACACTCTTTGGTTCTTTCGGTAAGTCACGTTTGGTAGCAATAAAACAAAATAAATCACGACGTTTCGATAGCAACACAAGCCATCGTCTTCAGGTGAAAATGGCGACAGCCGCGATGTCTGCTGTGAGCAGCGCGATGCCTGCCGCCATTTTCACCTGAAGACGATGGCTTGTGTTGCTATCGAAACGTCGTGATTTATTTTGTTTTATTTCTACCAAACGTGACTCACCGAAAGAACCAAAGAGTATATGGATTCCTGCAGTCACGAAAGCCTAAAATCAAGATCGATTATATGTAGTTCTATTTTGTCAACTATTTTATTACGCTCTGCGATGTTCTTGAAAAAGAAGTCCATGAGGACGTAGTTTTCACTTGGCATGATGTCAGTACAATGCTCGGAATATGAAAATATCTCAAAAAAATAAAAAGACAGTTAATACAGCATGAATCGTCGATTAATGTCCCCAACATTCTAATTGAAGTAAGAACATAAATTATTAAGTGTAGCAGATGTAATGGGCTCAGTCTAGTCAACAATAAGTGCACGACATGAGCAATGTAAACATTATTGTTGTACTTACCTTGGTCAAGTCAAGCTCTAAGGGCTTTGTCAGCAGATTGGCATTGAGAAATCGACTCACTCTTCCATGCAAGATAAATAATGCCACTTTAGTGTTCTGGTATGATTGGTGCTTGAAGGTCTGGCTGGTGATATAATATCCAGCTTGTTCCACAATGTGCCGTGTGGCTTACAAAGTAATGGGTTGTCTGTTAAGCGCCTTTGCAATGACTTGTCATGTGACGACGCGATATCAACTGTTATTATCATTATTTGCAACAACCATGCAGCAAGAGCTGTATATAATTTGTCGAAAAATGCAAATAAAACATTAACTGCAAAGACAGACGAAGATGATTGAATCTTGATTTGAAGCTTTCGTGACTGAAGGAATCCATACTCTTTGGTTCTTTCGGTAAAGTCACCTAAGTATAAAATAAAATAAATCACGATATTTTCGGGCGCAAAACAAGCGTCCATCATCAGGTGGGAAAGCATGGTCTGCTGCCGAAGCAGACTGTTTACAGTCTCTAAGGGTTTTGTCAGCAGATTGGCAGTCTGCCTCAGCAGCAGACCATGCTTTCCCACCTGATGATGGACGCTTGTGTTGCGCCCGAAACGTCGTGATTTATTTTATTTTATACCTACGTGACTTTACTGAAAGAACCAAAGAGTATGAAGATGATTGAGTCTGTAATGTCATCCTTTTTCGGGATAAACCTCCATCATTTTCCATGTATGAAAATGTCAACATGTCTAAACTACATACTGTATTGACATAATTTACATATTAGACCATACTTAATTAATCAACATGCAAATGATGATCATGGGTCGGGCAGCTGTGAGGAAAAAAAAAATCTCCCAAAAATATTCAACGCTCGAGCAAATTGACGGCATCGTCGTATTAAAATTTCATCTACTGCACGCAGCAATCATTTCTTTGAAGTGGCATTTCGAAAGCCGTTTTCCGTGGGGAAACATGACATTCCGAAACAGGCGGCTAAATGCAAGAACCCACGTGAATATTTCTATGACCTTTCCGACTGCTGTCGCGTTCAGGTACGCCATCCACGAGGATGAGGCCAATTTACTGGACATTGATGCAGCCACAGGGAAACTTTCTGCGAGGGCTGACTTGAAGAGGGACTCTCCGTTCTTACAAAACGACAAGTACACAGCGCTGGTCACTGCCACTCTGGAAGGTAACGTCGGTTAGAGTAAGATCCACAAAAGGTGGATCTCACAAAAGGTGGATCTTACAGACCATCAAAAGAATGCAGTCGTTTGAAGATTGTTGTGTGTTCCTACAGCATTCATACAGGTCAAGTGTTCTGACAATCATCATGTTTTTCCTCGGTTGTATATCTCCTGGTCATTGTCTCACCGTAGGAGTACAGATACGAATTGAAAATTCGTTTATCAAGAACAGCCTCACAGAGGGCCATGCAATGTTACTGGTACTGGCTAAACATTCCAATGCTCAGTTTTAGTTTATTTTGAATGCTGAAACATTTGCTGCAAATTACTCAATTCAGGTTACACATAGCAACAACTCTCCATCCTGTGAAAAATGATTTCCGGGACCCTCCTGAACAAAGAGTCTTGAGAGCCAGCGAAGCTTACATGGGTAAACTCGCACTATAATAACAATATAACTTGTGTTCATGAAGCTCTCTGTTTTATGTTGGCAAAAACTGAATTACGCAGACAAAATTCAAACATTAGAGTCAGAATCTTAATTTAGACTGCAAGAGGAATCCGATGAGCTATGAAGCTCTTTTTCACAGTTGTCAAGTATGGGCGGGTCAGCTAGTTACAACAGCAAACAATACAACAATTCATAGTTTTGGTTAATAGGATGAATTTCCCACCACTTGCAGGTCACTCCTCTCATCTATTTGCTTAAACAAAACATCTCAGATGTTAACTACCTCGCCTGGTATGGAGGAGGTTGTGAGTTCTATCCCGACCCTGATGTCTGTATATTTGGAGTTTGCATGTTCTCCCTGTGGTCGCGTGGAGGTTTCTCCTGTTCCTCCGATTATTCCCTCCACATTTAGAATCAATATGCATTGAGAGTATTTGGCTACTATATATTTCCACGTGATAAGCCACTTGGTTGAGCTATCATTTGTGTCCAGGTCGCTTCAGTGAGCCTTATCTGGTAGATTGAAAAATTGTTAAAATAGCAATAGTTTAAATTATGTTGAATAACAATGGAGACAGAACAGAGTTATGCTTATATATGTATTACTCACAATGCTCCACAGAGCTACACAATGAGTGTTATGTGTACAAAGGCTCGGATAATGGGAAGAACCATCGTGGGGGTAACATAATTTTGCGCCCACTGATTCGGAGGCATGGATAATCGGAAGAGTGGGTAACCAGTGTGCAGATAAGAGGACCTTCACGTACGTAAGTTCACGATGACCTCCGTATACAGGAGAGGAGTTTGGCACGGCCACCGGAACGGTGCTGATCGTGGTGCGGGACTCGGAGGACTCAGACTCGGGGCAGCGCCCGATCGTGTTGCACACGACTGCGTGCGTCCGCGATGAGAACTCGTCCGTGTCGATTGACATCGCCGCCACCGATGCACAAGGGGCGTTTGTGGGGTCACCACCGTTCGAGTTCTTCGTTGACAGCCAGGACCAGGGCTGGGTGATCACGCAGATGGACGGTAAATGTTAACACGTAAAAGAGCGACTGTATTTGTTGTATGTATGTATGTTGAACCTCTTTCACACCTTGCATGGCTAACCGTGCTAATCGTAAGTGCGGTGAAAGGACAACAAACTAAACACAAAGAGCATTCTAAAGATATGGGTTTCCAATCTAGATTTAAAAATGCATAACTCCAGTGGCTTCCGAATATCGAAAGGAAGCGCATTCCAGATGGCTGCAGAAGCGCACGTGAAAACGCGCTATGCAGTGACCACCGTCTTTGTTCGATAGCTGGCCAAAAGCCGCTGCTGCGAGGATGACCGGAGTTTGCGCGACGGTTTACGCTCCTAGACGAGATCAGCAAAAGCATTGTCGTTCAATTTTGGCAAACTCTCTGCATGTGGTGTAATGAGTGCAACCTTATAACGTAAGTAACAAACAAGCATTCTCTGCAAAGGCGTGTGGCCAGCGTCGAAGAGTCGGCCATGATTAACCCTCATGCGGGTCTCTCTCCCGATCTCCCTCTTGGGGGTTAGGCCCTTCCGCCAGCGGTGCTGCGAGCAAGCAACCGCAGGGCTGCAATCTTTACCTTTCACTCAAGCAAACTTTGCTCACCCCTACAATGAACAGATCTCATTTCTGCCTGCTTTTAGCAAAGGCGCAGCCCTGCAATTGCTCGCTTGCGGGATGTGCACATCCTGCAGAGCACATTGCACTTTGCTACATATTTAGCGTTTCGGTGTTTATCAGCTGAGCTTAGTCAGCCGCGTTTCTAATGCAGTGTGGCAGGGCCCTGAGTCAGCTCCCTCTGGCCTCTTGGCCCAGGGCCCAGAGCTAAACACAAATGCTGTCCCTCTGTATACGAGTGTTTGTGTGCAGTGAGTGGCGTTCAGCCCACTAACCAAATTATTTGCCAGGCTGGCAAGAGATACGGTCCACGCCAATGCCCGTGCTGTGCTAAGCTGGAAGTGACATTTATAGCTCAGGGCTGAAATTGCAGAAATGCAAAAGCTTTGTAATCCACTGGTATTCCAAAATCACCTCTGACATTTTATCATCAAGGATATGCATTTTTGGGTTTAGTAACGTGATATCTTGGCACAAAATTATCACAAACTGGATCTTCTTAAAGTTCAAAATCAACAAGGGTTCAAAAAGGTTTTTTCTGCTATTGAAATAATTATTTGTAATAAATGATCATAGTTATTTAAAAAGTCATTATTGTTAACATATTTAATGTACCCGGTTCACATTTTCTAATGTGTTTTCCGGTTGTGTCTATCCAACAACTATCTTAATCTGTTTAGTGAATTTGAACAAAACTTGTTTAATTAAAGTTATCTTCACCCCAACTTTGCAGCCTTCCTTACTAAGTTCTTCAATACATTTTGTAATATATTTCTATTGGTTCTTATGATTACGTAACCAGAAAATATATATTTAATATATTCGTCATTTATTTGTGTGGATTTCTTTCTCCTGTCCGTTTTTAGGAAAAGATCTACTCATGTCACTTACAATAACTATGGCCCATGTGTATCGACTCAAATATATGCTGCTTTTGGCACTTGACCAGAGGTTTTCTTACAACATATTTGGACCAAATTATATAAATGTAGAATGTAGCTTGGAGCTACTAAATCTGCTTAGGGAGATACTTTAATCATCACTTAATTTCAGCCGGAACAGTCTGGAACTCTGCTGCGGGAATTATTTTGGCACACCACACATTTTTATTTATATAAACCTGTTTGTAGGATCACAGTAATATCGGGTACAATAACATAAGATTGTTATCGATAGGCGTACCTTGTACTCTAGTGGTAGTGCCTTACACCAATACCTCCTACTCCATGACAGTCTTGTATAATTCTGGTAAACATTGAGCGAGTATTTAAACCCTGATTTTGATTGTGGGACAGTGACCCCAGCAAGTTGTGATGTTCTTCAGGTTCTCGGGCAAAGCTGAGTGTGGAGTCGGGGACACTGCCGTGCGGTGATTACTTCATCCCTGTCATGGGTGTCGACGCTGCCGGCTCAGAGCTAGGTTTGAGTGTGCAGCTTACAGTGTGTCGCTGTGAAGATGGCCCGGCCATCGTCGGTGTTCTGCCCGTGCAGGATGGAAAAACAGGGCTCTGCTTGTCCAGTGGAGGCCTCGCTGCCATTTTGTGTTCTATCATCGCCGCGCCTCTCCTAGGTGAGCCAGGCTCGGTAAACGTCGCGGCCAAAACGGCAGCCTTGTAGTCGAGCAGACGTTCTCTCAACCCACGTTGTTGTCAGCCTCTAAATTCTCACTGCTGCCCAAGGGCTCCCTCATTTTCTTCCATTCTCTCCTTTCCCCAGTTGCTCCTGTCCAGAAGTGGACTCTGAATGCTTTAATATCTTTTCACTGTTGTCTTTCTCCGCTTCTCTTCCCTTCTCTCGGTCCGCACTCTTTAGGTCAAATTTGTCCCTCTTGTTTGCTGTACTCGTGATGTGTTCTGTCCATTTGTTGTATGCTTGGAGACAACACTTTTTTTCAAATTATGAAAAGATTAATTGCAAAAAAGTTATATTTCGAGACCAACAGCTGTTCAGTGAGATAGCTATGTCATGATTTAATTTACCTCTTATTATAGTCACCTACAATGATCATTGTCACGTAATGTTACAGGTGTAGTGTTTTTGGCACTCCTTCGTAAGTGGTTTACTCGAAGAGAAGTGGAAAACAAAGGCTTCATCCAAGCAGCATCCAGCGATGATGTACAGGTGAGTAAATCAAAACAATAAATCAATGTCATCTGCCTTTTCACAAATGTAATAGTAGCCGACACCTTACTTATTAGACGTGTTTAAGTCAAACAAGGTTTTAACTGTTGAAATGGGTAAATAAATAATGAGTAAATTATATAACGACTGTGGAAGACTTCCAACAAATGATTACATTTGATGGCTTTCATTACACTGCAAAATTGTCAAAATTGCACTTTCTAACATTTAATCATAACAGATGTCTTGATTCGCTTATTACACACTTAAAAATGAGCTTCATATTTGTTGATCTAGCTAGGTGCTTCAACGGTAGAGTAAACAGTTCGCAATTGGAAGGTTGTGAGTTCAAATCCCTGTTGGGTATTGACGTCGTCCATCATGCCTCTGGGGTAAATAAAATGAGTACCACTCTTTGGGGAAGTCACTGTGGATAGATCCCCCCCCCCCTCCGCCATAGGATTTCCAGGCCAGTGGATTTCCACCACTGGCTCAGGGCTGGAAACAGGAGAAGAGCATCTCTTCAATGTCCATTTGAACTTTGACTGTTTTCTCTAAAAAAAGATGTATTTATATATTGTCTTCACGTTAGTTTGTGGCTGTGATGCAAAAAAAAAACAAGCTCAACAAAATTTATGTTTGCAGTGTTAAACTTGTGCGCCTGCCATTTAATACGAACCGTGTTATCTTCAGAATTGATGTGGAGGATTTTTTTTTACCAATGTTTCTGCATTTGTTAAAAACTAAGCAATTATGTCCGACGTGCATGCATGCATGGATGCATACGACTGCTCAGTCAGACTAAAGTGAGAGATGCAAAAATACTGATTGTAATTGTATCATATGGGACTGATGTTGCTGTGATTTTAAAATAGTGTGAAAGCCAAGGTCAACGAAGATTGGAAACTGTTATTGAAGAAGTTAATGTGGAAAGCTCAACAAGCACACACAGAAGTGCATCTGGGAGCAGACCCACATTACTCATGGAAAAATCTACGAAAATTAGACATTCTGAAGCCATGGCAATTTCAAAAGGTGATGAGAAGACCCTAACCTGTGTGCATGAGGACAGCCTTAGTCAGAGCTGCACAAAAGCTAAGAAGGAACACATTGCCGAAGAAGAATTGTTAATGAGAGCAACAGGAGCACTGATATCGGATATCAATGCAGGCCAAACAAACGTCAATGTATCAAGGCTGAACTACAGGGATGAAACGGAGGGACAAGAGGATGCATCAATGGAAGCCAAAGTGAAGGCGACGCGGTCTGTTGAGGTTTTGTCTGAGCAGGATTTAGTGAGGTACAACCGGGCTCTCAATGGTAAGGACAAAGTCAGTGTTGACTTTGGGAACTCGCATGCTTCCTCTTGCCATCTACAGTTACAAGACAAAGCTATCACAGTGATGGATGAGAGAAATGTCGAGGTGATCTATGGCAGTGAAGATGGCGGTGACAAGTTGAAGCGGCAAGATTTAGAGTATAAAGTAAAATCGGCAAATGTTCTAAAGTCTGAACACATGGCCACAAGCACGGTAACGTCCAATAAGGGCAACCTAAAGACTACGCACATTGAGAAATTAGAGGTGCGAGACCTTGATTCCACGGGAGCATTCTCTCGTGCCGACTCTGAAATGGGATTGCGAACCATGAGTCAAGCTGTTATGCAGCAGGCGTATAGGCAGGGCGTCAACGTTTTGCCAGACACTCCTGTCAGCTCCTTACACACGACTCACTCGAATACATTGGAAGCTGGCACTGGCACTGCCACACACTTACCAGGCTCGTCATTAGCTGTGTCTAGACAAAGCAGTGGCGCAAAAACCCAAATGCAGGTTTCGTCCCTGCATGTTAAGTCTGCAGATCATTTAACGAGTGTGGATTTTGGCAGCCGTCCTGCTGCATCTGACACAGTTTCAACAAATGATTCTGTGTCGTCCGTATACCATGGTCATTCCAGCAACATGGTCATCCCAGTGCAGACAGAACTATTTGCTGATCACCAGTCGATGGACAAAACTGCAACATTCATGTCTTTGGTCAAGTCAGAGCAGTCGGAAATAACAAATTCATTGCAATCTCAAGACGTGAGCGAAAGTGGATCAAGGCAAGGGTCAAATACATTTGAAGGCAACGAGGTAACGTTTGATAGCAGCTCGACCCTACAAGGTTCGGGAGTTCAAGATCGCAGTTCACTGTCGACCAAAACCATGACTGAAGGGAGGAGTGTGACACCAGCAATAGAAGCTGTAAAACATGCTCAAGATTACCCAATGGTTGTCACCTCTGGGGATTGTCAAGGAGCATCTGGAGCAACACTTTCAAAAGCCTCAAGAAGCACCATATCTTCATTTTCCTCTAGTCAGCCCAGTAGCACCACAACTCAGACAGAGCCTTTGTCACCATCTCAGTTCAGGGAAGAACCGGGACAGTTCACGTTTCAGAGTTCAGAGGTCATCATAGAATCACAGGCTGGAGACACTGTTAAATTTGGAACTAAACAGACATCCAAAACTTCTGATATCAGGAGAGTCCAATTTGATAACGCGAGCCAAGAAGATCACTCATTATCAGGGAATACAAAATTAATTCTGGAGGGAAGGAGAACAGACGTGTCCTCATTGGCAGGAGGTACACATATAATTGACATTCAGAAGGGTATGCAGTACAGCACAGTTGTTGGCAATCGGTCTAAAGGAACTTCCATAGGCGGTGTTCCAGAAATCATTACAACAAGTGCCAGCACATATTCTGCACCAGTGTCCACACATCAGTCCTCTAATATGCAAACAGAACCATCAAAAACTTTATTTGTTAAATCTGTGCAGCATTCTGTTGGGGGTGGTCAAGAAGGAAATATCGCTACAGCTGGTACAGGTCTTATTCAAGGCTCGAGTTCATCCTTTTCTGCTGGTGAAACCACAAGTGTGAAGACAACAATGTTATCATCACAAACTCTAAACAAAAGTAAAGACTCTAGTTCAGAAGCAAATGTGCTGCATTCAAAGCCTCGCCAATGTAAAGACAGCAGCAGCGATGTGCATGGAGAAACATTGCAAAGTTTAGAATGCTCCGGAAAGGAATTTGAACACAGAGTCATCCAACGCGTGGGCAGTCAAGAGCAACAATCTGTTTTAGAAACGATGAATTCAACTATTGAAGGAAAACAAAAGCATGCATCACCATCACTTAAAAGTGACACAAAGGTGATATTTAAAAAACAAAGGAGCTATACCGGAGATGTAGAGTTTGGAGTTCAATCAACCACTCGTGCTAATTCCATAAACAGCTCCAGTGGTTTGGTATCATCTCTTTCATCCATTCAGCAGAATAAAATAGAAAGACCACTTTTACCCGCACTGGCAACGTCTCTGGAACACACTGTTGGTGACACTTCAGAGGTATATTCCACCAGTGCTGACATATGGTCTAAGAAAAGTTCTTTGTCGTCATTTTCTTCTGATGAACACAGCAGAAATACGATCCAAGGGCAAACGATTTCTTCTATACCTGCAAATAAAGGGAAACGTTTGGATGTAACAGAGAGCTTCACTCCATCTACACAACCTGATGGACTCAGACAAGGCTCTGTTCAGCTAAAGTGTCCAGAAGAAATTTCCAAAAAACAGGAAAAAGAAAATCAAGCAGGCAATTTAGTAACACAGAAAACGTTTTTCAGTTCCATCCAAAAGAAACCTCAAAAAGAAATGACAAACGCAAGCAGCACTTTCATTGAATCAGGAACAGAAAAGCTATTGAGTGAATCAACACAGTTAAACACCAAGTTGAAACCTGCAGAGAATCCTATTCCGCTTTGTACAAATAAGACATTAGTACAGCCATCGAGTATAACCAACAGTGGCATTCAATATGCCGATAAAATGCCAAACAGTGTTTCTATAAGAGGTTCAGAGGCTTCAGCCATTCCCAAATTGCATGGATCTTCACTAGGCGCCGGTTTGTCAAACGCGCAAGGAAAATGGGAATCCTCACGGGGTGTCCCGACTGCTCTGGCTGCCACAGGTTCAAAGAGTCATGGCATTGTTTCAGAGGAATTTGGGCACAAGCAGCTTACGAGTCCAACAAAATCAATGGGTCACAGTCATTACGCTTCCAAGTCTTCCTCAGCAGGTACTATCTCGTCCGACATGGGCGGCGGTGGACATTCAACTTCTTACCAAATTTCAGCGTCTGACAACACTGTTGAAGGTCACGTTAAACATGCAATGTCAATATCGCAACAGGCTACAAAATACCATCTGCAGCCATTACATGAGGATGTTGCGCCAGTTAAAGGTGCAGCATTTTCTGCTTCACTAGAGCAGCATTCACTTTTGCATCAACAAAACGTGAGTGGAGCATCTGGAAGAGAGCTACTGGAAACAGCAGACAAGTCTCAAGCTCAGCTTGGAGGCATGGTGAGCACAAGAATGACCTCTGCACCACATGCGATGCAACTGCAACACAGCGTGGCATCTGTACAGTCACAGGCTGCGAAGGTTTCACAACCTGTGCAACTACAGAGAAACATGACACATGAGACCACAGCATCCCAACGAACAAACCAATCTGATCACAGGGAGAAAGAAGTCTCTAGCCACACTTCCATCCATGCAAAGCCCTCCATTTCTGGTTTGAAGCAAGCAAGAGGCGGTGATGAAACGATACGGATAGTGATAGATGAATCAAATGTCACGCCAGAAGAGGAAGCAGGGTATTTCAGATCATTCCATAGATACGAGAGTGCCCATATTCATTGACCATCCCCATCATGCTTAGTCTCACTTTCACAAGCAAAATAGTACATGTTTCTAAATCGCATGCAACTGCCATTTCAAAATAGGTGATATGTTGCTATGCACACAACATGTAACTTCAGTATGCATATTATAGGAAGTGTTGTTATCGTAACATGAGTGTGCAGGTGAACTTTGCCCGCTTTTTATTGGATTCAGAATCACACTCTTCCATTCTTTTTTCGAAAAATTGGGTAATCTAAAATAGGTGTCATATTTAAACTGCAAACTTGTATCAGGCTTCCTTTAAAATATACACATTCCAAATCAAACATGAACATTTATTTTTTATTGGGATTTTTTAATGCAAAATTTCACGTCATTTTTGGAGGGCTGTAATTTTTGGGCGGCCAATGTGAACATTTTACATTTGATATATTAAATTATGAATTTATATTTTGTTTCAGCTCAATCTTGGGTAGCTAAAATGTGTTTTTTGAAGTGTTGTTATGACCATTGACCTATACTTTTGCCAAATACCGTATTAGCTTTCCAGCACTTCTAGGATAGTATTAAGAATGTGTATCACTCACACACGCATGACTGACTGATTTATACAAAATTCTGTGACCTTAAAATTTTTGCCTGAAATTTTGACTATATTAAAGTTTCACCTTATATATGATGTATATTTCTAAGTGATATTTCTAAATAAAACATTTTCCGTGTAATTGTGATAAAGATTCAGAAAACGGTGTACCTTATATACATGTTCTGTCCAGACTATAGCCTCATATGGTAATTGACAATTTCATGACATTGCCTTGCCCTGTATTGATGGAATTTTATAATAACTTTTTTTATAAATATGTAGACATATAGGCAAATAAAATGTCATGCTAACCAGTTCCTTTATACTTATGAATACTCATATCACTGTTATGTAACCCAACACAAAAAGTATTTTTCATTTCCCATGCGTTGTGTTTCCTCGAATCTGTGGGATTGCCCTTGAAGATGATAGAGCGTGGCTCATCTTCTAAAAGGACGCTTTTAGGCCAACATCAACACCTATCTCCTCTATCAAAGGAAACAAAAAAGTACCCAGTGCAATTATGTGACAGTACACTCGGTTTTAAATTCACTTTTTTACATATACACAGTATCATGTTGTGAATAAGTGAATATTATTGTACATTGTTCTTTGCAATATTCTCTCTCATCATTCTGTTGCAGGTGAGATGATTTATGGCCTGGCCCCACAAGCCAATCTCATCTGTATCACCAGTGACAATGACCTCTCCAAACAAGAGTGAAAACTACTATCCTGAAATGGAACTTTGCTTCTTCTTATATTTCTAAAATATACAGGAGCTCGACATGAGCTGCTTAACACGTCGGCTTCCGCGACCAATATCCGTAATATAGGTTTGTTGGGTTAAATTGTTTTTTTAGGTTAGGTTAGATTGCAATGTTGTGGATTTGCTCTCCAACACACCAGTGTGCTGCACTCGTAACCTATTTGGCATGTTCAATTTACGTGACAAACCTTACTAATTGGCTGTGTCGGGTGGTGGCGGGTATAACAACACATTCATATTTACGTGATCTAACCCAAAAAAAAACCTATATTATGGATTATTATGATCTGCCTTTATCCAGTTTTTTTTTATTTTCCTCTGCATAATTTAGTTTTTATGGCTGACTTTATTGACACATTTGTCCATGGCATTAGCCTGAGGCCATAATTACTGTCCCAGGATCGTTTGCAACTATAATGACATATTTTAGTAACGTGGACTTTAAACTTTTAAACGGAGTCAATTTTTAAGGTATCTAAAAGGGTGCTCAAAGTGGGTCATGCTTTGTGTGTGAAGCCATCCATAAGTGCCTTCTCTGCTACCTTCATTGTATCATTACTACTAAAGGGGGAATGTCACCGTGAACTTTAGACTCGTTGGTTCCTTCACCCATGTTGAGAACTCTGTCTACCAGACTGACTTTCATTTCATTCATTCTGTATTCAACCACTCCGCTGAAGATCATAACACTTACATTTTTGCTTCTTCCCTTGCACTGCCCTAACTGTAAAATTTGCTCCCATCAACTCTTTTCCAAATATTTAATTGCCTTGCTCAATTTAATTAAATGTGTTACACTCTTACATGTGACAACTTTAATTGTGGCGTTTGTTGCTGATCGCTTTGCATTTCGGGACTTTGGCCATGTGCTCAGGAGCTGTGCTTACTGGATTCCTCAATTATAAATTGCAGTGTGTTTTTAATTAGACACATTGTAGTTCGTACTTTATCTTATTTCCATTGAAAAGGAGTATAGTGAAGTGTTCAATATTGTTTTATTTCAGTCAAAATTGTGATTATTGCACGGATATCTTTGGCAAATTCCCAGAGATATCACAGTACAGCTCGGACTGCATTCGTTTCAGTTGAAGAAAGTAACATTTTACGAGGGCCCTTTATATCTGTTGTGAGCATGTCCATCTCTTACTTACATTTGGAGCGTTCAACACAATATAATACTATGTTTCAGACACGCTCTATTAAATGAATTCATTTTCCAGTTTCTTGGATGCATCTCAAAACTTGTTAGCCACTGAAGGTCAACATGTACCTTGGACTCATTCAGGCTGTACCCATGTGGCCGTTTACATATGATGTGGCTTGATTTAATCTATTCGAGGTCTTCATAATTAAAAAAGAATTAGCTTCCATATCTTGCGCCATATATATACTCGTTTAATGACATGCTTTGTTTAATACGTACTGTGTACCAAGCCCATTCCTGCTTGCACAGTAATCTTTCGGGTTTGTAAATGTGCGTATAATCATACTGTGGTCGTGTTTTACAGTTTTGGTTTAATTAAACTGTCATAATATTTAAATATGAAATGTAGAACATAAATACTAATTCGAATAACTTTATTTTAAAAAAAATTCAGAGCATGCATGTTAAATTACATCTTTAAAGAGTAGGATTGTTTCGCTATCGTGTATAGACTCGGCATAATATTGGCACGATATTCTGTGTGTAGCATGTTTTTCCTTAGCCTTTGAGAATTTTAATTAATTTTCTGGGCGGGAACGATGACTTGTATATGTTACTTGCCAACGTGTAGAGCTCACTGCACAGGGCGAATACACATGCTCGACCATGTGTAATGCCTATTGTTACTTCATACATTTTTGCAGCATTAACAATCATGCAGTATAACCATATATTATAGATAAGTGTATTTTGTATTTGAGATGACATGGTGATATTGTGTAGGTGAAATGTGTTAGTGAGTAAAACCAAGGTTTCCTAGAAACGTTACACGAAAGGTGAGTGGTCTACATTTGGATAGTACACCTACACAGATAACCGTGTATAATAATTAAAAGTAGCTAGCTTGTGGATACTGTGCATTGTCCAATGTTAAGTTGTAACGGATATCCAGTACATATTTAAGAAAGCTGTTCACACATTCTGACTGTTTTGAAAACATTAATAAACATGAAATCCACAAAATGTATGTGTTGTGCTATGAAATACTGCAAAAGTATACAACAATCTGTGAACAAAAACGATACCCATTTCTAGTATATTTGTATTACTGCATTTACTTGCATATAGTGTATATGATTACAAGGTGACATACATTTGAACGAATACTAAATACAGTACCCTGAACATGTGTATATTACTTTCATAACTAGGTAGAAGCATGTTGTAACATCTGTGGAAAGGGGTTCGCTTAGGTACAATAAACAAGGGCTTATTTGAGAATATGGCTTCATACAGTAACAGTATTAATGTAACATTTTGCCATGCATTTTGTTCGGCATTCAATCGCTTACTCCTGTGTGCCACATGACCAGGGTTTTAAGCACTTGCTGTACTTTACAGCAGGGTAGGAATTTCAGGTGGAGGTGGGGTTGAAACAAATGAACCATTGCACATTGTCTAAGCCACTAAATTATACATCCAGCTCAGGTTGAGTGTATGTGCATTCAGAGTTTGAGGCGCAACAATGGAGCACACAAGCACATTTTCACGAAATATTACGTGAACTGACGGCAATAAGTCATTTCAATATTACTTATTTCCCAGATTGCCTCCATTCATTGGAAACCATAAATGTGAAGTAAAGTTTTAAAACGAACACTAATCAGTAGGGAAATGTATTGTAGTGGTTGCTTGAAGTTTCAATGATTTTAGTTGAATAGGTTAGGTTTAGGCTTTATTTTGGTACAGGTAAAAAAAATATCAAATCCATTGGACAATATATTATTTTTCAATGGGGACATGCTCACGAAAAAAATTGATGACAAAAAAACCTTAACAAAACAAACCAAAAACAGCTGTACATGGTCAAGTTTCAAATGGCAAGGTATGCATCAACATAGTACAACGAGCACATTAAAAACCAAGGCTAAAACACAATACCTGCCAAAAATAGATATGCACGCAAAGCAGAGTGTACATGTAGATGTGGGATACGAATTTCGCACAGTCTACGAATTTACTCCTCTTATTTACAAACAATGTTTGAGAGTACTGTATGGTATATAATTGGATGCCGTTCTGATACACTTATGGGAACACTTCCAGATTCCGGCGAATAATAGGAACTTATTGGTCCGCTGGGAATAGAAATCTCAGCGGACTTTACATCTTTCGTGGATAATCTAAGGTGTGGGTACGTAGTATGGTTGTGGACAAGAGGATTTATGCACAGTAGTTAATGGTTTGACTGGATATGAGTGGAAATGGCCTTGCCTCACATGCATACATGTCAACCCATACGGTTTACCCATATTCTTGTCCAGATAAATTTAGTTTTCAGGTCCATACGGCATACAGCCATTTCAATACGGGCAAAACAAATGTCTATTTGCATGTTTCTCCCTTGTGATGGGACTTTGTAAGATGAACGTTGAGATTTATAAGGGGCACGGGGTGACCCATAAGGTCTGAATTGGTCTGTAATAAGGTAGGCAATGAAAAGGAGGTAACAGGTATGTAGACTGCTGGTGGTAAGTGCTGTTAACAAGTAACACCGATGAAGGCCGGAACAGTACACGAGCGGGTGGGTGGCCAGCACCACGCCGACCGCCTTTGTCTCCCCAGTGGCGATGTTTACACTGATGCCAGGTACTCATTTGAGGCCTAGTCGATCTAGGGGAGACCCAGGGCCACCTCAAGACACACACACGGCATGCTTGACAGTTCATTGTTGATTAAAAAAACAGCAGAGGGAAGTCACTTTAAAATGGGACCTTCTTACCAGTACCAAAGTATAAAAAAGTAAGAATATGTTTTGCCCTTTCTGGAAAAAAACAGGTGTCAAGATGTTCAAATACCAAATAGAAACATTTTGCAAGGAATCAAGTCTGCATTAACCACACGTATATTATCAGAGCATGTTTTGTGTGCATGTTCACCAAAAGTACGTGTGGTAAATGCAGTACTTGATTCCTTGCAAAATGTTTCTATTTGGTGTTTGAACATATTAACCCCTCTTGTTTTATTGCCAGAAAGGGTAAAACCTATTCTTGGTTCATAATTTGATACTGCCAAAAAAAGGTCCCATTTTGTAGCTGCTCACCCCGAGCTATGTGTAGTGTCAGCGGAGCGGGAGACAAGGTTCTTGAGGAGGCACCTTCATTCAACACTTTCAGGTCCACAGGTTCACCCTCGCTTCTCCCGAGTCGTCTAGCCTAGCCTTAACACAATCCTGACCGTGTTACACCAACGGCGCCGACCGAGACAGCCAACAACTATCCGGCTGACGGTAGCGACGAAGGCGGCGAAGATGACAGCGACGAGTCCACTTCCCAGAACCGGCAGCCACGAGGTCCCGCTCTCCGCTTTTATGCTACCCGGTGCGGCCTGGCTCTGCCCTGGCCGCGCCTCCCTTCTCGAACCCACGAGTGGGTTCCAGGGGCTTCCAGACGGGGTCTTCCATGACCCTTGCCCCAGTTCCTCCACCCTGCCGACACATCCGTATATGCTCACCGGTGTGTGTACTGCTCGTCCACCGCAGTTGCCGTTGCTGGACAACAAATGGCGCTATTACACTACAAATGCCCTGATAGTGCATTGTCCTTGTACTGCTCACCTTTTGGCGTTCTTTGGTCTGACACTGGTAGTGATGTAGTGGTTTCACTGAGACACACAACAGGGTAACTCCCTAAACGCACAACGTAGCTAACTAGACCCCAACGCGGTCACTACATAACGTACAACACAGTTAACTCTGTACTCTGGTCGACTACCTAACCATGCAACGGGATACTACATAGCGGTAACCACCACGGGGTAACTATATAACCAGACCAGGTCCGTTAACACACTGTTTGGTCCACGACTAACAAGCCCCGAAGCCCGGAGAGACGTAGACGGCGAGTTGATTCCCAGAAGACAGCCCTGATCGCTCTCGGGACTCGTCTCTTATGCTCCTCAACGTGGCCTGGCTCTACCCTCGGCCCCACCCCCTTCTCGATCTTATCAGAAGAACGAGGAACCTACACCACGTGTCCCATTACCTCTTCTGTCCGGTCACGTGCCCCCTCGGGCCAATCAGCAAAAAAAGTGTCACGTTGACAAGGCAATTGCCCGATGATGCTGGATGTATTTACCAGCGAAACGTCGTACTCAAACTCTAAATGTTGTGGATTCACTCTTCAACACACCGGTGGGCTAAAGTAGTGAATTATTTGTCTTTTGTCAACGTGACACTTTTTTTGCTGATTGGCCGTGTCGGGTGGTGGAGGGTTACGACACATTTATAAATAACGCGATCTAACCCAAAAACCTTTATTATAAATACACTTTTTTTTGGGGGGGGAGGGGAGCTCAATAATGCATTTATATTTTTTGCACGCCAAGTGAGCTGTGACGTCACATCTGTCACGTGACCCGCGCACGTGGAAGCGTAACGCAATGCAGTGTAGCGGTTAGCGCTACAGGCGTCCCGAGTTCGACTCCAGCTCACGGCCACCGCCGCTGACGATTATTTTCACCGCTTCTGGTGCCTCCCCTAGGTCGACTCAGCCTCAAACGAGTAACTGCTGTGGGCGTGTCAACATCGCTCCTGGGGAGACGAAGGCGGCCCGGGCTTGCTGAATCCAAGTCCCGCCCTTGCAGTAACTCGATTCCTTGCGGGAGAGGTCACCGGTTTATTTTGTTGTTGTTGCGCGTGGCTCGGTCCCTCCTCGCACCGGAATCACTCGCCGAGCGGGTGGGACGGCTTCGACATCGTCATCATCGTCGTCGTCGTGGAAACGATTCGGGGCGGCGATAGGGAAACAACAAGAGCCTCAAGCCATCGCGCCAAACCAGTCCTAGCACCTTTTGTTGCTGTATATACAAATAGAAAGAAATCCACAATACAAACAATTTAATAAATAATAATCTCTCTCGTCGCACACGCGCAAGACAAAGTCGCGTGTCACACAGTTCCGCACTGTATGTACACCGCAGGACATTACGCGCCACTGCACACATACACTGTACTCGCATCTTACTTTTTAAACCACAGACTTTGTCGCAACGTCGGGGGTTATAAACGCCGCACAGCCGCGCGCACAACGTGTAAGTTCTACATTGTTGTACGGTACATAGGGTCGTGCACCTCACGCGTGTGGGCAGTGATAGGCACAGCACGAATAGCGAGGGGTAGCCAGCACACTTAAGAAGTACAATAAACAGCTCATACACGCACACACACTCACACACTCCTGTATTGTAATCGAAAGTGAATAGCGATGTGTTTAGCGTATATTTGTAGACACTTTACCGAACGCAGCGCGCGCGCGCGTGTGTGTGGTGTGTACGCCACGCTATACGCAGCACACAATTTCGCTGAACTGCACTGAACGTAGTTTAATGAACCACACCGAATGTGAATACGCAAACATACGGACGTTACATAGTTCTAGGCCCTTAGCACCGCGTGTGATCTTAGGTTGAAGCAACACGCGAGACTTGGCACACCGCGGCATTAACCACACCGCGGTATGTGCGACGGACGTGACCACGATGGGCCGCAACAACCCCACCATCGATGGCGATGCAAAACAAAAAAGCTGTGTACACAGCGGAACAGGGTGGCAACTGCTGTGTAGATAGCACGCACACTTAAGCCACGCCGCATAGAGACTGCCTATTGTTATCATTGTGCACGGTGCGCACACACCCACACCCCTACATCGATGCATCAGCTGTTCGTAAACTTTCCTGCAGCGGTTTGTCGCTTTTCAGTGTACCACCACCACCACCATCGTTCTCGTTTATCGCTCTTATTCTTGTTTCGTCTCCCGAGCCGCGACGAGCTAGTTGAGAACTTGGCACAGGAGGTTTGTGCTTGATAGAGAAAGTTGGGGGGAAATTTCAGAAAAGATCCACAAAGTTTGTGCTTGATAGAGAAAGTTGGGGGAACATTTCAGAAAAGATCCAGAAAGTTTGTGCTTGATAGAGAAAGTTGGGGGGAAATTTCAGAAAAGATCCAGAAAGTTTGTGCTTGATAGAGAAAGTTGGGGGGAAATTTCAGAAAAGATCCAGAAAGTTTGTGCTTGATAGAGAAAGTTGGGGGGAAATTTCAGAAAAGATCCAGAAAGTTTGTGCTTGATAGAGAAAGTTGGGGGGAATTTCAGAAAAGATCCAGAAAGTTTGTGCTTGATAGAGAAAGTTGGGGGGAAATTTCAGAAAAGATCCAGAATGTTTGTGCTTGATAGAGAAAGTTGGGCGAACATTTCAGAAAAGATCCAGAAAGTTTGTGCTTGATAGAGAAAGTTGGGGGGAAATTTCAGAAAAGATCCATAAAGTTTGTGCTTGATGGAGCAAGCTGGGGGGAAATTTCAGAAAAGATCCAGAAAGTTTGTGCTTGATAGAGAAAGTTGGTGAAAAATCCAGAAAAAATCCAGAAAGTTTGTGCTTGCTGAGACCCACCCCTCACCCCCCCAAATAAAACCACAACTTTGGACCGAATGAGTTCCATTGCCATTGCTCCGTGAAGTTTCGGTTAAGTCCACTGACGTTATAAGCTAAGCGCCACACGGCCATAGCCACCCCCGTGCGTTGTCGTGAGTTCTCGCGTTTGGCTCACGTTTGCCGTGCCGCAAATTCAGCGGCAGGGGATGCAGGTGGGTGGATTACAACCATGACAAGCGTCACCATGCGAAGGTCTCAGAAGAACCGCGTTTACTGTTTACTGGTCGTGCTGTTTGTTTTGGTGATCATCTACATGCTCAGGTGAGTCGCGTGCAGGTGAGTGAGTGAGTGTGTATGTGCAGGTGAGTGAGTGTGTGTGTGCAGGTGAGTGAGTTTATGCGTGGAGGCCAGTGTGTGTCTTAAGTTCAGGTGAGTGTGCGTCTAAGTTCAGGTGAGTGTGCGTCTAAGTGCAGGGGAGTGTGTGAGTGTGAGTACAGGTGAACGTGTGCAGGTGGGTGCGTCTAAGTGTGCAGGGTGATTGTGGGTGCAGGTGAGTGAGTACAGGTGAACGTGTGCAGGCGATTGCGTCTAAATGTGCTGGTCAGTGAGTTTGTGTGTAGGCGAGTGCAATTGAGTTTCCAAGTGCAGGTTAGTGTGTCTTGAGTGTACAGGTGAGTTTGTGTGCGAGTGAGTGGGTGCAGGTGAGTGAGTGAGCAATGTAGGAAATTCCGCGTCGAACTTCAACATTTAGGTATGTGCACACTGTAGGTGAAGTTGCATGGAGGCAGGGCGTGTAAATGAGTGCGTGAACATATGTGAATGTACAGGTGTGTGCGTAGGTGAGTGTACACGCGTGACGATTATCAGAACCGGCCACGGGCCTCTCTTATGTCAACTCGGCCTCATGAGTGCCTGGTGCGGTGTGTAGTAAACATCGCCATTGGGGAGACAAAGGTGGCCAGGCGTGGTTCTGGTCACACTTGCCCCCAAGTGTCCCGGCCGTCATAGGTGCTCGCTAACAGCGTTTGCCCCGAAAGTATGTTAAGGCTATACGGGGGATATGTGTCTTTCGGATATCTCTGCAGGTGAGTGTGTGTGGAGGTGCAGAGATGGGTGCGTCTTTTAAGAGGAGTATTTGCACAGGTGTGTGTGGATTCCAGGTGAGTGGACAGGTGAGCGTACAAATCCAGTGGTGTAGGTGAGGTTAGGTGTGTGTTGGCGAGGTGTGTGTAGGTGAGTGTTTAGGTATATTTCAAAACGTGTGACTACCGTAATCGAATTATTGCACAGTACAATACCATACTTAAGAAAATCATTTCAACATAATTGTTACAGGATATATCTAAAGTACAGGTGTATATAAAAAAAGTACGGTGTGGTTTAAGTCAACATCACACTATTTGAATTTAACCAGAGTATTGAACATCCACTCCAGAGATATTGCAAGGTTCAGTCCTTATTGGTTGTTGATTCAGGACATTACATGGAAATGTAGAATTTCTACTCCACTGCCACGACTGTCAAATAAGATGTACTCTGCCACCAACCGGTGCACTCCGACTTAATCTGACCGTGGACATTTTAATTTGCTTTTGCCACGTTTGAAAAGACTTCTTCGAACGCACACGACCGTGACTGCCACTGGTTTAATCACACGGCAATCTCTTGTCTTGGATCAGACTTGGTGGTGGATGTGGCACGTGTCACTCTGCCAAGGGCGCTCTTAGGCACTGCAAGATGGGTCTGCTTGGCATATGAACTTGCAGTCCAGCCCGACCACTGCTGTCTCTGCTTCAGCCGGCATTTAATTTGTGGCTCGCAAGTACATAACACAAGTACATGTCCCAGCCCTGTGGTGCTGTTTATGTAAATTGTTATTGTCCAGCTCAAGAGTTGTATTTAATGGGTGGCTCTAGGCGCTGAATGAAGTACAGCATTTTATTGTTCCTGTTTTGGAGAATTGAGCCAGCAACATTGTATTAAATCGTTGCACCGAATCCCAGGCTCCCACAAAAGCTCACAACCACTTTGTAATGATCCCTGATGTTCGTCCTCTGCATCACCACGGATGAGAAGAGTTATATTGTATTAAATAAACAATGGCCTATTTTGCCACAGACATGACAGAAGTTGAATACTGTATTATGGTTATTTGCGCTGAATCGGCCTGTCCGCGGTAGTGCTTATGCGAAACATTTTGCCGACAGTGTTGGATAAAAGGTCTGGTTCTGCTGATGAGACTCAAAACCAGACCAGAATTGTTCTGCTTAAATTATTCTGGAAAACACTGCTTTAAACTGCCCATAGGTAAAAAAAAACATAGCACGGTTGGCCACGTGCTGCAAGAAGTTCAACATACAGTACATACATTAGTTAGAATAAACGTGTTTTTTTTTCCACTGGTGAGAAAGCAGCTCTTTTAACTACATCATTTGGTATCACAAAAGGTTACTTTACATGCTAAGACATTAATTAGAATGCTGCACAGTATTTTATAGGCTTGTCAACATGATGATATTACATTGTTGTACACAATTATGTGCTTGCTTCCACTTTGGCCTGGCAAGTAATATGTTCGTTTTAAGTGGTTAGCTTGTTGAGTTTTTAACTCTGCGACCAACGTTCGATTCCCAGCCTTGGATAACTTCAGTATCAGAACCGGACTTGCCCTCTACCACTTCACCAACTCGCACGCATCTGCGCAGTGAAGTATGGTCAAAAAGCCCCAATAACAGACATGATGAAGGGAAGGCCATTCATTGGTGGATTGAGAATGGCTGTAATTACTTTTTATGGTGCACTTAGCAGACTCAATAGATCTATTACAGTATTTTTTCCAGTAACTGAAATGACCTTTTCCCTATACTGTACCATCGAGTGCATTGCTGATAAATACAATTTTAAACCGTTTTTCTGACCACTTATTCAACCCTTATGGCTGGGGACAGCCAAATTAAATAAACGCCAATTTTACTACGTGGCATATTTCTGCAGTCTACATACAATATTGCACTGTTCTTATTGACTTATATGAACCCACTAAACTCCCAGCACTGAACGCTATTGCAATACCGAATCCTGCACACTCGCAATAAATGTATTCATTGACACCTTGCGTGAAGGAGCAAAGCTTGATAACATATTGTTGAATCGGCAACATTGCACAACCCTTGTGGGTTTTGGGCCAAAGTGCATTGCCATAAACGTAGAAAACCTTACGTTTGACCTTTGAGTTCTCCCTCCAATAATGGGAGAGTGTGTATAGATACTTTGAACCAAGGGATGTGTTACACAGAATGCCGTACCGTACTTAACGAGGTGCCATTCAAAGTCCACACAGCCAGTGTCTCTGCTGAATCGGGCACAGAAAAGGCAAAGTATTTTTGAGAGGTAAGTGCCAGTCATTAAGCTCTCATTGTCACCAAATAAATGAACTCCATCTGGCTAAATTCAGCCATTTAAACCTTTTTTAAAAATTCATTTTTAATCGTTTTCATTGTCCTTATTTAGTACTGTGCTGTATTTTACAACAGGCTCGAAACGCCATATGTTAAATGGCGCTGTTAATTATGTTCCTGTAACAAGCCATGGTCTCTCCAGTGCTGGCTTAAGGCTTCTCCATGCCTTCATCTGGTTCTGGTCCATGCCATAGCAGGTGATATACATCGAATAAACACTTTCCTCTTCGGGCACATTGCTGTCTTGCTTTTCATTGTGAAGTTCAGTTTTCCAAAAGCACTCCAACCTGATCTTGCGTGCCTGTTTCATCATTTAGATTCTGGTCCACATTGATTAATTTGCCCAGGGTTTCTACATTTGTCACTGTTTTCCAGTTGTCGCTTAAATATATATATTTTGTATCTCTTTTTCATACTTGTACAGGCACTGTAGGAGGCTTTTGTTTTACCCATGTTTATTGAGCCGAAATTAGCATCTTTGTTAAGATCTTTTAATTTTCTGTAATTTGTTTCCATTGGTTTGTATAACTGTGTTGTAATTATAATAGAAGACCGTTTATCGTCATGCATTTATTTCTCAATCCAATTATCCGAAAATTCATATTAATCTTGCTGTCAACGGCTTTGGCGATAGCGTATTTTATCATCTGCTCTCTAATGTGTATGGTATTGTATAAACTAGTGAGTGGTCGGTCTCAGGTGAGAGGTCAGTATGTGATAGCGACAGGTGATTGGTGCGAGTGCCATGTCACCCAAGTCCATAGGGCGGGTGAGTTGCCCACCGGTGTGTAAGGTACACGTCTTTTAACCACGGCGAGAAAGTTTCCAGAACGACATCTGGCACTAAACTAAAAAGTGTTGGCAGCACAAGCATAGTCTCCAATAGAGGGAAGATACATGAAAACCACTAGATAAACAAATATTGTTGACATCGTTCTAACTGGTTTTTATATGAACATAATAAAATAGTGTGCTTGATTTAGATGTTATTTTGAAGGAGGGATACTTTATTTCAGCTGACCCATTGATTCTGCGGACTCTTTATACTCATTCAAATTGGAAAAGCAAAGACTGTCATTGTTAAGTCACTCAGGTCTACCTATTCTATTTGAACAGGATTGTGATCTAAAAAAAATACACTTGCTCTGTTTCTGTTATTTAGATCCAGTGAGAGTACATTATGATGAGTCCTGTATTAACATTAAATACAAGTGCAAGGATAACTAAGCACAATATGGTTAATTAATTAATTAACCTATTCTGAGCTAAATTTTTATGTAAAGCTTTCGTGACTGCAGGGATTCATATTCTTGGTTCTTTCGGTAAAGTCATGTAGAAGGGAAATAATAAAATAATAAAATATAAAAACTTAATTCTCACGACGTTTCGACTGCAACACAATAAAAAATTCTTGCTGTGGTTTTCACACCTGATGATGATTGCTTGTGTTGCAGTTGAAACGTCATGAGAATTTTACTGTTTTATCTTTTTATTATTTTATTGTTTCCCTTCTACGTGACTTTACCGAAAGAACCAAGAATACTATTCTGAGCTCTTTGACCATCCCAAAAGTTATACCCCCTACTGTGCATGCATCTTTTGTGTATCAGCTGTGTTTACTGTATATCATTAACTCATGGCATGTTTGGATTTTCAAATGGACTCTGAAATTGAAAACAAAAATTATGCAGTAAGCAATTGGCCAGACCTGATGTGCTATTAATGCACACACTGCAGGAGGTTTATTTAGTGCAATCTGCTCTTGCCTGGATGCAGTAAAATAAGAACATTCACTTGGTCCAAACTAAATTAATTTGCAGAAATGCTTTACCTGTAAATATGGTGATTTAAAAAAATTGCCTAATTTTGACGGAACTCTCAGTAAAGACAATAACATCTGGTAACTTGGCAGCATTTGTTAGAACTGCTTTTTGTGTTTAGTTTGCTGTCCTTCCCCTGCACCTCTGATTAGCACGGTTGGCGATATACGGTGCAAATAACTTCAATATACATACGTACATAACAAGCCTGATGAGACCTGGAAGATCAAAACCAGGCCATAGTTTGCTTACTTGAACAATGCTGTTTGATAATAATTGGTCTGGAAAGCCGATACGCAGATGTACTACACTTTATATACATTGAGACAGACCATAGTTCTGCTTATATATATGCTTTTTTCTGAATTTTCCACAACAACGCATCATTATTTTTAAACATACCATACTCCCAGCAGGGCGTAACCTCAGCTATGTATTTTCACACCCCACCCTGTGCTGCAGAAACCTGCAGAGCGAGGTTCAGTTGGACATGGACGAAGAAATCCTGAAATCCGACCTCAAAAAGTCGGGCTCACTGAAGACACATGGTCAGGAGTTCACGCTTGACGGAGAGGCGCTGCACATCCTCGGAGGATCGGTGCACTATTTCCGCGTGCCCCGGGAGTACTGGCGCGACCGGTTGCTCAAGCTCAAGGCGTGCGGCCTCAACACGCTGACCACGTGAGGACCGGGGCTTGATGCTTCCATGCATCACTCATGATCCAGCACTCGCTCTTTCAGTGCAGATACTTGCCGGAGGCGTCGGTCACCTACTTAGGACTCTTCTGTCGCTGCTACCGTGGTTACTATTTCTGTGAACTTCACTCATGGATTTATTAAATTTACTTGCTTTGCCGGTGGTCAGTTACCTCATCCCCCTTCGATTGCAACTACCATGGTGACTGTCGCCATGAACGTCACTTGTTGATTCCTCCATCCATGGAGAGGATTTAGGCTACCAGACTTGACTGTTTCATTTCATCCATACTGTGTTCAACCACCACAGTGCAGGTCAAAAGGACTTTTCTTTGTGTTTCTTTCATTGCGCTGCTTAACTTTGGAATTCACGCCCCATCGTTTATTTTTTCCAAGTTCCTGTAACATTGTTCAATTTAAGAAGCACCAGTGGAAAGTACCCGGCATTGCCCGGGTGAAAAAGACACACACAAACATTGACCCACACACAACAACAACCGCCATTCGCCACTAAGTGGCGGTGACGTCACCACAAAGCTTGTGCCAGGCCATGTGCACCTTGAGGCCACGTGAAGTGTCGAACGCCCGCTGACAGGAGGTTACGGGGCAGACCCAGGTGCCACGGGTCGACTGACTAAGATGACTGGCTGATGCACCACCTATGCCCCCTACTGTGCCAACCGGCTGTGCTTTAGCCACCCGGCGCTCCGCTCGTTTTTGTGAGCGTCGCTCCTCCACCCTCCATAGTTGTTGGAGGGCGACTGCCTCCAACTGCCCAGTAGCGACCTTCACGAGCCTCCTCCACAGAGGCCGATCTTGACACCGCTGGTACCAGTCATCGGCAAGTCCACTCAGCTCCACGTCCTCCTGTACCACATCACTCCATCTCTTCTCTAGCCCGTGCCGCGCACGTTTAACCCCCTCGATCCGGCCGAACAAAAGCTATTTCGGCATGCGGTGGCTGGACATGCGGGCTACATGACCCAGCCAACGCAGCCTTGCTTGACGAAGGAGCTCACCGATGGGACCTTGCCCAGATCTTTCAAGGATTTGTGAGCTCCTCACACAATCCAGTCTGGTTAAACCCAGGATGGATCGTAGGCAGGCCAGCCTAAATGTTTCTAACCGGCGAAGATGTTCCATTAGGGGGGTCCACGTTTTGCAAGTGTAGAGAAGGGAGGGAATGACCGTGGCCGAGAAGACCTGAAGCTTAGTGCGGAGTGGCAGACCAGGTAGCTTCCACACAGCGTTACGCAACCGATGAAAAGATATTGCCGCTCGACTGATTCAAAGTGAGAACTCTGCTGTTAAACTGGAGCCGGTCATAAGCACACTGCCCAGGTATCGGAAACTCTCCACTCTTTCCACAACTGCCCCATCACCGATTGGGAGTTGTGGGGGTGGAGTGTCCGATGGTACAAAATACCCAGGCAGTTGCTTAGTTTTGGTGGGGCTGATGGTAAGGCCCCATCTCTTGGTGGCACGCTTCAGTCTCAGCAGCAGCGTCTCCAACTCCTTCTCTGAATGAGCAGCTATTACCAAATCATCGGCATACATAACGTGGTTGAGCAATAGGGAGCCATCCCTTGACCGCACCCGGGCATCGATCAGCCTCCCATTATATCTGTACCAAATGGAGATTCCCCCGGTACAGCTATTGAAGGTTTCACGAACTACGTGGTCAAAATAGATGTTAAATAATGTGGGAGCCAGAGGACATCCCTGTCGCACCCCAAGGTGTATAGGGAATGGCTCTGACTCCCGGTCACGTAGTTTACCCGGGCCAGCTCACCATCATGAAGGTCCTTAATGATCGTGAGCAGAGGGTCAGGGACTCCAAAAGCACGAAGAACAACCCAGAGCCCAGGCCTACTGATGGTATCATAGGCCTTGACCAAGTCAATAAAGCAGAGATGTAGGTCTTGTTGGAATTCCCTACACCTCTGCTGTAGCATACGGACAGAAAATATGGCATCTGTGTGGGACCGCCCTTTCCTGAAATTGCATTGGGGCTCCGCAAGCCTCTCCTCAGCGTGCCTGGCAAGGCGATGTTGAATAATCATTGCCAGGACCTTTCCCGGCACACCGAGGAGTGAGATGCCCCTGTAGTTGTTACAGTCTGTGCGGTCCCCCTTCTTATAGAGGGGGACCACCAGGGCATCCTTCCAATTCTGCGGAACCTGTCCAGTGGTCCAGACTGTTGTTATGATGTCATATAGGGCAGTCTGTGCACAAATGCCACCCTCCCTCAGCATTTCGCTTGGGAGATCATCTCTAACCGGTGCCTTTCCTGGTCTCAGACTCCGGATCGCCCTCAGTACTTCCTCAACAGATGGCACCTCAGCCAGCCACTCACAGGGGGTGACTTCTTCCAATATTTGAGGCACTACAGCCTCAGCAGGGTCATCCCCACTTTGTGCCACGATGTTTTCCTGGCTGAGGGATTTCCCCTCCCCCAGGACCTCACAGAAATGCTCAGCAAATCTGCAAACCTGTTCCTGGGGGTCAGAGATTGGATCACCGTTTTTTCCCCTAATGATGGTAATAGGTGTGGCACTGCAGGTTACTTTTTTGATGGAGTTAAATAGAGATTTGTGATCGCGGGCCACTGAGGCAGACTCCATCTCCTCAGCAACCCGCGACGACCACCCATCCTTGCAGCGCCTCACGGCTCTCCGAACCTCCGAGCGAAGGCTGCGGTAAGCCTCCTCATTCTCTGACATGGGATTCTGTAGCCGATGACAGTGGGCCTGTCGCTTTTTCTCAACCATCCTGAACACCTCCTCTGTCAGCCAGGGTCTCTGGGGAGGTCTGGACCGCGTACCCAAAGCAGCCATTGCAGCTGCATGAGTCACAGTCCTAAACCTCGCCCATTTACCCTCGACATCAGGAGGAGTGGGGGACGATGCCAACCCCAGCCGCACGCGATGATGGACTCACACACACACATCGACTTACACACACATACATCGACTCACACACGCACATAGAGCCACACACACACATCCACTTACACGCAGACATATCGACGTACACACACACACACATGGCTGACACACACACACATGGACTGACACGCACACATGGACTTACACACACATCGACGTACACACACAAACACATCGACTTACACACACTCACATGTACTCACACACACATCGACTTACACACATATGGACTTACACACATTGACTAACACACACATGGACCCACGCACACACATCGACTTATACACACGCATACATCGACTCACACATGCACCCCAACCGTTGGGAAGGAACCATCTGAGGCCCCAATCAAAACCATCACCTTGCCATAAATAGCAGGGGTCACCAAAAATATCTTCAAAATCATGAGCAAATACAAGATCCAGGTTCGATTTAACACACATGCAATACCCCAGCGTCTACAAACTAAGCTGTGTCTACGGCAGTTGTTACATTGGGGAAACTAAGCGACATGTCTCGGACCGTGTTCGTGAACATAAGGCAGATCTGAAACACGGTAGGACCAATGCCTTGGCCGTGGCTGATCATTGTTTTAATGCGGTGGGCTGACACGAAACGTATTTCTCTAAGACGAAGGTACTTTGCAAACCCACTGGCTATCAACAAAGATTCGTTCATGAAGCCATCCACATGTTCAGACACAGACACAACTCGAGAAGATGGGTACAAACTGAGCAATCATTGGAAGGAAGGACGTTATCAACCAGTTTAAGTCATAACTGCCTGTGATGTTCCCATCCTACCACCTTCCGATGTTGTTATTTTCGGCTCTGATTTTACATTAACAGGTTACTTTTCTCACCCTAACACAGCCACCTCGCTCACCGAGCTCGACGTTGCCGCTCTCCGATATCCCATTAACATGCTAATCTCTCACATTAACATAGCCACCTCCACGCCCTCGTCGTGGAGGCCGCTCTCCGATCTCCCATTAACATGCTAATTTCTCACATTATCATCACTGGCCCCGCCCACTTCGTTTATAACCCTTGGGCTGCCCCCATTTTAAACCTTTAAAACAGTCTGCCTCAGCAGCTTTCCCCCTCTTTTTTCCTCCTGGTGACGATTGCTTGTGTTGTGATCGTAACGTCGTAGTTTTTTGTTATTTATTTGTTATTTTCTTTTAACCTTTCTACGTGACTTTACCGAAAGACCCAAATCTTCTTTAGGAATGCTTACCTGTTGCTGGCTACTTGGTACCTTGGGCCTTTGATTTTGCGCTCAGTAACTGTGATTGAAAATAATCATTGTCACCATTAGTGGTTCGCTAAAAATTGACACTGGAAGTAGTTGAGTGGTGTCCTCCTCTTGGACCATTCCCTAACGTCTATGATGCTCTCCTCACTTCGGGAGCCTACAGCCAGATGGTGGAGAACTAGAATAGCAGATCTTTGAGGCTGGCTGTTGATCGTGCTGGCAAACACTAGACTAAAACTATAAACTATTTTTTTTATTTTACCAGTTAAGGTCTACTGAGCTATATCGCTATTTTTTATAAGTGACCTGGCCATAAATGATAGCTCAACGAAGTGGCTTATCACATGGAAATGTCTAGCAGCCAAATACTCTAAATGCATGTTTCTAAATGTGGAGGGAAAAAAAAAACCGGAGAAAATTTAACGCGACCACAAGGAGTGAGACATGAAAACTCCCAATGTACAGGTGTAAGGGTCGGGATCAAACCCACCACCTGTATACCTGGTGAGGGAATTAACATCTCGCCACCGTGACAAGATGTTAAGACATCGAGGAGAAGGAAGGAATGATGGCGAGTTATGGGGTTGTCACTGGTATTGACCAAGGTTACCCTCTGACCTTCACTGTTTGCTCGCTTGCCACTGTGCCTGACATCTTGCAGACACAGAGTCAATTTGAGCCAGTAATCGGTGCCGCACACTGACGTTCATTATAAAATTGATGGTAAAGACGACGACGTCATTCAAGGGTTTATCTGTTGTCACCAGCATGTCCCAAATTAAAAGCATTGCACCTTGTAAAAAAATAACTATTCACAGATACCTTCCTTGGAGGTGACTACATAGCACGTTCACCTCATAATTCTTGTCAGAATACTTAGGCAGGGCACCTCAAATCCAGACAGCCAAAATCATCAATCTTGTCCCACGCAACTTTATCTTGCTCAAGCCTAGCGCAGTTCTGAGGGATTAAATGTGTAAGTACAGTACAGTCAATAAGTAACACGCAGTGACTCACTCTTTATAGAAGTATTGTTAGGCAGGCATGGTCTTATGGGACAGCCCTTGACATTGTGATGTTTTGCTGAATGTGGGAGTTACATAAGAACATTTGTGTTTCATAATGACACGAGTTTGAGAGCGTGCAATTGATTAGACTGTAATTCTTACAAAAGTCAACATTTTCGAAGCAATACACTGATAGATATATGCGGTTTTAGTATTGATTCAATTGTTGCAAGTTAATTTATTGATTTATATGGGGGTGTATCAGTGGCCCAGTGGTGAGCACGCTGCACAATTAACCTGAGAACCTGAGTTTGATTTCTGGTCAAGGCTAATGTCAGTGGTTTGTGATATGAACCAGTGCTGGGCACTGCCTTTGCCAACTGGAACTCACTCGTGTGGTGAAATATGGTCAAAGAACCCACATAACAGACATGCCGCGGGGAAGCGGTCATCCAGCAGTGGACTGTTAACGGCCTCTACACATTGACATGTAGATGTAAAAATAATGTGAAACTGTAAATGTTGCACTGTATTGCTTAAAATGTGTGTGTAATGTTCAAATGAATCGACTTCAGTAGATGGCAGTCTGGCCACATGCTTGTGACTGCATGTGCTATTTAGAGCTGTGCAGGCTGTGATGTTAATTTTAAAATACACAAGATACAAAATGAGATGTTCACAAATGTATGCTGCATAAGATGAGAGTTTGTATAAAATGCAGTATAATCTTGGTACATATATCATGTATTCCTGCATATAAGGAATATAGAGGAAATTATTATAACAAAAGTATTGCTGGAAATGCATTATTTCGTTGTACCAATTATGCTCAAACAAAGGGTTGTGTTGGGAAATGATCATGAAATAAGAAAGTCATGATTCTATTGCAAATGTAACAGTGGATATATAGTGCCATTTACACACCCACGTGTAAACCAACACACATCTACCACACCCACCACACCACAGTCCATTTGGCACGTGGCACACATGCACACGTAGACTTCCGCACACAAGCACATGACAGTATATCCTGAGGACATTTTGCCCACTTTAACGTGTACACGTGCACACGTATACGTGCGCCCACCCATATACGTTTTCTCACGAGCACTCACATGGACAAGACAGATCCCTATTATAGCCTTAACAGACTTTTGGGGCAAGTGCTAAGATCGATCACCAGTGAAGGCCGGAACGGTGCATGAGGGGGTGGTGTGGCAAGCGCCATATCCGGCCCCACCTTTTTTCTCCCCAGTGCTGACATTTTACACACAGCACAATTTGGCTAGCCATCCAACAAAAACGATCACTGCATTGTGCGCTTCCGGAAGCGCTTCTGCGGCCGTCTGGAGCGATCTTCCTTCCGATATTAGGAAGCCACTGGAGCTATGCACTTTTAAATCTAGATTTAAAACTCATTTCTTTAAAACTGCTTTTTTGTGTTGAGTTTGTTGTCCATTCCCCACACCTCCGATTAGCACGGATGGCTACGTTCGATGTGCAAGAAGTTAAGCACACGTACATACAATGTACCGATTTAAGGCTTAGTAGACCTAGGTGGAGACCCACGATATTCACTCATTTTGGTTGTGAGCAGGAACCAAACTCGGATACCTGTGTTTGTTGTGCAATGCGCTAATCACTACACTACCACTCCCCATACACACCCCTGTGCACTTACACATGCTTGTCTCTCCCTCCATGTCTGCACACAGATATGTGGCGTGGAACCTGCATGAGCCGCAGCGGGGAGTGTTTGACTTCAGTGGGTCTCTGGATATTGGGTACTGTCACAGTGAATACATTACCCAACTGCTACTCATTTATTTATGTGTTTAATGTTTATTATGCATTTATTCACTTTAGTATGCCACAGTAAAGGGCTGCCTCGTTCACATGTTCAAATCCCCAGTCGATGTGCTCCTCTCTTCTTTTAGAGCATTTTTTGTAGCTTAACCTGCCTGGGTAGAGAACATAGCAAATATCAACATTAAAGGAAAAGTATAAAAGAATACGAACATTTATAAAACATGTAGATGCAATCACAATAGACTGTGATGATCCCATGGTGCATATAACGCGTCTGATTTTAAATGTTGATAAGATTGTTACAAATAGGCTTGAAAGCTATCTTACCCACATATCCACCGACCGAACTGGTTACCGACCTACCCACAGCCACATATTTAGCTATAAAGCTATGCAAAGAAAACCGCTCGTAAATGTGTATACTTAATGCTAATTGAGTCATTGAAATGTTTAAATGTGTGCAGTATATGTCTATGATGTGAAATAGGTCAAATTTTGGCTGCTTTGGAAAAATGTATGAATTTATAATGCCTAGGTTTATTAATTCATTATCTTGAAACCTTTACACATTTAGCTCACACTCTGCTGCAGGACATAACCTGCTCTGTACAAATACATCAGACTCGGGGAGGATTATCCATAAGTTCGAGTCAAAAGAACAGGGAATGTGGGTGTTAAAGTCTACACTACCCATAGTGATGTGCAACAAACAATGGTTGACTAAGCTCCGTGCTGTGTTGTGAAGTGTATTAATCTCACCGTGACTTATTTCGTCTAGAGTAGACAGCTGTCTGTTGGTTGCACCCAAATGAACTAAAACCTACAGCTTCAATTGAATCTAGTGTGTATTTTCTCACTAAGTTAATGTTCTAAACTAACCCCGATAACTTGTTTATTTAATGTGTAGGTTTTCACAGCCAATACAATTCATCTGCATCTGCTAAATTTGGCTGTGACGATTCTTCAGCTCATCAGTGAGCTGAAATTATAATAATTGGCACGTAACACGCTTGCACACATGACAATTCATGTGACTGAGTCCCATGGTGATGGGTCTTCATGACGCAGATTTGGTCATGCCATAAAATGGTCTAACCCAAAAATCGATCTTTCTATTTCCTAAAAATAAACTGGATTTTTTTGTACAAGCTCAACATTCCTTGTTTTCAATTCCACGAGTTTAATTCCATCAGCCACCAGGTAATTATTGTGGCGCTTCATACATGTCTGCCATAGCTGTTAAGTGGATGTTAAAGACCCTGTGATATTCTCCACAGAGGTAAGCTTGTGTGTGCTCTTGAGATAAAGCACATCTGAAATGTTATATTTCCTTCAAGTAAAAATACATTACTCTTACAATTAGGTAGCGTGTTTGACAAGTTATAGTTGCACTTTGCATGATGTTTGATTATGCACTCGGCAATGTTTGTAATTGTTTTAAGGGCATTTATTCAGCTGGCTAAAGAGTTGGACTTGCATGTGATCCTGAGGCCTGGACCGTACATCTGTGCCGAGTGGGATCTGGGAGGTTTGCCAAGGTAATTCACATATCAGCCGCGCACACACACACACACACACCCCGTTGTTTAGCTTAACAGACTGTTGAGGCAAGTGCTGTTAGTAAATATCCATTCAGATCCGTAAGGTAAGTCCTCGCTTCACGTGTGTTCACACAACGCGCTTTCGCTATCACGTGTTCCTTCCGTTGGGGAACACGTTTCGCACAACGCACCCGTTATAGTGCAGATCGCGCGCACTGTCATAACGTGGTTTTCCGGGCGGTCGACAACGAACTGCTTTCTTGAGCTGCGCGACTGGAGCGGCATGCTACAGCATGCGGAATGATACAGTGACACGGCGGTGTACATCGTATCTCGCCCAACTTGATTGTTACATTGATTATGGGGAAATTGTTTACGCTCAACACATTTTTCGCTTCACGCAGCACGTTTCAGGAACACATCTACCACGTTAAATGAGGACTTCCTGTACAATACATGTAAAAGAGTGTGGCTCGTGCTGATTTCGATGTTTCACACCGGCTATCTGTTTTGGCGGTCAACCAAGGGTATGCCCAATCCAGGCTTGGAAGACACAAACTCAGGCACAAATTGTACCGTGCATAGATTGTTCGTGTATGTGCTAACATCAAGCACATATTCAAACCAGCGCAGCACATGACGATATTATTTAATGATCATTGCGTTTAGCATAAGCGTTGGACATTCCAGATTTCTATAGCAGGGACAGACAGCTCTATAGACAACCAAAGTTGGCTTTCCACAGAGTGGGATTTATTTATATATTAGTGGAGGGCTGAACAGCCAAATTGACTTCTGACTGGGATGTGGGAATTTGAACTCGCATCCTTCCAATTTACACACTTACAAAGCTAAACTGGTTTTCAGGCAGTGGTTTGAAAGAACAGTGATGGTTACTAATTTAACGCCGATATATTTGTTTCTTCTTTGTTGTGTTACAGCTGGCTTCTGGCAGACCCAGATATGAAATTACGGACAACTTATTCAGGATTTATAGATGCAGTCGATATATTTTTTGAGAAGCTCATGCCAAGCGTGGCTCCCCTACAAGTGAGTGATGTTTGTAAACTTCTTAGCAGTGACACTTTAACTCCTGCGTTTAAATTATGCTTTGTTTTTGAAAGAGCGTCTTTCATGCTGGGGCAGCTCAGAACTGCAATAAGTGACTTACGTTACTTTTCATCGAAATTTTTTTGAAAGCACACCACCAATGGCAGTTGTCCCTGTGTGGCACAAGGTGTTTCAGCACCTGGTCTGCAAGCGGGCATCAATCTGCCCGGATGGGGCAATGATTGCTTCTGTGTGTCATTCCGATTGAATAATTTTACATAAATGCACTTCATCATCTTTTGGGCTGTGTTTAGATTTGGTGGAGTGGTAGTGTCGCAGTTAGTGCGCTGTGCTACAAACCTGGCGACCCGAGTTCGATTCCCGCTCATGGTCAACGCCAGTGACGATTATCTGAACAAGTCCTGGGCCTCACCTAGGTCGACTGAGCCTCAAATGAGTACCTGGTGCGGTGTGTAAAAACATCGCCAATGGGAAGACAAAGGCGGTCGGGCGTGGTTTTGGCCACCCACCCCCTCGTGTGGCGTGCCGGCCTTCATAGGTGATCACGAACAGCATTTGCCCCAACACTCTGTTAAGGCTATTCAGGGGGATTTTTGTTTAAGTTAGAATTGTGGGGCATGTGCATTGGTTGTAAATGTTTTTAGAAGATAAATTCTGGCAAGAGTTCTATTATTTGCGATGATTCCTTTTAAAGACAGTGGAGAGTCATAATAATTCGATTGTTAATTAAACTGAAGACAATTTCTTCAGTAGGTACTTATGCCATTATTATTTAGATCATCAACATTGTAACATACAATGGGAATTAAATGCAAGAACCATTGGAAAAACTTCATAGAGGAGGCTGCAAACTTGGGCCTGGGAATAAATATGAGCAAAACCCAGGTCACGTCCAGACGTCCGCTCAACAATTAGAGATGTCTGGGAGGGACACAATTGGAACCTCGGATAGCAACTGATTGTGAGACAAATTAAACCATTGAAATAAAGAGGATGAGATAATGCATTCATAAGTGTGCACATAATGGTCTCCTGTTTAAAGTATTGTTTCATGTATTACTTTACAGCATGATGAAATGTTTTGATAGTTCAGAACAACTTTTATGGTCTCTCCTGCAAGCATGCCAAATATTAGACTGCTTAGCTATGCTTATCCACTCTCCCCTTGCATGCTTATATACCGGTAAGCAGTTCATATCGCTTAGATGACTAGTTTACATGCACGTATATCCGTAACCTAATGGTGTTTTGTTGTTCTTTAATGTTTGCAGTACACTTACGGTGGCCCCATCATTGCAGTGCAAGTGGAGAATGAGTATGGCGCTTATGCCAAGGACACTGGCTACATGGAATCCGTAAAGCAGGTAAACAGCCACAGCAAATATGCAGCCACGGCGGCTGCTGATAAAGTAACAGCCGATGTGGGCATCAAGATGCACAACGACACTAACAGCAATGAGTGCAGCAGCAGACGCTAAAGATGTTTGTTAAAATAATTTGTTTTTGTTAAATGTGCTCGTAACTGGACACAACAAAAACATTCTCCCAAAGCCAGTTTGCCACACACAGCAAACATTTACAGCAGTAATCTTAGCGCGTTCATTATTTGGCCTGAGGTAGGGAACTGCTGTGATGTAATGGTTTGTGCACTGGCACTTGCCGTACAGAAGTTACCAGTTGGATTCCATCTCTGCGTGGCAATTCTTATCAAATTGCTGCATTCATTTCCTAACATTATACTTTGTATTCTGTAATTAATTAGGGAATGAAATAACCCCAATTGAGATCATGAAACATTTCCTCTTTTGCTAGGGTTACCTGGAATATGTCACTGGTTACCAGTACCCTTTAACTACCCTGATACTAACAATACTAACCACGTGTGTCCCGACTTCATGGACTGTCTTGTGGATGCGTTTGCAGATTTTGCTGAAACATGGGATCATAGAGTTCCTGATGACATCAGACAACAAAGATGGGCTCAGCCAAGGAGCAGTGGATGGAGGTACTTACGTCTACACCTACATTAACATTGTTGTAAATGTTCACGAACATTTATTTATTTATTACTTCCACTAGTTTTCACTGGCAGGATTCGGAACTTCCAGGTAGGGTTCAGGGCTGCCAATGAAGTTGAGCTCCATCCCACAAGACAATGCTGACTTATGTAACGTACAGATATTAATATGCTTGAGATGCTGGTGTAAAGAACTGTTAGTAAATAGAGTACATCCTTTGGTAAATGAATTAGTCTGGCACAAGGGGATATGCTTCTTCAATTGCCATATGTTAATTTAGAACATGTACGTTTATTCTAACACAATTGGCAAACACTGGAGAGGCAAACTGAGTCGCCCTCTTCGGGTAGTGAGTTCTGTATCATTTGGGTTGGTTGTGATTGTGTGTGGCTCAGCTGGTACCTGAAATGCTATCTTTTCTGGAACATGTATTATCAAATACGGCCAGCCAGGATGACTATTTTCTTTTGCATTTATATGTAACACCTTGATGCAGGTGTGGTTATTAAATGCTAGAATTGTAAAAAGTCAGTGCCCAAATGCTCAAGTAAGTAATTTTGGAATTAATCATGCTTTTTACTCAAAACGTTTAACACAGAGTTCATTATAAATGCATCATCAGTAATTTTCAATGTGCCATATGTTATTTTCCTATAAATACCTGTAGTATTCGCATCTGGTAGGGGGGTGCTGCATTTGTTATGAGTTAGAGAGTGGTGGCTTTGCCAACCATTAATGTAAATGTAAATCAGTTCAGTGGCATGTGCCCAGATTTCACCATTATATAGACACACACACACAGTCACAACAAAAAAACTTTCATAACTGTGTTTCAGCTCTGTCAACTATGAATTTCAAGCATTTTCAAAGGAGCTACTTTGAGCATCTTGATTCAGTTCAGGTTGGTATCGTCCTCGAAGTTTGTCAATTAACAAACACACATTTTATTTATTTTGGTATCGGTTATCATCAAATAACATCTTGTATAATTTCCCGATAGACCCACACATTTGTAGTACTCTTACCGCAGCTGTATGCAGCTCTGTAAAACTTCATTTATGCCACATCTGTTTTGATGTACCATCTTCAATTTGATCCCTCCAGCATGTTCTCTCTGATCTCTCAATATCTTTGACCATTTTGGCCTTTTTTACTGAGCATATAAATACAATTGAATGCAAAGAGTGTCCGTGATGTCTTGTATTTTTATGCATTATTTTACATTTTGTAAAAAAAAAATCACGTGCTACATTCCAGTGATATGCTTTTGTCGCTTATAACTCCAGTTCTACTGTATTTTATTTGTTGATCACCTTGCGTGTTGTTCGGAAACATGTTTTACCTGTACTTTTCATCATCATCATCATGTACTTTACATCATCGATAAGAAAATACTATTATAATTGAGGAAAAAATATACAGGACTATCATCACATTGGGCAATGGCCCTTCTACATAGTCCATGCAAAGGACTGACAGAATAATGCAGGTGTGTGTTTGGGGTGTGGTTAGTGTAGGGGTTAGCTCATTGCTGCGAAGCTGGCAGTTCAATTCCTGCACGCAGCCAACATCTGTGATGAACATCTGCACTTCTGGGCCTCCGGTAGGTAAGGTCAGCATAGGTGGGCAGGCGTGGTGCTGGCCAACCCCATCCTTATCGTGTGCAATGTTCACCTTAATGGGTGCTCGCTAACAGCACTTTGCTCCAACTGTCTGTATGGCTACACAGGGGATCTATGTATTTGGCTTTGTGCATTTGTCTTTGTGCATTTGTCTGAATGTAGCCAAATCTTCCTAAAATGGTCATGGAGTTCTGGACGGGATGGTTTGACAGCTGGGGGAACTATCACATGGTGTTCAATGCTGAAGGTATATATATATTTAATATATACATTGTGTTTGCAAACATGTGCACGTATACCTGCATACAATATCCCTTGCATCACTATACAGTATTGACCTTCATATGTGGATTTGCTTTGCAAACATTAAGTCTGACAACACTTGAAGGGGCTCTTACATCATGTTCCAATTTATCATTTTATGCTCAGTCAACCTAAGGGACACGCAACCCAAAATCAGATACCAATTGCTACTGGTGAATTTATCGGATACCAATTGCTACTGGTGAATTTATCGGGGGGATTAAATCCACGCTGCTTTACGTCGGTGCAGTGTATAGACATTCATACCATAGGTTCATACATGTGTACATACTGTGCATATGAATTGCTTGCAACTTACATTTGTCAATAAAAAGTTATATTATCCTGCCACCTTTATTATTATATGCAGTCTTCGGTATGTAATGATGCACCGATTAATCAACACAAATGAGTTCTTGAGCTCATGATGCAAACATTGAATTGTTGATGTGAGAGTTGATCATTTTAGATGTATGGATGTTATATACAAACAATATGCTCATGTTACATTCAAGCTTGTGTAGTGAAGAAAATTACAAGTAAGACAAAAACATTAAAAACACACGAGGCGGTAATAAGGAAACAGTAACGATTCTTCATTCTGACAGTTCATCAAATCGCAGTGTAAAGGGGTAGTGTTGTGTCATACCTAGCATATAGCATTGGGCTGTAGACTTATTACAAAAAAATTGCATTCATTTTTTTAAATAACCAATATACTAGGAAAAACACGTTTATCACGTATTCGCAAAAATGACTACAGCATTGCACTTTGACATATTTATTTTGGAAACTTTTCAGAAACATGCATGGAGATCATTTGGCTGCTATACATTTCCACATGATAAGCCTCTTCGTTGAGCTATCAATTGTAACCAGGTCACTACTGGACATCTGTAAAAAAAGAGTTTCATAACTCATTGGATTTCTCCAAGATAAATAAAGATTCTGATTCTGAATACTGTGTGTGCTGACTCTAACTTCAACATAATCACAACACCAATATCCTGGTATTGTCACTACTAGAAACCACTGCCATCTTGTTCATATGTTCATGCTTGTCCTATTGCAGCACTGATTGACAACATGAAGAAGATACTGGACCAGAAAGCATCCATCAACCTCTACATGTTTCATGGAGGAACAAACTTTGGATTCATGAATGGGGCTTTGGAGTTGCCATCATATCAACCAGATATCACCAGTTATGGTGAGCGTTGAATCTCATTATTACCTCACTTCCACCATCATCATATTCCTCATTATCATACTCAACATTTGCATAATTAATACCACCAATATCGTCATCATAATTGTCATTATCATCCCCACAACCATTATGATCAGTACCACCACGATAATTATAGTAATTAATATCAATGACTCCATAACCATGAACATCAACATCTCCAATATAAACATTATTCACATCATCACAATCATCATCAACATTATAAATATACATCCCCTTTGTTGTTGGCTGTGCACATCTGCTGAATAAGTGATTTTAAAATGTTTCGATTGGAGAGCTGCAAAAATGGAAAGATAAGGTACAAAAGAGAAGGTACATTGACGGAATCTAACAGCATTTTGTGGAGTCATGAATCACGAGACCATCGCCCCAGTACAGACATGTAAGCTGGTATTGCTACACACAGGCACATTTTTCCCCCCATACATATTCAGGATATTTGTGATGCTGCCTCCATAATCGTATGTGAGCATTATCCCTCTGAGCCACCCGCCCGTCAACATTGCATTTTTTTTATATATATACAATATGTATTTACAAAGCCGTCTAAAGACATTGCAGTGTAGTGTGCGATGCGCACAGGGGAAATAGTGACCTCAGTTGAGGGTGGGATACATGGGAATGTACGGGGCTCTGGGAAAGAGGGATTGATGATTGAATTAAGGACATTGATGAGCATACAGCTTTGGCGGAGGAGAAGAGAAAGACGGTCTTAAGTCTGAACTTGGATCAGGGGGATAGAGTTGGCAGTGGAGAAATCAAGGGGTAGGCATTCCAGACAGCAAGAGCAGCAGAGAGGGAGAGACCTTTCATCGAGCTGAGATTAACTGAGGATTTTGGCAGGATGTCATTAAGCCACAAGCCCAGACCAAATATTTCACGTGTCAGTACCACCCACCTGAGGTGGCGTCACATTAGTGGCCAACAACAATGTGATAACCGTTTGAAATTTATGAGTTATCAAATAACATGCTCTTAGCAGCAGTAAAATGAATTGGCACAACTGATATTTTGCTGCCAAAGGGGAGTTACCACTCTGCTCCGGCCCATTGACTATTGGCTGCTGGAGAGCTTGTCGGAGAAAGTAGAGTGATGGAGGCAAAGGTGATGGAGGCAGGAGATAATCCATGGAAGACCTTCAAAATATGTTGATGGTCATCATGTAATTGACCCAGTTTGAATTGGGAACCAGAAGAGAGATTTGAAGAGCGGATTCCTTCTCTGAACTTGTGACATCTTTATCAAAAGTTGCCAATTGTGTGCTAGTGGCATTGCACAGTTCACAAATTTGGAAAGGGCCTGCAATTTGGGTAAAGACAATAATATATCTACGGTTACTTTGGTCCATTATGCAAAAGGCAAGTGGAGTCTCAATGGGCCCTCGCCCAGTTTCATTTTGATTGATGAGTCGTGCTTGACAACCAACATTGGCCAAATTGTATTTAAGCTATAAAAGGGTCCTCATTAAACCAACTAATCAGATGTGCTGAATAAGCTCATAAAAAAATCAATTTGCCTGTTTTTTGGGGAGGCCTTTCATTTATCAATTTTATGTGTGGTCCACAAGATTGTCTTTTAGTGATTATTTTGTTTTACAACATTAATACCTCTGCTCAGACATTACAGTGGAAATCAAAGGAGCGCCCATCCATGCTAAAAAAAATTATTGCGCAGCACAAGCTATCGCCATAGATGTAATACATGCAGGCAGACCAAAGGATTCCGCGATTCATTCACTGCACTGCTCCACGTGGTTGATTTTCAACTCATCCCATTCTATTACCACGCAGTGTGGCGCTTTATACATCTTAAGGAACAAATGTCTGCATTCTGTATGCAACCTTTGTTTAAAGAGGATTACTGGGACATCATTTATCTGTAGATATAGGATGCACACATGGTGTGTATGAGCTTATCGGCTTGTGTGTAGAGCCATGCCGGTGTGTATGTGTAGTGTACGCGAGCAGCGTTGTGTAGCGGTGAGTGCACTGCGCTACGAACCCAGTGACCCAAGTTCGATTGCTGGCCATGGCTCACATCAGTGGTGAATATCTGCACCTCTGCTATGTCGACTCAGCATTAAATGAGTACCTGCTGCGGTGTGTAAACAGCAACGTGGAGGCAAATTCGGCAGGGCGCGGTGCTGGTTTTCATGAATGCTCACGAAGAACGCCTACTCCAACAGCCTGTGTAGGCTGCACAGGGGATCTTTGTCTTTGCCACGGTTGTGTAGGGTTGGCACAGTGTGATAAGCCTGGCTTCCCAGGTTCCTGGCCATGATGCATTACAGCAGTGCCAACTGGTATTTGAACTTGGCCTGGGCCCCTTCTAAGTTAACTGAACAGAAAATAACTATCGGTGCAACTGGCTGTGTTTGTGTGTTTGCAGTCGCATATTTGTTATCCCACTGCGCTGCAAAGTCCATGTCCTAAGATCGATTTGCAGTCACGGCTCACATCAGTGGTGATTATTTGAACCGGTCCTAAGCCTCCCCTAGGTATACTCAGCCTTAATTGACTAAACTTCATGCGATGTGTAAACGTCAGAACCGGTGGAGACAAATGACTGGGTGGGGCATTGGCTACACCACCCCCGTGCCATTCCTGCCTTCATAGATGCTCGCTTACAGCACTTGCCCTAACTATGTATGGCTGTAGGGGGATCTAAATCTTTGCCGTTACCGTCACTTCGTGGAAAATGGCAGCCGTTGTTTGGGATGGGAACCAGTGATATAGAATGGTTTTCACACTCGGCTGCGGTGTCTGTTATTGTTTTCAATTCATGACTGCAAAATATCTGAGGCAGGTTACATCTGCCTCTTTCCTGGACTTCCTTTCATTCAACTCAGCCTTGCATTATTACCCGGAGCAGTGTGTGAGCATCAGCACTGGAGAGACAAAGCTGCCAAGGTGTGGTTCGAGCCACTTTTAACTCCAGGTGTGCTGTGCTGCCCGAATTAGGCGCTCGCTAACCGCACTTGCCTATACGGTCTGCAATCTTAAATGGGGCATCTATTTAGTGGGCGCACTTGTGTAATGATCCCTGAATGCGCTGGATGAAACATGTGCTGTGGTTTTTATTTTCATACTTTGCTTACTCGGTAAAACAGGAAAAATCAGCATGCTTAGTTTCTTATTATTTTCACAAACTATTTTCACGGAGAAGTGCAAACACTTGCCAGAGCGTAAATCATGGCATTGGGCACATACAGTACTTGTCATTTGGAAAACGTACGAGAAAGACGCGTGCACGATTATTCTTTTTTTTAATGCTTTATTTATTACAGTTTAAAGAGAGATATTGTTACTGTCATCTAGATCTGTATTTCAGACTAGGATAGCATTTGATAATACACTGCAGAGGAAAAAAATGAACAAATTACAAGATAATGTCAATCTGCTGAGAGAGATAGAAAAAAAAACCTGTTTTACTCAGAATTCAACACTGAATTCAGAATAACCTTGATGAAACCAGAGGTGATGACTGGGTGTCTTAGATGGCTAATTCCATCTCAGATCATTGAGGTGGCCCTGAGGTGGCCCTGCAAATGTGGGGGCTACCGTCCCCTGCCATCACCGAATTGTCGGGGCCGTGGTCCCCCGACTCCCCCGTTAAATTCGTCCCACTACCCCCCGGCTGTTCTGTGGGGTCCGGGCTACCAACCCCTCAATTCTTCGCCCCCTTGCGCCCCCGACTTTGCGGCTGCCCGCGTGGGCATGTTTCAATTGGCGGCTCGTACGCTTTGCGCTTGCGGCGAGCTACGCGAGGTCGGCGGCGTGCTGCGGTGAGCGCGCTCGCAAAGTAAAACCCCGTCCCGCACGTGAACAAACAGGTACGGCGCGCCAACGCGTGATTCCCTCACACGCGCGCTCTACGCGCTCGGGCATTAACAACCACGACGCTGCTACCTGCCGAGCCCCGTGCACCAATCACACGCGAGGGAGCGGGGAGTCGGGGGTGGGAGGCCAGGGGCGTCTGCCGTGCGCGCGCTGCTGATTGGAGGGAGTCGCTCCGCTCCGATTTAAAGGGCCCGTTTAAACAGCCGCGCGAATACGCGCATGCCAGGCGCTTAGCTCGCTACCTCGCTATAGGCAATCGCGCAGACACGCGACCGCAACACAGTCACACAGGCACGCGAGCGCTAAGCACTACTGTAAGCAATCGCACAGGTACGCGAGCGCTAAATACCACCGAAAACAGTCGCGTAGGCACGCGCACACTGAACACTCCGCCTCGGGGTAAACAACCACGCATGCACGCAAACAACCAGCACGCTCTACCCTCCTCTTCACACTCCCAAAGACCACACGACACAGTTTATCCCCCTACTAGTTATTTTATTTACCGCAAGTAACCCGTTAAACTACGCGTGATTGTGTGAGTCGGCAGGGCCCCCCTAGCCTATCCTTCGATTTATCCTGCCTATCGCTCCGCTTTCTACCCTCGCTTAAATCGTTCACACTCACCTCTCTCTTACTTACGCTTACTTACACTCTGCTGCGCTGAAAGCTGTAGACGGGCGAGGCTGTGGGTCGTTTCCGTAGGGGGTTGAGCCTAGCTACGCTGAAGCTCGTCACACGGACGTCTTGAACGGCTGACTCTCCTGCTCCGTGGACCTCGATGACTGGAAGAAGAACTCTGGTGCTACCCTAAGCCTCCGTATTTTATCCACCCTATCCGTGGTGCTCTCGTTCATCCACCCGTGCTCTTTGCCCAATCGGGAGCTGAGTTATTCTCGTCCCCTTCACATTCGGATTCGTAATCTCACCTATAACAAAAGCGTTCCGCTGTTTCCACACCCCGTGCTGCCTTGTCCATTCAGATGTCGGAATGCTCCTGTCCCGTTGTTATTGGGGTCCCTAATTCTACCTATCACAAAGGCGTATCGCTGTTCCCACGCCCCGTGCCGTGTGTGTGTGATCTCTTCCGCGGTGGCTTTACAGCCCCCTGCCGTGACTATGTAATTATAATATCAGGCCACGGCGCCGCGGTGCTGGTCAGCCTCGGGGGTAGGTCGCACAATTCCTCGGCCGCAGGAAACCATGAAGCTCGATCCCATTAGGGGTTTCTGGACGAAAACCTGTTGGCCAGGTGACCCACCCCGCGGGCCCTACGTGGGGCATGCGTGTGTGGGGTGTGCGTGTATTCATGTGGGGGGGGGGGCGGCGAGGGCGCACAGCGGCGGCGTCGTTACTCCCCGGTGGCGGCGTCACGGCGGTGAGTACGGCCCCGACGGAGCGGCTCCGCTGCAGCGGCAGCACACAAAACCGATGCTTACACATTGCACCAGGTTCCTCCCTGTGACTCATTGAGATTAACCATGTCATGTGATTCACATCCTTCACTTTAACTCACTGAGATCCCATTGGAGTTCATTGCCTTGTGGTTGACAATTTATCCAGGCAAGAGCCCACTGAGATACATTGTCTTGTGATTTATGTCCTGTAACCCACACGATCCCCATTGTAAATTGTAAATGTAATGTTTTTAAAAAAATGTTCAAATTGCACCTTGCTTTGTGACTGCATCAAATTTCACCCAGTCGAATGCCTCTTAATCGATAACAAAGGCCAGGAACAATGGTATTGTGAGTGCATTGTCTCATTCTATAATACATATAAAATCCCTCACAGAAGACGACAATAGAAATAAGAAATAAATATTGTCCCTTAAAATGTGAAACATTCCAGCTCTTGTTTGACATGAAACGCTATTGCAGGGCATGTGGGAAGGTGGCAATTGAAGGTGTTTCATAGGTGCACACTAGTCGGGTGACATGGTCCTCTTTGTGCGGTTCTCTAGCAGAGTGATGCACTGCTCACTGCGAGCGTTCCACACTTGAACGTCTTCGTATAATGAGACGGTGTCCATAGCATCATCGGAATGTAACTGGGAGGTATTAAAGCCCCACAAACAAATAATAAAAAAAATGTGCATGGAAACATTCAAAATGTTGGTTGATGCTCCCTTTGTGTTATTCCCGATTTACGTAATTTCTCGTGAGGCCTTGTAGCCTGATTGCACACATTTTTTGTTTTTTTTTTCCGATTGGCAGGTCAATAATTATATTGCTTGCTGCTTCTCTGAGGATGTAATGTCAATATTTATGTTGTCTACTGCTGTTTAGCCCCGCTGAACTACTTGAACGTTTTTTTCCTATGGGAATAACTTGCCCCTACCCATGGAATGTGTAATTTCCATCATTGGCTAGGATGTTTAACATAGATTAGTACCACCTGGATGATTTGCATGTGCAGAAAAACACTTCAATTTATCTCACTGTATTCATAAATTAAAAATGTGCCAATATATTAAAATTGTCTGTTTGATATTAATTCTGTAAAATGCTCACGTTGTCAATAAATAGAATTCCAAATCTCTCTTATGTTATGAAATACATTGTTGAACATTGCTGTGCTATGGCACACATATCCTTTGACCCAAAGTTCTATTGTTTATTTCCTTAAACTATCACCAATACTAACAAAAACATCAAACGAATGTAACGCAATGCCTTGTTCCATTTGCAATTGCAGATTACGATGCACCACTGTCAGAAGCTGGAGACTATACACCCAAGTACAAGAAGATAAGGCAACTACTGATGACTCAGTTCAGTAAGTGTAACTTTGTTTTGTTTTTCTATTTATATGATACGCCAGTGGTCTGCTGCAGTTTTCACGAGACGAGAAAGACCATTCAATTGCAGCAGCTGTCCAATAATGTTCTTATGGAATTGACCAGTGTGTATCATCTGATCAAATACCCTGAGGTGTATTTAGAAAGTGGTGTCATTTTGTTCGAGTGTCATGTTTGGAAATTGCCAAACATAAAACGAAAAAATTAATGCAATAAATATGGGATAATGAAAATGTTTCTTAAGGAGAGGAAGGATAAGTGGTTAACAATTTCAGAAATTATTAGCTGTTGATAATCTCCAGAAGTAATACATTTGAAATTAAAATAATGTTAATGGCTAATATTTAAAGAAAATGTACATTCATTAATACAAATGTGTAGTGAGTCCAACTGAGTCACAGACGTTGTTCAAATGTAACATCAACTCGCTAACACAAAGGGGTAACTGCCCCTTTACCAGGTACAGCCTAGGGTGGTGACCACCCAGCTAACTACACTATACGTAGGCGTTACAGCTACGAAGGGTTGGCCCCTCACTCGGGTCCCCGACCACGTGTTGATGCCTCGTAGGATGTACAGTGAGGGAAAAAAAGTATTTGATCCCCTGCTGATTTTGTACGTTTGCCCACTGACAAATAAATGATCAGTCTATAATGTTAATAGTAGGTTTATTTGAACAGTGAGAGACAGAATAACAACAAGAAAATCCAGAAAAACGCATGTCAAAAATGTTATAAATTGATTCGCATTTTAATGAGGGATATAAGTATTTGACCCCCTCTCAATCAGAAAGATTTCTGGCTCCCAGGTGTCTTTTATACAGGTAACGAGCTGAGATTAGGAGCACATTCTTAAAGGGAGTGCTCCTAATCTCAGCTTGTTACCTGTATAAAAGACACCTGTCCACAGAAGCAATCAATCAATCAGATTCCAAACTCTCCACCATGGCCAAGACCAAAGAGCTCTCCAAGGATGTCAGGGACAAGATCGTAGACCTACACAAGGCTGGAATGGGCTACAAGACCATTGCCAAGCAGCTTGGTGAGAAGGTGACAACAGTTGGTGCGATTATTCGCAAATGGAAGAAACACAAAACAACTTTCAATCTCCCTCGGCCTGGGGCTCCACGCAAGATCTCACCTCGTGGAGCTGCAATGATCATGAGAACGGTGAGGAATCAGCCCAGAACTACACGGGAAGATCTTGTCAATGATCTCAAAGCAGCTGGGACCATAGTCACCAAGAAAACAATTGGTAACACACTACGCCGTGAAGGACTGAAATCCTGCAGCGCTCGCAAGGTCCCCCTGCTCAAGAAAACACATATACATGCCCGTCTGAAGTTTGTCAATGAACATCTGAGATAATTTTATTGTGTTATTTTATTTTATCAATTTATTATTGTATTCTCATTCTACGTGACTTTACCGAAAGAACCAAAGAAGACAAAATGGAGCTCTTTGGCATCAACTCAACTCGCCGTGTTTGGAAGAGGAGGAATGCTGCCTATGACCCCAAGAACACCATCGCCACCGTCAAACATGGAGGTGGAAACATTATGCTTTGGGGGTGTTTTTCTGCTAAGGGGACAGAACAACTTCACCGCATCAAAGGGACGATGGACGGGGCCATGTTCCGTCAAATCTTGGGTGAGAACCTCCTTCCCTCAGCCAGGGCATTGAAAATGGGTCGTGAATGGGTATTCCAGCATGACAATGACCCAAAATACACGGCCAAGGCAACAAAGGAGTGGCTCAAGAAGAAGCACATTAAGGTCCTGGAGTGGACTAGCCAGTCTCCAGACCTTAATCCCATAGAAAATCTGTGGAGGGAGCTGAAGGTTCGAGTTGTCAAACGTCAGCCTCGAAACCTTAATGACTTGGAGAAGATCTGCAAAGAGGAGTGGGACAAAATCCCTCCTGAGATGTGTGCAAACCTGGTGGCCAACTACAAGAAACGTCTGACCTCTGTGATTGCCAACAAGGGTTTTGCCACCAAGTACTAAGTCATGTTTCGCAGAGGGGTCAAATACTTATTTCCCTCATTAAAATGCAAATCAATTTATAACATTTTCGACATGCGTTTTACTGGATTTTGTTGTTGTTATTCTGTCTCTCACTGTTCAAATACACCTACCATTAAAATTATTGACTGATAATTCCTTTGTCAGTGGGCAAACGTACAAAATCAGCAGGGGATCAAATACTTTTTTCCCTCACTGTAGAGCTTCCAGGTTGTAGACATGGAGCTTCAGCTTGTAGAATGCAGCGACCCCGGTCCCTCTCAGGGACCCACCTTATATCCCCCCCCCCCCCGGGTCAGGGCTCCTTCCGCCCTTCGCCCCGCCTACCTTCTCGAGTGTTCTAGCTCCCTCTCAATCCCTCTCGAGAGCTCTCCCCGGACACGTGATCACCCCCGAGCCCCACCCCCCACCTGGGGGCCTCTCTGTGGACACTCCGGATCACGTGTCTACGGGGTCAACCAGAGTCAGTGTGCCATGGCCCGGGGCAACCCTGCCCCCGGGCTGACACTCTCCCACTCTCCCTTGTGGGAGCCCGCACTGCATGCTGTGCGTGGTGCCCACGCTATCCCAGCGCTCACCAAGCCCCACTAGGGCTGGTACCACACCTGCCTAGGGGGTGTACGCGATGACGGTGCATCGCACGCCACGGCCCTCTCAGGCCGGCACCATACATTGACATCACCGATGTCACTATGCACAGTTGAGCAAATTGCATTTGGTGGGCTGTAGAGTTCCGTTAAACTTGAAATCACATGCAGTCCCTTAATGTCTGTGCAAATATATTTTTTAAAATACTCCCGTCATGCAGACTTTTAATTATTATTATGCTCTTAAATGAAAAAAAGTCGTGCTTATCCCATTATACACACGCAGATGGTTTATTTGATCGTCAAGAAATGGGCTCGTCCCACCCACCAGCATAAAATATGTTGGCAGTTCCCCGATTAAGATCTGTCCATTGTGGAATTTCTTCCCAGCAAGCGTTCAGTCCTTTGAGACTTTACACACATTTAAAAAGCACTCAAACCCCATCTGCTTTATTGTGCTCATCCTGGATTAAGCTGATGTTGCACCACCATTCTCATTATTGGCTGTGTTCAGTGACAGGGCACTGGTACATGCAAGTTAGTAGCAATTTTACATCTGCCTTCCTTTCGTTACTTTGTTATTTGCATACGATTCCACTGGTGTGTTCTAATTCTATACGTGTGCATTATATTAGGACTCAAAAGCAATATATGGCAGCTCGTGATGTGAAATTTGCTTGCGCAAAAACACCTGTTCTCTTCTGATTAGACAGCAACACAATTTAAAGTTTCACAGCAATTTTGGGGCATTAGGAACACTAGACAGACCTTCATATGAAAATATGAAGATATTCTGCAAGCAAAACATTTTGTCCCTATGCTTTTGTAACCAAAGTTTCACCCCGAGTGCCTTGAAGTTGGCTGATAAAATATCCCTGCGGAGTGGCAACACCTGCTGTACATTTGTTGGTTGCAGTGACTTTACTGCGTTTCTGGAATCGGCGCTCTGTGAATACGGCAATGCCTTTTGGGGAGATTGTACACAATTTCCGTTCTTGCTCAATTCAATAAATGTTTTATCTGTTTATCTGTTGTCTATTGCACCTTCAATAGTGCTGGCTATTTTTGTTGGCCACTTGGGTGTTTTGTGCCATTGGGGCTGTGCTAATCAATCATGATTTGACATATATTTAAAAATAAAACATAGTTTATATGTCAAACAACTGAACTACATTTCGTTCTTCGAGCTGACTATGGCAGATTCCACCATCTTTAAAAGTTAGGGGTTATGGGTAGATCCAGATAAGGCTATCTGTCTGGATGGTGCTGAGGCATAGTGCACCAGTCTCAATTCAAGGTGTACGAGTTCAACTCGCGGTCATGGGTCAGCTTGGCCCAACTTGCCTCTCGGGTTATAAAATGAGTACTACTCGATTCACTTAGCATGTAGGTTTTCCCAAGCATAATTATATTCATAATCGATTTACCCATATAAGTTATCATACATTAATTTGTATCGTTAACATGTAGTTTAAATTCGATGTATTTCTCTTACGATATCATGACACCTATTTAAGAAGCCGGGTCAGGTGACAATTTCTCGGACTTCCTGGATTTACCGGATGATGCTTGATGCAGTTGCAAGCAAACCACCATATCTAATTGCCAGATTTGTATGTGAGAACTTGGCTGAAACATTAATATTTGGCACGTTCAGCACTTGTACAAGAAGACCGTTTAATTCGTGGAGGGTGTTTCAATGCTAATTTGGCCAGATTGTTACGTGGTCAAACCCAGCAATTAACTCTGAATCGAGAGCGATTTTTTTGCGTGGAAAGACTGGCCAGCCACAATACGAATTTAAATCTCCGTTCTTCACTTAGAGCCACCAACAAAGACGAGCACCCCTGCATGTTAGTTTGAGCATGGTAATACGGTACAGTAATTGACTTTTAAACATAAACTGCCTAACTGAATTACGTATCGGAACCAGTTTTCGTTGACAGATTTGCATTCTCCAAAATATGTGTTCAAAGTATAGTTCGGCTCAATTATACAACATGTAGCTTGCTTACAATTATATTTTTGGGGTGTTGGAACGTAACTTCGTGACAGGTGGCTAATTTGGCCCCGATACCCAAATGCAATGGCATACTGTTGGAAAAACTGTCATGGGATCTTAAATGTCTTCAAGCAGATGTCAAAGCTGGCAAATGTAGCCCGGTAAAAAAAAAAAATCTGCCTCCGTTGCTGTGTTTGTCCCCATTGCTGCTGGTGGCAGTGGAGAGGAAAGGTTTGAAACCCTTGACAACTGTTGTGAGCGATTCGGAGAAGAGACTCGGCATCAGAAGCGGCATCCCATGTGGTGCAAGAAACGCCTTCAACCGCAACCATTCTCCACAATTTATGTTCATCGTTATCTCGAGGGAACGGCCCACGTTCTCACAAACCGTAGACGGCTTCAATTACAAATGAATTGAGAATGATTGTCGTCAGCATGCGCCTGTGGTAGGTAAACATTGCAGAGTACTGAAAATCTAATGGCCTCATAAAGTTTGTGACGCACGTGGTGAAATTTGGATCCTTGAGCATATGAGATGCTCTTTTAGCTGAACAAAAAGCATATTCGATGGAAAGTGTCAGTCTATTTATAAATTGACCTCTCAGTTCTTAATAGTGAGCCCTGTTTGCCCTTTGAGTAATCAACCTGGGCCCTATTGTTGGTTTTAAACCATCCTGATGAGTACATTATGTCCGTCACTATTTTTGTATATGTTTAACTCTTTGAGACCGCTGTTGTTGGCACCTCGATGGAGGTAACGGAGGCTGCTGGCGCATCGCAGACGGATACACAAACGCAATCGCAAATGCATTTTCTGATCATGGTCTTCGTCATCATCATCATTCTATCGGCAGTGCTTCACTTGTAACCGGACATTGTTGTTCACAGATCTGAAACTCATCGACCCTCCGCCACCTACACACAAGGCTGCCTACGGAATAGTCGCCATGAACGAATACTTGCCTCTGTGGAGCTCCCTGGAGCTCGTTGGAAAGGTGCAACACACACAGCAATCTGTGCAGAGCTTACATTCATTGAATATTATTAATGAAGCTGATGGACTACTCATTGCTGTGCCCGGGAGAATATTTTCCTTGTCCAACATGTGGAAAAAAGAGTTGAGGTGATTTCTTGCTGAAGTAACCATTGAGGCAGTGTTAATCTGCTGTTTATACTGTAGTTCTGAGCCAGTGTTGGAAATTCCACATTCCTGTGGTACTCATTGTATCGACCCCTGATGGATGATGGGCTGTCAACCTCCTACCAGGATTTGAAGTCACAAAATGGTGGCTGCTTTAATGTCCTGTCCTGATCCCTTGTTAATTAAGGGTCTGCTGGGCTGCATTTGCATAATGACAGACTTATTTGTGTTGTCTAAAAGTGTTGCGCAACACTTTATGTTGAATGTGAACATTGGAATAAACGTTTTGTCTTTTTTTTAACATTGCTGAGAATGCAAGTGTTGTTGCCTACTTAAATTCCAATTTGATAATAGATTGTCCCAAGACCGTATCGCTGGCACTGCCCTGCTCAAACTGGACATAGACGATTAATAAAATAATAGTCTGCCCTTGAAAAAACTGAAATCCCCTGGACAATTACGGCATTATTTTTTTAATAAATGAAATCCATAAAGTAGTTTGTTACTATATACGTACGGTCATTTAAAACAATTAAATCGAAAACCCTTTTTGGGTTTGTATCTCAGCGCATGTTGTGTTTCCACTAAAAACAAATGGACGGAGCAATTTCTTTCACTGCAGAGACATTGACAATTCCGTCAAACCCACACGATCTCATTTCAGCCAATCGCAGCGATATGGCATGCGTGACGTGAATACATTTAAGGAATAATTTATGAAAATGTACTATAAACCTAAAAGGACATTTATTTCTACTTCGTAAAAAACAAATGTGAATATAATCACTGTTGTGTGCAACATTATATACAAACGATGGCATTTAGTTTGACCGTTAGGACACGACTCATTTTACGGAAACACTGGCATGAGATTGGGATCACATTATATGCACAGTGGGGTAGCACAATTGGTTAAGTTGCATTCAACACCTGAAGCAAAAATGTATCTTAGATTGCCAATCAAAGCAATACAAGTTAAAGGGGAAAACAAATATCGCAATTGCCTTTGGAGTAAGATGAATAATGGAGTGAAATTAGTGGACTTTGAAAAAAAAAAACCAGAATAACTCTTACAAAGCACAGCATCACTCTCAGAAGCAGTGCTGTGATGGTTTTGATATACATAAGGTTGCCGGGCAAAATGCAAATGCTCCCGGTAATGATGGACAAAGCCCCTGCAGGACACACTGGATTCCTGTTTGATCCTTTGATTGAATCAGTTCGTGCAGGTGGAACCTCTTGATGGGAGTAGAGCCCATTTAAAAAAATTCGATGCTGAGTGTTCCCAAGTGCTTGGGGATCATTTCATTTTTTTTGGGTGTCATTGCTGGGCTCTGCCAATTAGCTGACCTCTTTGACATTGCCGGAAATAATCACGGCAATAAAATAACAAAATCATCCATCGTGCCACTCTAGAAAATGTGAAAACGAATGTTAGCAATATGTCGTAAGGCTACATTTCCCATCTGGTGCGAGGGTCTACCTGCAGTTTTATAGTTGTGAGCTTCAGATTCAAATTAACACACAAGCACACGTGCACAGAGCCCAGTATCTGTACCGTGGATAAATTTTTCAGACGCTTCTAGTGCTTACATCTGATTCTGGATCTTTTGTGAAATGATGGATTGTGTTTGATATGAGCTCTCTGACATTTCATGGGATTTCGTGACATTTGAGGGTTTATTGAGTATGAGCGTCCCTGGTAAGTGAGAGGCAAAGAGAGAAAACGCTGGTCAAAATCAAGTGTGAGATGGGGAATTTAGTCCAATGAAGATGAATCCTTGCAAAGCACCTGCTGAAAATGAAGCCTTTCGCAAAATAATTTAAAAGTCACGACAAAATGACGGAATCTTAGATTAACCTTTTCAGGTAATTTTGGTGTTCTCTGTAAGGTTATTGGATGTTGCAGTGGTGTAATGGTTAGCACACTCTGTACTTGCAATCCAGAGGTCGCTGATTTCATTAGTTTTTTCAGCGTTGCAATTAAAACAATGGCCCAGGTTTCTAAAATCCCTCCACCTCTGTTCCTCCATCAGTATACTTGGGTACACACACCACAGTCGATTGGCAAGTTGTGTGTGGTGTGGTAAAGTATAGTAAACTAAAACTGGTTCTCAACCGGGGATACGCGGACCTCTGGGTATGTCAGGTGATTTCAAATGTGTGAAATTATATCATACATGAGAGTCATTGGTGAATAAATAATATATAAATCTGTATATATAAAATAACTACGATACATTTATATTCATTTGGTAACCGAGAACGATATAAAATACCTCTCACAACTTAATTATTGTAAACAATGTGGTTTCCTAGAATAACCAGTGAGCACGGACAAATTGCGTCACGCATGCTGAGCGTCCGTTTAATTTTTTTTGTTATTCGCTTGCAGTCACTCGCTAGTTAGGATACCTCACAAAATGTGAAATTGGTTAAAATATTTATGTTAATTATTTATAAATGTGCTTCTCAGAACTATGTTGGGTCAGGCAAAGGGAGGGGGCGTATTCAGTTGAAACAAAATTCAACAAGAGGGTAGAGTGGCCCAAAAAGTGTTGAGAACTACTGAGCTATAAATTCCCTTGAGAGAGTCTCTCTAGAACTCCCTCTAGCAGAGGGCCTTCTGCCAGGAGTGGCGCGAGTGCGACATGTCAGGGCAAATTGCACCTTTACACGTAAGATAGTTTTTAATCTACAGGTTGTGATATGCTATGATGCTGTGCATGCAAACTGAACGTGGGGTGAGGGCTCAAATCCATTGGTGGTGCTGAGCCTGTGGTAGAACTTACACATTGCTATGGAAGAGGCTCGTATATATGAGACACAAGTGGTACGGATATTATCAACCCTACAGGGATGATGAACAGAGTCGACTCTCGACCAGGATTTGAACTCGCAATCTTTCTCATTTGAGTCGAGGACTGTAATCGCATTGCTACCCAGTGACTAATGCATAATAATAATACTGTATTGTGTGCATGTGATATCTCCAGCCGATACACTCTGCTCTTCCGATGAACATGGAGAAATTCCCAATCAATGATGGGAATGGCCAGTCCTATGGATATGCGCTCTACGAGACGAAAATCCGTCATGGAGGCTTGCTCAAGTCCAACTTGAACGTGCATGATCGGGCGCAGGTGAGCATTGTCTCGTCATCATCTGAAAACTAAAAGAAAAATTACGCAGGGTTCAGATGGCCATGTCAAGTACAATATTTTTGTGTCAACGTGTGGCAATTTTCTGGCACAAATTTGCCACCCAAAGTGCCATTAGAAAGGTAAACATGAAAATAAACAATTCTATACAGTTAAAATATATATGAAAGCCATTTGTGGCTGTGAGTTGTTGTATGAAAGTGCAAATGAAATGTTTTCTAGTTGTGGTGGCAGACACCTGTAGCTCATTGCATTTAAAATGTGGTTGCTGAATTGGACATGGATTCATATGCGTGAGGTCTACCTGCAGGTCAGTAAAGTTCCAGGAGGAGGTAGTACAGAAACGATGTTGCTGACCTATGGCTACGTAATTTTTTGTTATCCCCCCATAAGTTTTGGTTTCTCCAAGCTGCCTAGTTATATTCAATGTCAAAAAAATATCCCTGAAGGAATTGATAAAATATTCAAAGCAGGTCCATAAAGAAAAGAATACTGAAACTCAGTGAGTATTTTTTACATGTATGCACGAAGACAAAGATCCTCCCTTTAGCCTTAACATATTGTTGGGCAAGTGCTGTTGGCGAGCACCGATGTAGGCCTGCATGGCACACAAGGGGGTGGTGGCCAGCACCATGTTCGACTGCCTTTGTCTCCCTAGTGGTGATGTTTACACATTGCACCAGGTACTGCATTGAGGCTGACTTGACCTAGGAGAGGCTCAGGACTGGTTCAGGTATACTTCACCAATGTTAATCAAGATCAGGAATCGAACTTGAGTCGCTGGGTTCATAACACAATGCGATAACCACTAAACGACTGCTCCCCATACACACAAGCACACAGATTTACGCATACATGCGCACACAAGTGTATTGAAAAGGACACCCATACGACCTTTGGAGAAAGTTATGTTAGCAAGCACCATTTCAAGCCGGAATGGCGCACAATGGGTTGGGATAGCCACCACCATGCTATTTATATACCGCACCAGGTATTAATTAAGGCTGAGTCGGCCTAGGGGCTAGCCCAGACCCGGTTGTGTAATCATTGTTTTCCGTGGTTGAACATCAAACTCGGGTTGCTTGGTTCATAGCACATTAAGCTGACCACTGATATAATTCCCGACAATACATGCAAACACACATGCACAAAGATAAAAAAAGATCCCCCATATAGCCTTAACAGACTGTAGGGGCAAGTGCTGTTAGCGAGCACACACACATGCACACACATGTACACACATTTATGTGCACTTTAAATGGAGAAAATAGTCAATTTTTAATTTTTATAGTGGCCTTTTTATCATATTCTTTTGTCTGTCCACATCCGCATCTATGTAAGCTTGCCAAATACCTATTTATTTATTATATTCTGAAGTTTATTGCATTACTCATTTGGGCATCCTAATTGGTCTAGTACAGGAGCACATTGCAGTGACCCAGCCTCTGGTAAGGACACAATGTGGGGAGGAGGGTGCCTTGTGCTTAGAGATTGCTCTTAGCATTTGAGGACATATTAAATTAGATGGCTTCTTTGTTTGTGGGAACAAAAGCTCCTATACATAATTCAATGATATATTTCGTATTAATCAGTGCATTATTTAGAAAGTCGGTATGTGTTCTGTATCCGCACAAACCACGGAATATTCGGATATAGTGCACAAATAGAAAAGCAAAGGGACTCCTGTGCACAACTGCAGCTATGAACTCCAAGCCCTGGACCGCGTAACTTCGCACTGTCCCAAATATAAACTTGAAGGTGGTGGTGTATCTACAATTCACACACTTTCAGACAAAGCAATATAATGGATACATTTATTTCCTAGTGAGCCTCTAAGAGTTGTTCTTCATAAACCAATACAACAGAAAAAGAAGAACTGTTTTCTCATGTTGAGCTCATCTCTCTGCAATGCGGGAAAGATAGGATCAGTTAGAAAAAGCCGCACTCCAAAATTAGTTCAGTACAGTATAAGTAATTCCACCTTTCATTTCTATATAAATCAAACAATATAAACAGTAGGAACACCTCCACTTTACCCCATCATAAGCCATCAACCAGTTGGTCCACTGCAGGGTCAGTGGTGGGTAAAGTGAAGTACACTATTTCCTCATACATCTGAATGTCAATTCATTTCGTGTTTGGTGAGACTGCCTAGTTTGTATTTGGGGAAAACACTTGTGTGCATATTTTTGCATACGGTTTTCCATCGTTATTCACGAGGGAAATGTTCCGGAGATGCTCGTGAACAGCAAATTTCGTGGATAATATCGGCCTACGAACATCGTACGCACAATGTTTGCAGATGCTTCTAAAGCTTCGAGAAGTCTCTCGCATCTCTTATCACCTTCGCTGTCATCACTTTATCTCATCACTTTAACTCATCACATTCTCTCTCATCGCTTTATCTCAACACGTTCTTTTTCTCTATATCGATGCAGTCGTGCAGAGTTCCAGATGCGATTAGTGGATAGCCAAAATCGCCGATAGCCAAAATCGCGGATAGCAAGGTCGTGAATAACGAGGGACTACAGTAAAGTCAACATGATCATCGGCCATGGTTAATCCTCTGCTTGGTGAAGTCCGCCTTAACCGCTGCCACCTTCCATTATCGTGCCTTTTTCATAATCTCCCTAACATCTGCACACGAGCCGATATCATCACTGCACCTCTCTGGTTGATATCCTCTCAGATGCGTTCTGTTCCTTGGCTGCCACTCCATTATTATTCCTCACGATAAGCCCTCTTCCCTTATAGTGACGTGTTCTGCCAGACCCTACTTAAATTTCTTAAGTTTGGATGCTTATGCTTTTATTAACCTGCATATGTTCTCTAATCCGCGCAGTTCCCTTTTTGTCTCTTGATGTTATTTAAGTTTAATTTATTTGTTTGAATACAAAACGAATATATCTTCGTATAACTTGTGTTACTGCAGAGTTGTAGACAGAATTGGATAACATTGTATTGTAATGTTTGGTTATTTGACTTCAGCCCGCCCTGACTCGTGTGGTGAAGCATGCTCAGTTAACCCTGACGATCCACAGAGGGGTGCAGAGTCCCTCCTCCAAGATATTTACAAAAGGATTGCAGTGTACATGAGCCCAGTGAGATGAGCTGCTTGCAATGTTGACATTCGTAAGAATGGTCAGTTGGTGGCAGTTACATTTCTCAATGTGGTTGTTGGCAAATATTTGGGATTTGGGTGATGAGTCTACGATGCAGTGGCCTACAGTAAAAAAAAAATCAGCACATGACCTTTAAAAAAAGACAAGCAAAAGAGTAATCTCTCTTGAAAAATAAGTGCTCCAGAAAGCAACGTGTTTGTGTTATAGAACTTGCTGTGCCTTGTATGACCCTTAGATGCCCATTGCAGTGCGAGGATATTTTGGAGCGCAACAGAGCAGTTTGTAGCTCTTCACTGTCACAATGTGAAGATAATTATTTAAGAAAACACTCACATTTCCATGTTTGTTTTCATTTTCTCACGCAGATTTTTTTGAACTCAAAATCTCAAGGATTTCTTGACTACGTGAGGGTGTCTGCAGATATCCCAGATGTAAAGGTATGAGTCTATTTTCTACTTATAATTTCTCCTGATTAAACAAACGCACTTCTCCCATGAGGTCGTGACACAGCCGAGCGGTTGTTTGCCGCTTGGTAATTATAATAATTGAAATTTATAACGTGCATTCCATTCTAGAATTCCAATGTGCAATGCATGACGAGCAGGAAACAAAAAACAGAACCAGGACACCCGACCGAATAAAAGAGGGAAGGCCACTTTAAAGAGATGGGTTTCAAAGCAGACTTCAATATATCTACCGACTCTGCCTGATTTCAAGTGGTAAAGCGTCCCATAGTTTGGGTGCCACGCAAACAAAAACCCGATCACCAAAAGAGTGAAACCTAGAATTGGGACTGCTGAGTAGTTGGAGATCAGAAGATCTTATGGACCTTGATGGAATATATCAATGTATTAGTTCCTGCAAGCAATGTGGGGTTCGTCCTTTTAAAGCCTTATAGGTTAATAGCATTATCTTAAATTCCATTCGGAATTTGACTGGTAGCCAATGAAAAGATTAGAGAACTAGTGTAAATGTGTTTACAGAATTGTGTACATGTAAGCACTAGCAGCTGCTATAGTGCTTGTTGCAGACGTTTGCGTTTAGAGCCCCTAGCCACTTGAGTTGATACTCCGGGCGTATTAACCAAAGTCACGCACCATCTGAATCACAGTGGACATTAAACATGTGATGTTATAAAAAAAAAAGAATAGGCTGTGTGTCCCGGTATTACAGTCCTATTTTAGAAAATTACAGGCAAATTGCTTAGCCTTTCCGATGATGTCACATAGGTCATCGGAACAGAACTGGAAGAAAAAATAAAATAACTTTTGCTACCGAGGCTCCCACAAGGCCATGCGGAGGGGGGGGTATGTGGCACAGCTATCACAGAGTGAGGTCGTGTTACTACAATTCTCTGCGGTGACTACAGTGTCCTTTAAAACAACAGCGCTATGCCTCTTCTTCTTTGGTTCTTTCGGTAAGTCACGTAGAATGAGAATAAAATAATAAAATAAAACAATAAAATTCTCACGACGTTTCGGCCACAACACAAGTGGCCTTCTTCAGGTGAAAGGAACAACCTGTCGGGACGAAACGTCGTGAGAATTTTATTGTTTTACTTTATCATTTTATTCTCATTCTACGTGACTTTACCGAAAGAACCAAAGAAGATGAATCCTTGCAGTCACAAAAGCTTTAAAGCGCTATGCCTGTCAATGAAATTAACGCTAACCGCTTGCACGTTCCTAGATTCAACGGTGAACGGGACCCACCTTGCAACTTACAGACGTCTCGGAACATTAAAGGGTTAATTGGAATAACCAATAACAGCCTAATGCCCCCTTCCAAGTATCACCTTATGCCGCACAGGCCACAGCTATTATCAGTGTGGTCCCCGAGACTGAAGAATCAAATTATAGTTGGGCATTGGAATGATTGAGATGTGAACTGCTGGGGTATATGCGAATCCTTATTCCTCGCGTTATTTCATGAAGGCAAGCCGACCCCCTGACGGGGAACTGCTGAGTACTGCATTTTCACAGTCTCCTTTTTTCACGGCAGGAAAAGTCGACGCTGAGTTTCTTGGTGGAGAACAGAGGCCGGGTCAACTATGGGTTGAACCTTGACACTCAAAGGAAAGGTTGGTCTGCATTTTACATGCAACTTTGAAAAAAGTCTTTCATCTGCCCTCCCATCATTCATGCCCCCTCTTGTGCCCTGCTAAAGGATTTCAGGTGCAATTTGTTTGAAGGTCTAAGCCGATGATACCAGTAGGTGTTCAACAAGGGTCTTGTGACTTTTTTATGTTATTCCAACCATGCACAACTGCACTGTTGCACAGTATGATTCCATGATATTTTCTATAAATAACAACCATCGTCAATCCACTGCTCGATGAAAGCCTCCACAAGGCACCTTCTCTGATCCTGAGACTTAGCAATCCACCTGCACATGAACTGAATTGACATCATTGCTCCATCTCCTCGAGAATGTGTTCCATCTCTTGGCTATTACTCCATTATTTTTCATGAAGATCCACGATCATCCCTCCAATTGACTTGTTATGCCCCAGCCCACTTACTTTGTCTTAATAGTTTTATGGTGTAATTACACTGCACGTATTTTTTTCCTGCGTCACAATATATACTTTATTTTCTTAATATGTAGACTTGTAATACAAAATGTCACTGCATGTGATATGTCAAGTAGGTAGAAATTTAGAACCAATTCAGTCACATTAGACAATGAGAAGTGAAAATACGTTCAAGAATATGAAAAGTTAGTCACGATAATGATATCAATAATATATGTAACATTAATCATGGAATGTTATATAATCATTAATCACAACCTATGACTAATTATTTTACAGCCCAAAACAAAGAACAGTATTATTTGTTACACTATCATTTATTCACCAATGATATCCAAGTTGCGTCACATGGTAAACATATGTATTCTATACTCTTTGGTTCTATTCGGTAAAGTCACGTAGGTAAACAATAAAACAACAAAAAATCACGACGTTTCGGCCACAACACAAGCGGCCTTCATCAGGTGAAGGGATCAGGCTGTCTCGAGGACAGCGCTGGAGTGGAACACAGCCACGCTCAGACCGCGACCTTTAAGCTGTGTGCGAGGATACAAGGTGCCTTGACAAAGGAATTAGCATAAAAAATTAGCATTTGATTGCCCGACTTAGCATAGAAGTGGTGTACATGCAAGTGCACATGCCGCTTGGCGCGGTGGGGGGGGGGAGGTAGTTTCCCTATTGATGGTGTGAAAAGGGAATTTAAGAGCTTTTTTTTTGTTGTTTTATGTTTTACCTACGTGACTTTACCCAATAGAACCAAAGAGTATGGATCCTTGCAGTCACGAAAGCTTTAAATCTAGAATATGTATTCTAGATCTCCCTGTTGGCAATGCGGCATTTTACGTGCCAAAGTACTATTTCAGAGGGTGTGACTTGACAGGGCAGGACTGCTTCTGATGTCTCCTCACTGCATCTCTGAAACAGCAAGCACACGGTACTCCATTCATGTCATTTTATATTTGAGCTTTATTTTATTGCTCTCTTCCTCCTAGCCTGTCTGAGTCCACCTTTATCAATTTATTTTGTTTAGTTCTTGGCACGTAGTTGTCTCACAGCCACGATTATGATGTCGACATTATTTTTGGTTAATCATATGGCCAAATGTTTGTCGTGTTACCCTCCGCCACCCAACATAGCAGAACAAATTAATTGTGTGAATGATGACAATTATTCTTGTCTCAGCTCTCTGTTAAGTTAATGACAATTTCTCACAACCAATTTTTATCAATTAAGGACCTTATGTTTCAGTTGTAATTCTGCGGAATGGAGATAGGATGAAGATACACACCTCTGATTCGAACGGTTGTCTACGTATGGTGCGAAAGAAATTCAACATACGTACATATTACCATGTTTGAACATAGACGTTTGTTTTAAAGTTAACTTCATCAACTGGCAGATCTGGATTAAAATGAGGAAATAAAGAGGTGAGTGATAGCAGGTTGAAATGCTTTTGAAAAATGTAATTTAAAAAATCGATCAATCAGTTTGCCAAAAAACTTTCATTTTTAATCCGGGCATGTTGCCTGCGATGATATGTGGATCGGAAACATGGACACCTAGAAAACAAGTGGAATTAAAGACAAAACACGCAAAGAAACATGGGGCGGTGCACGCTTGGATTTACGCAGAGAGAGGCAGGAAGAAGAGTGTATCAGAAAGCAAGCTCAATAGAGACATGTTGAATATTAATAAATGTAAGTGGGATTGGGAGTAACACATCGCTGGAAGGGATGACGGCTTATTGAACAAGACTGGTGATAGAATAGCAACACACTCAATAGGATGTCAACCACGGACATGGGATGATGATATCACCTCATGATCCGGGGGAAGATGGATTATGGAATTGTAGGACCATTGGGGGGGAAAAACAACGATGTGAGGAAGATCTTATTCAGGAGTGGATTGATCATGGCTGTTGATAATGATCACTAACAAAATATAGTTTATGGAGTTAAGAGTGGTAATCTAAGTGGTAAAAGATGATGAATGTAACCAAATTAAAATATGCTAAGCAACTGTTGCTTAATCGAAAAATGAATACAAATTATAGTTTTACGCAGACAATATTACTACTTATTTAAATTTGCCTTGAATGGCTTATTATGTCGAGTGTGATATGCAACGGTCTCAGCTTAACAAATTAGTGTGCAGAGCATTTGGTTGCGATGGAAACAGCTTTGTAAGATAAAGAGGGATTAAAATAATTACATGGTGCATCTCATTTGAGCGAGTTGGCGAGACATTGTGACCTCTGTGCCATGGATACACGTTAAATACATTGCATGTTCTTTCTCTCTCTCTCCGAGGGACAAATACGCTGGTTGCTTGACTGTTTTGTTCTATTCAATTGCAGGTTAATTTGTCTCACATATTAACCTTCACGTGCAAATGTGTGTGCAGCAAGTACATGAGCAGCCCTGTGACCGCTGCTTATTTAAACATACAAATCAGTGTGAGCTGCCACTATGTTTGAGTGTATTCCCCTTCAGTGAGATCGTATATCCAGCGTAAATACAAGGCAATGCCATCCGGTGGCATAGTGTTCAAGGATACCACATGTGCGCCTCTTAGATCCTGAGCTTGTCTTATAGTAAGACAAAGATAAAGGGGCAGCTCTGCAATTGTTCGCTCATGCCACTACCGCTGGAATGGCCTCCATTGTGAGGGTTCCTCCACAGTGCACTTGGCCGACTCTTTCACATTGGCCAGGCGTCTTGGAAGAAGTGGGAGAATACCCACGTTTTACCCCCACCACATGCAACCTCCCGATTGGCTGCGGTGTGCTCATCTCAACTGTGGGGGGGGGGGGGTGTTAAGAAACTTGCACCGTTGTTTCAACTGCCATGCCGGGGGATCAAATGACACTGGAAACCTATGAAATGCAAGTCCAGTGTGCTAACCTGTACACCGTGGCAGCATGTGTGCATTGTAGAATATCTCTGCCTGTTCAGATCATCCCTGCAAAATGAGACTATCCTATTCATATTATTTGGGTCTTTCGGTAAAGTCACGCAGATAAGGTTAAAAGAAAATAGCAAAAAATAACTAAAAACTACGACGTTTCGATCGCAACACAAGCGTTCGACATCAGGAAAAAGACCATCCGAGTTTCTTAAATTCTCACGTGGGTAAACAAAATCAACTTGAACTAGTTCTATAGAAAGTGGAGATAACATAGTTGGCATACTGCACTGCCACCCTGGTGACACTGGTTTGATTCCTGACGACGTACAACACCAGTGAAATATTTATAAAAAAAAGTATGAACCTGAGCTTGGTCTTTGGTTGACTTCCAACAAATATAAGTATGCGCTGATGTGATTCAGCGTTGCTAACATCATTACTGGGCAGACAAAAGTGTTGGTGACCTCACCCACCTCCTTATGCAGTAGCCCTGCCTTAATTGGTGCTCGCTAAATGCATTCGCAATGTTAGTCTATTATAATAAAGGGAGACTTTGCCTTTGTATTCGTATGTTAAAATATGTATTGCTGGCAAGGTTTGCAAACTCGTGTATATATGACCTAACATATCGATGTTTGCTTCAGGATTGACTGGAAACTTAACACTGGATGAAAAGCCTCTGGAAGAGTTTAAAATATACCCGATGGAGATGAAACAAGATTTCATTAACAGGTTTTTAATTTTGTTATATCTCCAATGGCGTCATCATTATTCACGTTCTTCGGAGGGTTCTTTGTAAGACAGAAGGCTATGAATTATACTAAACTCAACGAGAGTACTTATGGGATCACTTCTGTAGGCCTCTCTTACACAACACTAGGTGGTCTTCTTTCAGTCTCGGGAGAGAGACAATTATTCAAAACGAAGGAAACCAACCAATATTGGCAGCAACAATCTGCCAAACTCTGTGGCACTATATTGGGGATGTTTGGCCAACCCTATTAGGGAGTGTTTATACAAATTGGAGGAAGCCAGAGTACCCAGAGAAAACCAGCGCGTGTGAGCGGGGTAGCACTCCCCGTAGAGATAGCAATGTAGTGGTCCACTTGCTGTACTGCCACGGTACCCTGGAAAGCCAGGAGAAGGGAAGCTCGTAGCCCACGAGGAGGGAGTTTAACGAATTTGTAATCCACCAACCCTCACTGCCTCCACAGTGTTGGGTTCCAAGCACGTACCACCAGTGCTTTGCCGTATATCAATTCGATATTGTAAAATTGAAGTACTTGGAGCTAAATAAGGTCAACTAAAGTGTAAAAAAATGTTTTTATTAGATGTTGTAAAAATCTTGCTATTAAGTTAAGACAATTAAGTTATCTCCACTTGAGAACCTGGTTTAATTTTGGTTGACTGCTCAAAATCGAACTGCGGATATCAGCAGTGTTATGTGTTCTGACATGCATCAAATCGTGAACATAAACCCAGCCAACGACGAATTTAGAACGTTATCCACGGCGATTTGTGGAGCGGAACTTCGTGGATCCCATTATCCACAGGGTCATTCTCAGAGTTTTCACAGATCATTTTTGTCCTGCAGATAATATGACTCAGAGGCAGGGCTTAATTTATCACTCGATATTCTCCAGAATGCTGCTTGCCTGGCTTTGGAGTAGGGCTTATCGGCATTGGCACTACCACTATAGTACAAAGCACGCCTATCCATTAAAATCCTACATTATTGTACCATATAATCCTATGATCACGTTCATAGTTATATCGGAATATCAGGTACAATGATGTCGTTATCATGAGGACAATATGAGGTGAGATGGTTGTGGCGTGCCAAAGTAACTCATGGAACGGCGTTCTAGACTGTTGTGGTTGCTAATGGGTACCACAGCTGCCGATAACGAGTAATCCTGTAGCACCATCGAATCTGGATTGGGAAGGAAAAAAAAACGTGAATTACTTATCCATAATAGATCAAATTTCACTCTCTAAATCATGGCACTATAATTGATAACTTAACAGTGGCAGCATTTTGGATTGTTCTGGCTGAAATTAAGCACTGGTCGTGCATAAACATCACTGTATTTCGATTTAAAGCTTTCGTGACTGCAAGGATTCATCTTCTTTGGTTCTTTCGGTAAAGTCACGTAGAATGAGAATAGAATAATAAATTGATAAAATAAAATAACACAATAATATTCTCACGACGTTTCGGCCACAACACAAGCGGCCTTCATCAGGTGAAGGGACGAGACTGTCTGGAGGACAGCGCTGGAGTGAAAAAGCCACGCTCAGATCGCGACCTTTAAGCTGTGTGAGAAGGTCGCGATCTGAGCGTGGCTTTTTCACTCCAGCGCTGTCCTCCAGACAGTCTCGTCCCTTCACCTGATGAAGGCCGCTTGTGTTGTGGCCGAAACGTCGTGAGAATATTATTGTGTTATTTTATTTCATCAATTTATTCTTCTATTCTCATTCTACGTGACTTTACCGAAAGAACCAAAGAAGATCACTGTATTTATGAGCATGTCCTTTGATGTGTGTCCTTTTTTAGCTTTATTGCCCATGTTCTTCCTTTTGTAAATGTTTAATCAGTTAGCCAGATAATTATCATTTGTTTGAAGCCAACTTAGCCTCGCTATTTGAACACCAAAGTGATGTGTGTGTGCTGATATTTTTTTATTTTCCCTTTTTCATTTCAATTGTGTGTACCCGATTTCTTGGTTTGTAGTCTGGAGAAGGCAAAGTGGACCAAAGTCCCCTTGCAACCGTGGCTCCCAGCTTTCTTCCGAGGGACCCTGCAGATATCTGGCACTCCACGAGACACGTTCGTGCGGCTCGACGTGAGTTTATTCATCTCGCACGGCAAGAAACGGAGCGTTAAACGGGTAACGCTTTGGCCTCAATGGTGAGGCACACGCGCTTCAGAATGTGAGCAACGAAATGTCACCGGGTTGTTTCGCTAATGGGCAGCAGGCTGGCCAGCATATTGGAATGAGTGAATAACAATTAAAAACAAATTAGTGAGTGGTTGTCTTATGGATCGGCTAGCCCCCACTGTAGGAAAGTGGACGTTTTCACCACTGGCTTCAGGGCTGTAAACGGGAGATTGAGCAGGAAATTCACTTCGACTTCATCATGACGATGGTGATTCCTAATTTTCATGAATGCTCACCACTGCGACATTTGACCAACCCTATGAGTGAGCGTTTTACATATCGGAGGAAACTTAGGAACTTGGATATTCATTGACATTTTCCTGGACAATAAATGTAAAATTTTAGGTGCTAATAACCTGAAAAATCTTGCCCAAAAGACTTTGGAAATAATTGTGCTCCCATCCTCTAAAAAAAAATTTGCGAGACCCCAGCACCTAATCCAATTGTGGGATTTTTTTTTACTTCAAAATGAAAGTACTGGGCTGCGTTAATAAAAGACGTGATTATTCTACCTCGCACAGCAGCAATTACATTCTCAGCTCCTTAAAAGGAACACCTTGTGCAAGGCACATAAAAGACAACATATCCACATGGCATATGGAATGGCATCTGTGTGGCTGAACAGACAAGATTAGAGCAGATAGATGGTTTGAAAAATAATGAAAAGAATAGATAACAGGGAATATTTCCACTGAATTCTACACATCCTCGGGGGACATTGGGCCTGGATAGAGCTCAAGATAAAGAGTGCTCTCCACGTGTGTACGAGAACACACAACTGCGGTTATGATAAAGTGCGTAAGATGTGTGCCGCATTCAATAACTATTACAATTCATGCAATGTGTATGCAGTACTGAGATTTGTGTATACAGTTGGATTTATTTTCTATAAAAAAAATTCTACTTTTTGTTTCCCTCTGTATTCAGTTTTTTATCATTGTTCAATAGTTTATGTAGTAAATATATTTTAATGTATAAAATTAAATAGACACCCGGGGATATCTTTCAAAGCATAATTGATCATTTTGTCATCTATTATATACAAACTAAATGGCAGCCCATTCTCTGGATGGGGTGAATCTCACCAATTGTTCCCACCATGACCACATAGACCCAACTCAACCCGCAAATGGGCCCACCCCTCTTCCTCTTGGTCACACAACTCACCATGCACCTGAACATCACCGTACACTCACCCAACAGTCACCAGTCATCTGTAACTCACCACCAACGAGACACTCGCACTCATTGCTTATCAGGCACTTGCCACTCGCCTGCAAATCACCTGACACCACTCACCAGACACTCACCATTAACCTGACCCTCATCGGACGCTCACTAGACACTCACCTTAAACTTAACACTTACTGGACCTGACCTTCACCGTACATAGAACACCACTTTCCTATGACTGAAAAATGTGATGCCATGTATAGTTCATGTGCAGTGTCACTCCACCCTGTGCATTGAAGTACTTTGTGCAGCAGGTGGCACACTGCTCAATGCAATCAGCATTCTGTAATTTCTTTCCACAGAGGTGGACGTTTTCTTAAATTATACGTAGGTCATAATCATTAGCATTGGTGTTTGCTGTCTCGCAGCCAGAATGGTCCCTCACTGGACTTTGAAAAACTCAAAATACTCAAGTAAATGCTGTGCCTAGCTAAGAGACAAATAGATTAACTCCCTTGTTAAATCCTTTTGTATTCATTTTGTAAGTCAAAGAGGCATCCTTTGGGAACTCAGTCAGGAGTCACATACGTGTAAGTTCTAGAATACTTTGGGTACCATTTCAATAGGCCTCGAATAACACTCAACTTTATATTTAGTTTCAGTTTATTTATTTTGGTATAGCCCTGTGAGCCATTCGGCTCTTGAATCGGGTGCAACCACAACAAACAAAAATACTAAAACACGAACAAGAAAAACATCTTAAAGTGACTATGTGCTGTCCCCCTAGTTCTTGATGAAGAGTGGGATGCCATAAGTGAGTCATTAAATTTGCCTACGATTTCTTTTAGCCCAGAGAGCCTGGGTATAGTTCCCATCTTTACCACAAATTTAACAGTCCGCCTACGTCGATCAAGACCATGCATTGCTACTGTAATAGAGTTTAACACGATACCAACCAAAATCTCGGTACAAATAGATTCCTGCCACCCAAACACAGATGGCAAATTCCCAGAATGTCCAGGTCAAACCCGTACAGGGGGCAACCCCAATCCGGACTCGTCAGATTAATTGGGCAACCAGTCCTTAGTTCAGCTGGGACTGTTCTGGAAATTATTGTGTGCCATGATTATTGTGTGCCATATTATGTCATCGTTTTACTGCAGTGGTGTTTATAGGACTATTGGGTACAACTATGTATGATTGTTATGGATAGGAATACCTTGCATTCTAGTCGTAGTACTTTGCGTCGATAACACTTCTTCTAAGGAAGCTAAACAGCGTTGCGGTGAATGGAGAGTGAGAAATTAAGCCCTGTAAACTGTGATATATATATAATTTGTGGTGCGGAATGAAACTGACTTTCTCTTGTGAACCTGGTTTAAGCACAGCTGGCTGTGAGGGTTGTATAGCAGTGCTCTAACACGAACGTTGAGCTCTCTGAGCTAAACAAAATGCCCTGAACCACAGGGGGCATTTAATTACAATACCGTTCAGTTTAGATGACACTTCCTATAACACTATTTGAAGATACATGATTAATGTTAACAGAAAGATTAAAGGACCATCCGAGATGGTAGATGATGTGTAGAAGATGATACGGCAAGCTCCTAGTATGTACAGAATGAGTAGGTGAGAGAGGAGGAAATGCTATTTTGAAGCGTAAGGAATGGTCGTGATTAATGTCACCACTTCTTATTCCAGAAAAAGCTCTGTTATCCAGCAATCGATGGGGAATGGAGGGTGTCGGTTAATCAAATATGCCGGTATCTGAGAGTTATACTTTTGGTTCACCAAATGTTCCAAGTACATCAAACTTTTCAAGAAAGAAACTAAGCCTGCTTTTTTAACTATGATATGAGAAATAACATACTGGTTTTTTTTTTTACAGAGGTACTCGCCAGTCAGTTGTAGAGCATTCTAAGTTGATTGTAGAGAACCAGTGGGGCCGTTTAGATTACGGTATACGGTAGTACTGTGTGTACAGGCTTCCGCTAGCACCAGCACTCGGCAACGTCTTTAAGCTCCCATAAACAACAGGTCTATGAGAGGCGCACGGCAAGATGCAGGATGGCTGTCAAGAATTTCCCAGATTCGTGAACGAAGATTTGTATTCCCGTCTTTGACAGATGCTGGTCAATAGAGCATTCTGGATGGTAATGTGCCGGATAACAGCTTTTGCTGTATGTACATGTGAACAGTAATTTATTTATTTTATATTCTATGGTTCTTTCGGTAAAGTCACGTAGATAGAAAAAATAATAACGATAAAATAATACAAATAATGAAAATAAAGTGAATAAAATATAATACAAATATCACGACGTTTCGATCACAACACAAGCAATCGTCATCAGGAGAAAAAAAGAGGGGGAAAGCTGCTGAGGTAGGCTGTTTGTAAAGGTTTAGAGATGGGCAGGGCAGCTAATGTTAATGTGGGAGAGGTCTCCGACACCGGCAGTAGGTCTACACCAATCAGAGCTGTTTATAAAGGTTTAGAGATGGGCGGGGCAACTAATGTTAATGTAGGAGAGGTCTCCGACACCGGTAGTAGGTCTACACCAATCAGAGAGCTGTTTATAAAGATTTCAAGATGGGCGGGGCAGCTAATGTTAATGTAGGAGAGGGCTCCGACACCGGCAGTAGGTCTACACCAATCAAAGCATTGCACCTCGCTCCACACACCCACACTGCTGACGGTGGAGGTGGACAAGAAAACACAAATCAAGTCGTGACCCAAAGTGGTTGATGACATCTTTCCAATGATTGCGGAGTATAAAACTGTCGTCTCGGTTGAAATTGTGTCTGTATATATGGATGGCTTCGTGAACTAATCTTTGTTGATAGCCAGTCAGCTTGCAAAGTATCATCGTCTTAGAGAAATCAATTTCACGTGAGCCAGCCACATTAAAGTAATGATCAGCCACGGCAGAAGTATTGGTCCTGCCGTGTTTCAAATCTCCCTTATGTTCACGAACACGGTCCGAGACATGTCGCTTGGTTTCCCCAATGTAACTGCTGCCGCAGATACAGCTTAGTTTGTAGACGCCGGGATATTGCATGTCAGGAATCTTGTCCTTCACAGATGGGATCAGGTAACGAATTTCATACACTGTTAAATCGGACCTGGATCTTGTGTTTGTTAAAGATTTTTGAAATCTATTTGGTTATCCCTGCTATGTAAGGTAAGGTGATGGTTTTGATTGGATCTTCAGATGGCTCCTTCCTCGCGGTTGGGGTGATGGCTTTGCGTATTCTGTAGTCAGAATATCCATTCGCCTTGAGAGCCTGGTGTACGTGTTTAAGTTCACTGGTCAGGTGTTCATGGTCGGAGATACATTGAGCTCTATGGTGTAGCGTTTTGATGAGGGAATTCTTCTGGGATGGATGGTGGTGGGAATCAGGTTTTAGGTAGGCGTCAGTATGGGTTACTTTCCTGTCGACAGAATGGCTCATTGAGCCATCTGGTCTCTTTGTGATTAGGACATCCAAGAAAGGTAGCATGCCATGTTTTTCTACCTCCATGGTGAATTTGATTGCTGCAGAGAATATAAGCCGAGTCCCCCAGAGGGGCCGGCGTTTTTGTTCATCCTGAAGAAACCTTCGTCTATGTTCTACGTTCTCTGAGTCTCCAACGCGTGGACCTGGACCCTAGCTGTGGTCCGGTCCGTATTAGCTAGTGACGTTGTAATTAGTGTAGTTAGCCTGGTGGTCACCACCATAGGTTGTTATTC